GGCGGCGTTGGCGTGGAAGGGGAAGGCGAAGAGGAAGGGGCATTGCTCGCGTGGATTTTTAGGGTTATTGCTGCTGTCACAGTTGCAGGGGCAAATACGATCTAGAAGAACACGAAGAACAAGAAAACGGAACCCCGCTGTCTTTTTTTTGCTGCTAGCATTTGCCTCCTCTGCCGTGTTTTGCACGTTCTTGTTTAAACCTTTTTAATAGTTTGCTATGCTACTACATGTACTACGTAATATTTTTTATGTCCATTGAAGACGGATATCTCGTTTTCTCTCGCGGTTCTTTCTTAGTGGGGGAATCCTCCGCCTCTGCCAATAAAGGAGAAAATAGAGAGCCAATCACTTACACGGTTCTGAAGAGGGAACGATGACATACAAATTGATTCAACTGCAACTCTGTGAGAGTGCGTGCTGCAGCGCAGGGACAGACAGGCGGAAAGAACAGAAGCTGAATGAAAGAAAAGACGAAAAATGCTCCTTCCTCACATTCATTCATTCACCTCCAAGTGCCGGGCCGCGCGCGCGAGATTGGGCGCACGCGCCTCGCCCAGACCAAGTGTCCCCGCTTTTGTAGTGAGTGTACAGTACGGATACCGCAGCCACAGTGGCCCACGGTCCATATGCAGGATTAGCCCTACCTTGGCTTGGCCGAACTAGTAAACGGTGCCCAGCCCTTCGGCCCGCGCAAATGCACAAGGGCCATATATGAGATTCTGTCCTTGACCCGAATGGGACAAGGCAAGACGCGCGCGCTCTCCTCGCGGCCATTTAGGAGGTTGAATGTGCATGTCGTATGTATGTATGTACAATACGAAGTAGTCTTGTACCTAAACGATGAAATGGAACCCAAGCCTTTCGATTTCCCCCCAGCCCAACCGGCCCCCATATGATATCTTAGATTCGCCCGCCAAGATGGGATAGCGCCCGCAGTCTGGACCTGCTGTGTCACCTCGGGAAAGACAAAGAGGAAGAGAGTGGGTGGTACTAGTAGGGGGCTGAGAGCTAGCTGGCTGACGAATGTACGTGTACGTGCACACACACAAACGATCCGCACTGCAAATCGCCCGCCATCCAATCCACTAGACGCAGGGACGGGAAAGGCACGTCCACGGCGGGCGGTGGCAGGTGGCGAGGGGGCAGCAGGGCAACGACAACAGGGCATCAGGGAAGAAGGAGGCGGGGAGCGGCGCAGGCGGAGCCACTGGGGGGGCCGCCGGGGAGTTCAGGTCACTTTGCACTGCACGCGGTTGGAGAGATGGAGACAGCAGACGGGATGGTGGAAAATGGGGGGAAAGGGTGGTAAAAAGGGGGGGCGTGCTTGAATTTCACTCTCGGGAAGGGTGTCTAGGTAAATTGATCTTAATTTTGTTCCGAAAGACGCCTTTCGAAGGTTTAGAATGAATGGTGTGCGCAGTTTGAGAACCATGCTGCGTGCGTCAGTCATCGTGATATCCCGTTGTCAGCTGCCCGCCCACCCGTTCTGTAGTAGTCTCCCCCGTCCGGCCCCCGCAGAATGCCGCGCCCGAGCCCGCGCGCGCCGGGTGTTAACACCCGTCATAGGCAAGCATGGGGTGCGCTGCGCACGGTGGATTGGGGTTTGGCGGGGTTTGGCGGGTGCTGCGCTGCGCTGCGCATGACCCCCGTTGCATAGACGGGAGTCTAAAGATATTCATAGACATTGACCACTTTTTCAGGCCTGACTTGCATGTCGGGACGGGCGGAATCACGGGAACAAGCGGACAACACAGCAAAACAAGCAAACCAGGACAGAATAACATGGTATAACCTGGACAAATGTCACCCAATAATCACGTCCATCCTATCACCTCACGGCACTAGCAGATGCACAGAGAGAGCACAGCAGGAGGAGCTTCCATGGTGGAGTTTGGGACTGACTCTTAATTCCAGGATAACTTCCGAGCAATTTCGGAACCAAGACGGGGCACTTGGTAAATGAAGCTGAATTAATTATACTAGTTATGCCCCAACAGACATAAAATAAAACAAATAGGAAGATAAGGAGGAGGAGCAGCATTAACAAGCTTTTCTTCATTCTCTATGGCTATCACTACTAATTCTCACCGTTGTGGATCCATCGTCTTGAAGCTGAGATGGACTGATGCGGACAGGCTGAAAAAGGTGGAGCCGGATTGAGTTAGACTAACCTAGGTGGGCTGGGCTGGGCTGATGCTGTTTCGGGCACAGACGGATGGGATAATTGGCGATTGGCGTGGGGATGGCGAGCACGGTTCTGAGGAGGGACGGGATGCGACGCGACTAGTGCCTCCTTCTAGCTCTCTTTCCACAGCGGACAGCAGTGGAACACACAGATCTGAAGCAGACCCATGCCCTCCTTCCATCTTGTGTCCTGTGCCCTTTCCTGTCTGCGGACGGACGCGGAGCAGCAGTGGAGTAGCGCAGCAGCTGCACGCCAAAAAGTTAGCTTGGGACCCGCCGAGAAGAGAGCCAGCCCGCTGGAGACCCGGGCTAGATCCTGAAACGACACGCTATGGAGCTGTTAAACTTAACGTGGCTGAGCCGCCTGTGAACGCCGCATCGACGACGGTGCCAGGATCCATGGATAACATGGGATGCCAAATGAGCGTGCCATTGGATGGTGCATGCCACCGCTCGCCGCTCTCCGTTCGCCGCCGCCGTTCCATGCCATGCTCTCGCAGCGCGGCAACAAAAGATGTAATCGCTCTTGCCTCAACTGAGACCAGTTCGAGACCAGGTCCGCGGGGAAGAGAAGAAACGAAGGTACAAAACAAAAAAAAAAAGAGGCGGGAAGGAACCCCGGATCCTTTCTTCTCGAACAATATCACATCACATATCCACACCTTCGCTCGCATGCACGGATAATTGCACGAAGGTGAGATAGATAATAAACACACGCCTCCAATGTTCCACCCCTTCCAGCGGATAACTTCAGTTTCTGTAGCACCACCTGCTTAGGATTCTTTAGCGTCTTCGCACATGTGGAACCAGACGAGCTGAACAGACCTGGAGACGTGGCAATGGAAAACTAAAAGATCGAACGGGCAAGCAGCATACGGACGGGGACAGATCTGAAGCTTAAAAAGAAAGAAAACAAACAAAAGGTAGAGAGCAAGCTCAACCAACCCTGCACCACAAACTTAAACCCAAAAAGGAAACGCCACATTTTGAAAAGCCTACGAATAAAAACAACGACAAGACAACCTTCAACAAGCCTCAGAGACCAAAGGTAATGTGAATTAACAGGAACGCGATCTGTTTGAATTGCCACCCACTTTGCCGGGCCGTAGATGGACAGAGCGCAGGTAATAAGCAGCAAGCAGCCATGCGCGGAATGCTCTGTGGCACTGGCATAGAAAGTGACAGTGACAGAGTAACATCACAAGAGAGCTCCAAGGGGCAAGTGAAGCAAGCGCATGTTATCAAGTTTAATTTAGTGGGCTTTTCCGCATAGGTACGATAGTAGATGGAGAGGGGGATGTTATCACACATTAAATTACCTACTTACTATGTATGTACACACAGACTCCTAGATATCAATTATCAACCCTGTAGGTACCGTACTCCGCAGATCCCGACCGGCAGGCCGACGGGATTCACAGACGAACAGTTTAAGTCCGTCCGTGTCCGCTCCACTCCCTCCCAGTCAGTCAGTCAGTCAATCAGTCGGTCGGTCGGTCGGTCCACCCCCGCTCTGGCTCAGCAAAAGAGGTGAAAGAAACATCAACGATGGGAAACAGAAGACAAAAAACCTGGAGAAGAAACACGCGGAATGCCGGTTCCGAACCCTAGTCGACTGGAAACTGGAACTGGTACTGGTTCTGGAACTGGAACTAGAACTGGACTGGACTAGACTGGACTGGACTAGACTGGACTAGCCCGGGCTGGGCGTGACCTAGGCCTGGGCCTGGGCCTGGACTGAGCTCATCATCTTCGTCACCCGCCCGCCCAGGGAAAAGCAGTGTAGGTAACACGCAGAATCCCGCAGGGCTACTCCGTCGAACAGCAAAAACGACAGGGTAGGTTGAGGCGAGGCGGCGAATGTGGTAAGGGCGAGGCGTGGCCAGGGTGGCGTGAGTGCAAGGCAAGGCACAGGGCTATCCGTCGTGTGATGATGGAACACGATGAGGGCCGGATTAACTGGCCGGCCGGCGACCCCGGGAACAGAGAGGACTGCGGGATTCCGACGATCACAGAGATCAAGACAAACGATGGATCCGTGGAACACATAGCTCAGGACATGTTTCAAAGACAAGAACAGCACCGCCTGTGGAAGCTTAGAGTCAATTGCTCCCTTGTGTATGCATGCTTATTAATAGCATTCTCGGGATTTCTCTTTTGGGATGCCTCCTTTGGGACATTCTTTCTTGTGTTTTTCATTCGCTTCCTCTTTTGGGGTTTTCACTTCGCTCACTCAGAATGGCCACTGATGACCCAATAAGGGATATCCCAAAACCCCGGGTTCCGAATATGCAGGGCAAGATCCAGCCCTACGACAGACGGCCTTTTTTTTGGCCCTTGCCTCTCTCGAGTCCGTGTTGTGTGCCGTGTGGCTCGTGTTGTCCCTCTTGTCTGGCCTGACTTGTTATGGCAGGTGGACAAAAATGAAACCGAAAACCCTGCTTTGGTTGACAATCTCCCAGATTCCGTCGTTGGTTGTCATCTGCACACGCAATCACCAATGTTTCTTTTCCCAGAGATCTCCAGAAGCTAACCTCACCCCTTTGTTTTGTTTCTCACACCCCCAGAACCACCCAGCCCCAGCCTGACCTTGGATATCACGCGCACCATGGGGTATTCCTAGAGAAAAAGAAGAAAAAAAAATAAAAAGTCGCAAGTAAACATACTCGCTCGAGCAAATGCTGTCATAATCTTGCGTGTGACCTATATAAAGTGGGGTAGAAGGGTCCATGAGCATGATGGCGTCACGTTCGTTTCCGCACTGTGTTGTGTGGCCAACCGTAGTCCCTCATTCGTTCCGTCTAGATGAGCACATCCTAAGCACCCTCGATAGGCGGGACAAATGTGTAGTTGAAGTCTAGTAGGCCATCCAACATCCAGTGTTGCGGGTCCCAAACATCATATCCGTTGTCTGGGTAGCTGAGGCTTAGGAGAGAGGCCGGCGGGCCTCCTAGCGCATTTGGAGTCAATGCACCATTGGAAGTCGCCATGCTGAGAGCGGCCGGGATCCCGTGGGACGGGGGCGCCAAGGTGCTGTCCAAATGAGTCGAAGAAGCTGATGATTCATTAGCTGAATCAGGATTTGTAGGTTGCTTGAGGGCTACCAAGGTTTGTTGTCTTAGCATGCAGACGTCTCTGGGGTAACAGGGCAAATCAAGCGTTTGATGGCAACTTACCGTCCAGTGTACCTCGGCCTCTGGCTTGGTACTCTTCCCTCCAATGCCAAATCGAGTCGAAGACGAGGCTCATGCTGTGTCGGCACCGCACTTTCAGCTGGAGACTATCGTCAACGTCGATTCCCATGTCGTCAGCCGGGTGGAACGGTGGCTGGGTGCCCTCAAGGCGGGCGCCGTTCCAGATCTGGACCATCAGCTCGGCCAACCTCCAGTAGAGGTCGTTTTGCACCACGCTGGTTGTCCTGATGGCCCGGATGGTCCTGTGGAAAAGGTCACGGCCGCGCTCGAAATCGATGTACTTGGAGAAGAAGGACCTCAGAAGCTTGAGCAATGCAAATCCGGCCGCGACCAGCATCTGCTGCATGTAGTTGGTGGCGTACTTAACCAGGAACTGGTCGCGGAACTGGTACTGGAATATATCGGGGCACATGGGATCGACATCCAGAATGTAGTCGAGGAAGCCGGCCGTGGCGCGCCACAGGCCCATCAGGTCGTCTACGTAGCCGGGCGTATTGCTCGAGTCGAAGAAGCCGGCCAGGCGCAAATGCAGGCCGGCCGCCTTCAAGTGGAGGTTGATGACGGGCGACAGGTCCTGCGACAAGATGGACGCCTGCAGCTCGTTATATTCGCGGCGGTAGACGCGCGTAAGCATGGCGCGGTGCTCGTCGCCGGCAACGCCGCGGGGATCGCTGGCGTTGCTGTACATCTCCTTAGACACCTTGTCGCAGAAGCGCTCTATCTGCAGCCTAGCCTCGAGCTCGGGCCCCAGGGTAAAGGGGCCCGAGTCGCCGGGGCGGACGGCGAGGGTCCAGTCGTAAAGCGTCGAGGCGGGCTGGCCGTAGCCGGTGCCGATGGTCTGGGCGACAATGTTGCACACTGCCCACGTCTTGATGCGATCGTGCAGGCCATCCTTATTGAGCTCTACGGGAAACCGGGAAAAGTCGTTGATGTGATTGGGCCGGTGCAGGCCGATGCCCGTGGCCGTCTTCATCATGACCCCGCAGAGGATGTGGGTGGGGTCCGACGTTGACGTGCTCGTGGGCAGGGGCCAGGCGCAGAGCAGGCACAGGGCCTTGACTGCGCAATAGCTCTGAGGCACGTCGCCCACCGTGGTCCAGAGCAGCCTGGTCAGGGGCCCCGACAGCTTGGTTAGACAGGCGGGGTCCTGGGTGAAGCGGCGGCTGGCAACAGCTATGATGGCCCAGTAAAGCAGGGCGTGCTGTTGGTAGTACTGGTCAGGGGTCTGGGCGGGGTTGAGGAAAGGCAGGAAGGGGTGGTAAAAGGTGAAGAACTGGCTGAACAGCTCCCGCTCGTCGTCCTCGGTGAGGCGGAAGTCCTCGAGCTCGCGGACGATGCGCGGCAAGTTGTACGAGCCGCCGCGTTTCAGGTGAAGCAGCGACGACACGGCCTCGTCGGAGCCCATGAGCGAGGGGTTTCGTGTGTGTGAGTACTGGCTGTTGACGACGGGTGACTGCAGCTGCGAGTGTATGGGGTCGTCGTCGATGTCGTCCACGATGAAGCCCTGTGCCTTGGCGGCCTGGACGGAGCGGCGCAGTTTTTCAATCTCCTTTTCCATCTCGGCATGCTTGGAGCGCTTGCCGACGCGCTTGAAATTAGACTCGATCTTACACTCTAGGGTGAGGCGGTTGCAGCGGGAGCAGCTGCGAAAGGGGTCTTGTACGACATCACATCGTAGCTAGAATGAGGGGGGCGGCGTAGTGGACGGCGGTGCAGCCACCGACCACGACGCGAAGCATGTTAGCACTTGGTCCTAGAGCATCCCCATGGCAGTAACAATGGTGGTAGCAAGTAGCGGCAGCCATTGTGGCAGGTCAGGTCAGGTCAGGTCAGGTCCGGTCCGGCCAGGCAACGTCAGGTCAGGCAGGCCAAGGCAGGGCAGGGCAGGAAATGTCGTGCACGGTGGGCGCCAGGCTCTCTTTTGGGTAGTTGCCATCAGCAGAAGAGAGACAAGCACCCGGACACCTAGCCTAGGGAATGAATGGTTGATGACGAATGGCGAAGGAAATGTGAATGCATGTTGCGCGTTGTGTATGACTGGACTGGGCTGGGCTGGGACTGAGATAGCTATGAGTCAACCCCACACACCTTTTGCTGGCGGCACTCGTTGCACGCGCGCTTGACGCCGGGGAGGCGGCGGCCTTTGGTCTCGGGCGAGTCATCGTCGCGGTCATCGAGATCGTGGTCGAGGTCGTCGTCGTGGTGGCGGTCGTGGTCGGGGGCGCTGCCCGGGCTGCTGTCGAGGAGGCTGCGCTTGCGCTTGGGGCCGCCTCCAGCTCCTCCTCCATTGGAGCCGTGGCTCCGCATGGCGGCGGTAAACTCGGGGCTCTCCATGGGCCTAGAGGGCCGAGGGCGAGGGCAGCGAGGGCGGGGTGGGGGCGGCGAAGGCGGCGGAAGGGTCTAGTGGCTCCCAATGCCCGGGACGGCACGGAGGCAGTCAGATAGGCTGATCGCCGCGGCAGGATGCTCGTTGGGTGGTCCGGTCTCGCGATTGCGATGAGGGAGTTTTGGAGGAGAAAAAGCCGATTTACGGACTGGTGCCCTTCCAGCCAAGGGCCAGGTGTCCCACCCCCGCCCTGACCTTGTCCCCTCTTCTGCTCCAGCGGCAGCCAGCGCCCATGGCAATGGCTTTTGGGCGAGAGAGCGGGGAACCGAAGAATTTGAACGGCTAACTGCGGGGCTGGGCGTGACCAGCGCAACACCTGATTGGTCCGAGGAAGCCCTCTGGGTGTGTGGTGGGACCCAAGGTTTATGTGGCAAGCAGCCGGCGAATCGTTCTCGACCTTGACTGACAAAGAGGCCGAGACGTGAAAACCTAGCATTGCGACACTGACCTTTCCATCCATTGCCATTGCTCCACGCTCCACGTGTGTATGTGCAATATGTCTCCATTGTGTGCACCGTTGGACCCGGTTCAGGCTTTGTGCAGAGTCTGGACATCTGGGCTCTCTGGATGCACTGACTACTAGCTATGGAGTACAGGTGCAGAGTGCATCGCGGCAGCCGTTGAACAAGTCGACAATCAGTCACCCACGGCTTGAATTCTTGGCTGGATCTTCATCCGAGGGGGGGGTTGGGGTTTATACGATTTCGAGATGCAGCAAAACTGATACTACGGGGAAGGTACAAACTGACCTGACTTCAGATATTGGCATCATGTCGTACGTTTTCCAAAATTAATTCCGCACTCGATAGAAGGCACGATGCAAGCCGCCAACTTTTTAGGGTTTACACTCACACTGCAGTTGAAACGGCGTTGCGAAAGTGTCCCGCCAATCATTGACTCAGTCGGTTCCTTGTTCTTTCTTCCTCCAAGCCTCATTTGCCTGGTAGTAGGTTCGTGGTAGTTTCCGATTTGACCTCGATTTTTGGCGTCTACCTTAGTCGTATTTTTGGATGCAAGAAACTGAAAATGGATTTGGAAATTCTGCTTCACCTCGGCCGACCCCTCATTGCCTTCAAGCTGTTTGCGTGTTTGAAGATCGCCCACCCGAGACGATCACCCCCTTTCGCAGGGGAGGCTCCTATGTCACTCGCACAGTACATTGTCTTGCACGCAACCACTGGGCTTTGTACTTGAGTTGAAAGAGTTATAGATTGGCAAGATTGACACAATTGACAAATTGCCAATGGCCGCGAGCGGTGAGGCATGAGGACTCGAGGAGGGGTCGCGCCATTCTGACTCCGACGACCGACTTCCCTAGTCTAACAAGTTGGAAATAAGGCTGGGCCTCCTGCAGGGCTGAGCCGCGCCGTTGCGTCTCGACAGGCGAATCTGCGGGGGGGGGGTGAGGGATGCCTCCCTTTGGCCGCACCGCACCGCAAACTTCAAAAGCACCCAACACATGGCATGGGTCGGGTGGCGGGTCCTTGGAGCGCGGTCGGTCGGTGAGGTTGAGCCGGGAGTGGGACACACTGCCAGCCATCCATCCGTTCACTCAGCAACCTAACATCATCCCACATCCCACGCACGACATGTGTATTACTATACGCAGTACACACATCAGCAGTCTGGGCCGTCGACACAGGAGGGGCTCTGGGACTATCCCCTCGGACAAGTGACTGGCCCGCCTTGCGGCCGTTATGCGCAACCTACCTCCAAAACCTGGCAGACTCCCGCACCCAATCCCATGCTGCCTGCATATACTGGCTAGGTGCTCATGTCGGGAAGGGATTTCGAGCCCCCGTGTCCGTGTCCGCCCACGCCCGCGCCCGCACCCGTCGCTCGCAGGCCCATAACCATCTCTCTGACCGACTTCCAGGTTCCGCTCCATCCATCCTGGGTGACCGGGGCCCCCGCCTATGGGGTACCTCGGGTATTAGATTGAGGGTATGACTATGGGCCATGGGCCATGGTCTATGGGCTATGGTCTATTGACGAGAATGGGCATAATTTGGCCAGGCCTATTTGTTGTTCTAGCCCGTGGCCCGAAGTGGCAAGAGACTGCTGATGATGGTGAGTGGTGAGAGTTGCATACATGGCAAAAGCCCAGTCTCTTGGCTTCCGGCAAGGATAATGTCGACAGATGCGGGGCTCAGGAAAATGATGCAGCCATATGCCAATCATTGGCCTGAGGGTCGAAGGAGTAATTAGCTTGCGCTTGTTCCTGCCACGGAATGGGCCTCGAGGGCCCTCAGCTCGGGCCTCCTGACAGCCGCCTCCCTCTCTTGAAACCAACAACCGACGTGCAGACGCCAAATCGCAACCACAGAAGGCTTGACAGTCCATCACACAGCCGCAACATCCGCTCTGCTGCCTGCACCGCACCCGCCCCGTCCTGGCTTTTGACACGTGAAAGGACGAGACGCAGTCGGCGCCCTCAAAGCACACCTCGTTTCCTGCCTAGTCAGTATCGTCAAATGTCATATGAGGCCGACCAGTGAGATGGAAATGAAGCGTTTGCTGTGCAGGCAGAAGAGAATGGGCCGAAATTAAGCCACGCCACTTGCGGGAGAGCATGTATTCTTTCCCATGTGTGTGGTGCCGTCGCCACTTCCGCGTGGCTGGCTGCACTGCGACAAGGAGGCGTGTTGCCTGGCCCTGAAGGATGCTTTGAGCTACATGCCTTATCTGGAACCTTCCCGTTCAAACTAAGTAGAAGACCAGGGTCATGATGGGACGGTCAAAGGGACAGGCCTTTGACGAAAAGCAAAAGGGCGCACTAGTGTAGACAGAGGGCACGGCCAGGAGAGATGAAAAATAGTCAACAAACGGGGCAGGAAACTGTCACCTCGCCCCTCGAAAAGCGAATGAATGACACTGATTAGTACCGCGTACTATGGCCGTCGCCGCTCCTTCGGGAGGGTGGGGGTTTTTGCGGAAGGTGAAAAGTTTTTTTTCTTTCTGTCATATCCGTCTTTGGCCTCAGATCACCTTCGGGGCATGAACCGCGGCATGAATCTCGGCAGTCATGACGACTGCTGGGGGGGGGCCAGAACCAGAGGCAGAGGCAGAACCACAACCACAACCACAGCGGGTGTGAATGCAAAAGGACGGAAAATGCATGGGCCCACTCACTGTCTTGCCCCATGAAATCCTTCCATCGTTCCAAATCCCTCGTCGTCCGTGCCCTCTCCCCTCGACTATACTTGACCCCTGGGGCTGCCTTACGAGGCCCGAGATGCGCTGCGTCGCGGATGTCTGGGTATACCCGAGGCACGAAAAAAAAGCATGGGCCGGCAGCCATGGCAGAGATCTCGGCCATGATTTGGTTGCCGAGAGGGGGGCTCCCTACGTGTACTTGCAACAAAAATTAACGCGCACGTCGAAGACGTAACGGGGCATGCCCGCCCCTACCGCCGACCATAGGATACCTCCCTTTGCTATACGGAACCGTTATGCTAGCTATATACTAAGTAGCTTGTTGGCTGTGTGGCCGGACTCGACGACGGCAACACCCGCGTGCCCCTTTCCTTTTTTCCTTTTTCCTTTGCTCCCGTTATACCCTGAGATGGAAATAGAGATTGGTAGGATCCCGGGATGCAGCAGGCAGGGAAATAGACAAAGAGTTGGCTAACCTGTCTACTACCTTGGGGCACGTCCCTATTCGTGAGAGACGAAAGAAAACACTGTCGAGATGGCCGAGGTGGCCGAGAGCCGAGCCAAATGGCAGGCAGGGAGGCAGGCAAAACCGGCAGGCAAAAGAAACACACACATACATACAGACACGCCACAAACACCAAACATGCCCGACGGACTGCTTACGTATGTACTGCTAGCGATCGACAGATGACAGAAGGCCAAAAGAACCGACCGACGTAGCGGTCTGACTGACTGACTGACTGACTGACTGACTTACCGACAAGCCCGGGCAGGCAAGGAATCCCTGGCCGTCTACCTATCTAGGGAAACCAATTGGCATCATCTCCATCCGGCCGGGGAGACGGCAGCACACTTTACGTACTCCTCCCCCTTTTCTACAGAGACAGACGAGAGGAGGTGGTGCCGGTGGGGCGTCCCCAGTAGGAGCGGAGTGAACTCCGGCTTGGCTCCCTAAGTAGAGCAAGAAGGTCTAGGCGAACCCGCTCCTCTCGCCCTTGTTTCTTCCCCAGGCCGAGGCCCAGGCTACCAGGCGCCACATGTCGTGATCCTTGGCCGCCGAGGTGTCTGCCTCTTAGTGTTCTGTGTTTTCGTGCGGTTCGGGACCCTGTCTCAGTCATCTGCGCCTGCTAGGGGGCAGGCAGGTATACTCCCGTCACAGAATCCATCCTCATATATCTAATCTATTTGCTATTAAGCTGAGAGTTATTCATTGAAGGGATCCCCCCCGGCTGCTTGGAGATTTGCCGACGAAAAAAAATCTCTTCTCTCGGCTTGTCCGGTTTTTCATCTCTGGTATCTTTCCTTGTCACCTGTACTTTCTGCAATGCATACACACATACACATGCAAAATGCAAAATGCAAAATGCAAAAAAAAGCGGAAACAAAAAACAAGAAAAAGAAACAAGGTGGACTGGGATCCCTTGACATTCCACACCGGTTAGGTCCTCCCGGGGGCTCTGGAGGTGTCTATCTCTGTGCGTGGGTGTATAGTGTTTCGACCTGCTCGGTCAGTGTTTCTTCTGTACGCCGGCCGGGCTATATCTGGCGTTGTTCAATGTCACCCATCCTCAGGCAAAGTCGTATGCCGATGACTGCTGTCTGTTAAGGGAGGTCCTTTGCCGTCGCGGCTCCTTCTCCTCTTCCTTGTTGATGTTCTCGGAAGCGGGAGTAAGTCAGTAAGTAAGCCACTCAGTCGCCGAGTCAGTCTGTCCGTTGTTCTGCGGTGTGATTGCATATCTATCTTCTGCAGCCGGGTCTGCTTGTTTGTTCCCCCCACGAATCCTCCTGGGCAATGGCAGGATAGAGCACGGCCGCGCCTTCTTTCTGTTTGTCTGGGTGGTTACGCGTTCCTCTCTCGCTCTCGACAGTTCGGGGCCGACCGACCTGGCCAAGGTAGGTCTTGTTATTCGCTAATCGGGTCTTTCCTCGTGTGTTTCCTCTCGCTCCTTGTTTGAATACATTCGCGAGATATCTCTTTCGTGGCGAGTAGCGAGTGCCGGGGGCTGTTGTTTCCGATTACGCAAGCCGGCCGCAGGCAGCGTATGATCTGCTCATGATAATGCAGGAATGGCGGTCTGGTACTGAGCATGGCTGGAGAGTCTTTTTACGGCTATCGATAGATGCTTCCCTGGCAGCAATGAGGTACCGTATGTATGTATGTACCCTCGAGTACTGGTACAATGCCCTGCGTGGCCGGTTGTAGTTCCCCCGTGAAACTCCCTGTTGGATATCGTGCCGTGTTGGACTAACAGGCGCGCGCGAGCAGGCGGAGACTTTTGAGGGCTGGTTGTTATTGTTTTTGTTGCTTAACAGTAGGTTCAGGAGACAGGGGGACAATAAGCCATAGCCCCTATACAAGAAAAGTTGGCAAGGATTTGAGGTTTGAGAGGCAAATAGTGCGTGTGTACTCTTGGGCATTCCACAGATTCTGGAGCCGTCAAGCAGTATGGCTGGACGCCCCTAAGAAGAAAGTTGAGGGGTTTATAGGCTCGTTTCTTCCCCACCGCTTTGTACCTGCTAAAGCGAATATCCAAGAGCAACTAAGGTTCTTCAGCAGTGCTTCTCAGCCCGCGGAATTGTTGCTGCGTCTTTATTTTTCCCGTGAGGAAGTCATCAGGGGCAGAGCTGTTGAAATACGGCCTCCTGATATCTATTCAAGTGCGTCTTTCAGTTTATATTGCATTTTTAGTTTATATTGTATGGTGATCGGTTAAATATGGCCGTCGGTGAGAGTCTTGTGTCTGCTAGGTAGATGGAGGGCTAAACCCCTACAACCTCAGTCACTTAACATGGCTTTAAAATTCCCGAAGGTAGTCTTTGAGTCCCATCTAGTGTATTTTCGATGCTATTCTAGCTCCTAGTTTCATGGCTGTGTGTTTTGCAGAACCTGTGTTGTTCTTCCCTCCCTACAATATCATGAAAAGGAGGCAAATATTTTACTGCTCTAGTTCCTAGCCTAGGTGGCAAACAGACCCAATCATTGACCTGCAGTCGGTAGACTAGGACCACTATCTATATGTGTGGTCTCCCCTTTTTTATCTCGAATTTTATGGTGGGTTGCTGAACTGAGAAGATGCCGCCTTGTCTTCCCCCTATTTTCTTGGTTGATGTATGGGCAATATAAAAGCCACTCGACCGACCTTGAGCTAAACGAGGTGGAGAATGGCATACGAATTTCAAGGAATATGACAAGTGAATTATAGATCGGACGAAGCAAAGGATGAGCGTGGTCTCTCGGGAGGCAGGCTACGATCGAAAAAGGGGGAGCCGGTTTCCTCTAGCAAAAGGTGTTCAGCGTGCTTTGGTGTGAACGGACAAACAGAAGAGGTTGCCCTTGAGATGGTCATATTGGTTGGGATGAAGAATGTCTAATACCCTATCAATTAAAGACATAAGATATTCCTCTGGTATCCGGATTTGGCTATAAGTACTCAGGCACAGTCACGAGCAACTAGCTAAGGCCCTCGACAAGTATACGATGCGCTATAGAGTCGTAGACCATGAATGGAATATCTGCTTGTTGTGGTTAAAGTCTAATTTAGTGTACATGGCCTAGGCGATGAGAGCCAAGTCTAGGCCTGCCCAAGTATGCTTTATATTGACCAGGCTACGGCTGGAGGTGGGAACGGGTCCCAGTTATGATATGGCCATGACGGCCGACACAGTCTCGCAGACCCCATCCGGCCACCCATTTTCCCGCCTCCAGACAAAGACAGTTACGCACATATCCTTCTAAAAGCTTCCCTTAATTCCTCCACCACCCTTTCTCAATAGATTCCGTACCAAAAGATAGACGCCAGAAGCCTAGTATTGCCAACCAAGAGATAGCCAGCCAAGCCTGCGCGTCAAAGAATATCGATGCGCCAAAACGGACGAGCACGCCAGAGTCGAACGAGCGCAGAAGTATCACGGAGAGAAAAAGAAAAGAAAGAAAGAAGCAATTAGTAGATATTGTACGCCTGGGTGTGGAAGCGGTCGACCTCACGCCGGGTCAGGGGCACGCAGCCGCCGCACGAGCAGCGGAAGCCGAAGATGCGGTACAGCTCGAACGGGTTGCTGCCGTACATTATGAGCAGCTCGGCGCCGCGCGGCACCCTGTACACGTTGATACTAAACGTCATGGCGTTGCGCGCGACGTCGTAGCCGTAGCGCACGTTGCGCACCGGCGCGCACGCGTGGTTGAAGCGCGACGCCACTTGGAACAGCGCCACGCCGCCGGGGATCTGGAAGCTTTTTTTTTGGTTGGTGCTCTGTTAGTTAAAGCCCTCTTTTGTTTCTTGGAAGGGAAGAAGAAGAAAGAAGGAAGGGAAAAGAGGGAGAGAGACATGACTTACGAATTTACACGAACAATCCCATCAATACCGTCCGGGCCGTCGGGGCTGTGCAGCGCTAGGATGGCCGCCCGGTCGTCCTCGCTGAGTTTGTAAAAGTCGCTGCCAAAGGAAAAGTGTGTCGTGCATAGGATCGGCTGCTCGATCAGGATGGTCTCGCCGTGCTTGAGGTCCCGGACGGCGAACGCGCCCAGGCCGCCCAGCGGCGACGGGCGGATCTCGAAGAAGTCTTGGTATCGATGGGGAGGCGCGTCGTTTTCATCATCCTCATCATTCTTGGAGAAAGCCGGCCACGGGCTGACGTGATAGTCTCCTGCATCATCAACGTGGGCAGCTGGGTCGGTCAAGGCGCTGGCTTCATCCTTCACGTAGAGCTCTTCCCGGCCCAGTGAGGCAGTCGTATTCGGAGAGACTGAGCCAAGAGGGTCAGTGGAAGCAGGGACATCTTGCGAAGTAACCGAGTCACTTGATGACGGCGGAGCCTCGGCCTGGTCGGTAACATTCTCTTGCGCTGAAAGGTTCGGCTGCCTGTCATTTTGGCCTTATTTTAGCAACACGGAATTCTCAGATGGAGAAAAAGAGGTAATAAATTACTTTGGCCGTACTTGGAAGACCTGGATTCCATTCCGATAGCCCTTGAGGAAAATGGCGTCGCTGTCCGGATACGCTTGGATTGGGCGTGTTAGCGCGACGTATCTGTTGTCCATGCGTGACACTCGCTTGATGTCGGCCAGCGCGAAATATGGCTCAAACTGCGACGAACTCAACGCGTCGCCACCAGCGTCGTCGCTTTCACTGAAGCTGTCGGACGAGGTCGGGCTCGTAGCTTTGCTCTCTTCTTTGTCGTCTTTACTCTTGAGGACACTGATGGGTGTCGTCTAAAATTGTAAAATGCCGGTCAGACAAATTACATGTCACAAGTGCGATAAATGCTGCATCAAAAACTCGCCTGAAGCATGGTGTTAAAGTCGATCACGTTGCCTTCAGTCAGCTTGGGCAACTCCGGGTCGGGCGTTGCCATGCCATGGTCGCTGTGCTGCCTGTCGTCCTCGACGAAAGACTGAGAAAACTGGTCCCAGGCCGACATTGTGTTTGTGGACGTGTTGTGCCTGTGAAACGGCTGGGAATTATTGCCGCGTCTGTCAGTTCGAGACTTGCAGTTTTTTTGAGACCCCAAGTTCAAAATTGGTCGAGGGCAGGAGAAAGGTAGAGGGAAGCGGCAGCATGAATGGTGTCGGCGTCGTGAGGAAGGAGTGCATGGGTGTAGAGAGAAGTGGCAGTATGGATAGTGTCGGCGTCCTGAGGAAGGAGTGCTTGCGTGCAGAGAGAAGAGGTTGTCGGGTTATTTTGGGAATTCGAGGGACAGCAAAATTGAGGAATTAAAATACATCGGCTAAACCTGATGAAGAAGGAAGCAGGTAATTGTGCAGTCCGTTGAGTTCGGCCCCGAAGAGAGATGGGAAGGCAGTGAAGGTGTCAGGCATCTACGAGGCACGACGACTCGAGGGGCAAGAGGCCGTGAGAGAATGCAGTGGCAGGTAAGTACCTAAGCAGAGGAGAATGGACCCAGGACTCGCAGTACCAAGTCAAATGCCCAAAAGTGTAGAATGAATGTCAGGTGTGCCAGCCGTTTTGGGCACACTGCGTCGTCTTTAAAATTTGCCAGAAATATAGCCTTGGCCCTTCAATTTATCTTCTACTAGTCACGTCATCTGTTAGCACTTGACTGGAAAGCACGAGATCCTGCCCTACTCATCCTGCTCCCGATCCTGATTCTGAACCTCACTCTCCACCCTTTACCAGTTAACGAGAGGGAGCTGACTGGCATTCGTCTACACAGCATCTCATGGTGAAGGAGCTCGACCAGTGCTACTCCCAAGACATATAAATTGAGGGCCGGATAAGGAAGAATCCAGATGTAGTCTTGCTAGCATGAAGGCGGAAATCCAGGAAAGAACGGCAAGACCGGCTTGGAGAGAATATCTGCTGCCAAGGTAGGTAGGCAGAGCATTTGATGCCCTCGATGCAAAGATGTCACCTCATGTGGCAGTTAAAGACGATACGACCAAAGGCAGATAGAAAGGCGGGAATGCTCTGCAACGTGAACGAAAACATGAACATGCATCTCTTGTGTCATGGTAAACAGCCTTGAGTTCCCCATCACTGTTGAGGACGGCACCAGATACAACTATGGGACACATTCCCGCATATCTTCTTTGGTCGATATGGTCGTCAAGAAACACCTTCAGACAATGAATGGGCGCCTTGTACGGCACGCACATAATGCTCTCGAGCCCGTTTCAGCAGCCCTTTGAGGTTGTAGGTGGTCTTAACACGTGCGTCTGTTTCCATTGTTCAAGTCGGAAAGCGGGTTTCTGTTGTTGGCAATCTACATTGGATACTGGCAGATGTTTGGTAGCATTTTTTATATGCGTAAGTAAATAAAGACGTACAGCCTGAGCCCGTTTCAGCACCCCCCCCAAGATTGTCAACAATGCCGTCTCACCCTTTTCTCGATCATGTTCAGTATAGGGGTCTTTATTTGCGGGATCCCGTAGTGTTTGCCGCCCTTGGCGGAATTACTGGAATCCCCTCACCAGACACGATCCTTCCCTCGGACAAACACGGCAGTCTGGGCCAGCGTGCTACCACCGTGTCGGTAGCACCGAGTGTTGTTGGTACTGACCGAGCCAGCCGGAAGAGCAAGCACACGACACGCCCCTGTCTGCCAAAGTCCTCTGTCACACGTCTCACATGGTATTGCCGGACAGGTACGCTGAGTTGGCTGAACACATCGGCGTCGCAACAAGACGCACAAGGCACGTGGCTATCACTCGTCTATCTGCCCAAGCCGCAAAAAAATGCCGAGTTTGTCCAGACATCCAGTCCTGTCCGTCCCCAACAGTCTGCCCCAGGTCAAGTCACACACCTGCTTACCCAAGACCGGCCCCACAAGCCGCCATGGACAACGTGTCTGCCGCATATTGTAGCCGGTTCCCGGGTAACGGCCCATCTGGTAGTATATAGAGGAGCGGTCGGTCTCTACATTGCCCACCATCACCTCTTACATGCCTCACCAACCCCTAGGTACCTGCACAATCTCGTCAGCAAAAGCCAAAAGCTCAACAGCAGTCACCATGCTCCTCCTCATCCTCATCCTCAGCATCCTCGCTAACACGGGAGTCAACGCGGCCCCGGCGCCGGGTGTTCTCGTCAAGAACCCATGGCAAGCCCACGGACCCGGCGGCAGCACCAACAACGGCCAACGACGAGGCGTGGTTGCAGGCGTCTTGGAGGACGTGGCCCGCTTCGTCCAGCGCCATGCCTCGCTGTTGTCGCCGCCGGGCGCCGTCCTGCAGCCGCTGCTGCTCAACGGCGACAAAAACGTGCTCGCGGCCCGTGGCGCCGCCGACAACTTCACCGTCACCACGACCGTCTTCGTTGTCGCCCCGACGCCTTCGTCGCCAGCATCAGCAGCAGCTCCCGCTACTTCTTCTTCTTCTGACGTCGCGGAAGGCGTCTCGACCCTCTTCTTCTCCACCGTGACCGTCACACCGACGCCCGCGGCGGCCGTCACGCCCGCGCCCTTCTCCACCGCAGCAGGCCCGTCCACCGTCACCGTCGTCGTCCCGGCGTCCTCGGCCGCCGACGCACCGCCGCTGGTGCTGACGACCGTCTTTGTCACCGCGCCGGTGCCTCTTTTGCCCTCGTCTTTGTCGTCGTCGTTGTCGTCGTCGTTGTCATCGTCGTTGTCGTCGTCGTTGTCGTCGTCGTTGGACATCCCGCCCGAAGTCACCGTCACCGTGACTGCCTCGGTCCCGGCCGCACCGGAAGGCGAGACCGTCACCATCTCGGGCGCCGACGTCGTCACCACCGCCGTCCTCGGCGGGCCCCTCAGCAGCGGTGTTCTGGCCGATGTGTCTTTGGTGACCGTGACGTCGACGAGCAGCTGGGTGAGTTTCTCGTTTTCTTTCCTTCCTTTTTTTCTGTTCTCTGGTAGATAAGTGGCAGCTAACTCGAGGGGAATGTGTCGTCTGGCGCGCTGGGCGAAATCGAAAAAGACCAGCGTCATCGTTGTCCCTACCGTGTTCGGGCTTGCTGACCGCCAAGCCGACCTCGCGCAGAGGCGCTGGTGGATTGGAGTGCCCGTGTCCGATGTGCCGAAAGTGTCGGCGACGACAGAGGCGACGACCGTTGCTTTTGAGGTGGGTGCCTGACTGCCTATGTGCCTGATTACCTATCATGGGGGGTTTTTTTTACCTCTACCTATTCTCTCGGCTCTGCAGAGCCCCTTTCTCTCTCGTTTCGTCCCTTCTCCTATCTTGCCATCTCACCTTCATCTCACTTTTTCCACTCCCGCCTTCTCTCGTTTGTGGTACCCAAGAATCTAAAGACACTGGCAACGCTAACAACAACAGCCGCGACTCCAGCCGGTGCTGGATGCTCACGAGACAATCGTCGTCGACAAAGCCAAACGCGAAGCCCTGCCAGTGCCATTTCGCGTCGAGACCGCCAAGCTCCTGGACACGGCGACTCGGGTTCTAGCTGCCAGGTATTCCCAGGACAGAGTCGAGAACAAGGATGACCTGTTGAAACCAGCCCTAGCTACCCGAGAAATGCTCTCTCTCTCAGAAAAAGAGCCCAGCGGACACCGCCACGAGAACAAGCATCTCGACCGGCCGGTGCTGGCTGCCTAGGAGGCTCTTGAAGTGGAGGACCGGCCGAAGCTGGCTCTGGGCGCGGAGGACGCAGTCGCTGCCGTCAAAGACGATGAAAAGAAGGTTCTCAACAACCGACGCGACGCCCAGCCGGACGAGTCAATTGAGATGCAGGACATGAAGTGCTTTACGACAACGACGACACCAGCGACGCCGGCGCTCCAAACGCCCGCGAAACAACTGCTGGCGCTGGTGACTGACTGACTCAACTAGTTGGGTTAGATGGATGATGAGTTGGAAAGAGAATGAGCCGCTGCGGCCTCGCAACGTCTATTCAGAAGCGCCGTCAAACTAGAACTAGATAGCAAGAAACACCCTTCCCGGCATTTTCGAGTTGTTGCTGTCTATTTCCCGTGGTACTTGCGTGCTAGTCTCGGAGCGATGGCTGACTGCGCGAAAAAAGGGGGGAAGTAAATACAGCGCACGGGCCTTGGCTCTTTGGGCGAGTGTTGCAACAGCGTTCGCAATCGGCTTTTTTCACCCCCAAAAATGGGACTAAAAGTCTGAGGGATTTGGCGCAGATATCGATACATCCATTTCTCCAAAGACTATAAGCCCATTCGCCACGCACACCGACTATTGTCCTTGCAATTCTTGCTTGAAGGCCGCCCGACATGAATAGCCTTGCCATCTGTCTCGGACATCATGCAACCAGCCGCGACTGCTCTTCCCTGTTCCCTGCTCAGGATGCCCGGCTGCTCGAGTATCGACGCCCGGTTGCTCGAGTATCGACGCCCGGCTGCTCGAGTATAGACGCCCGGCTGCTCGAAAATCGACGCCCGATTGCGCAGCATCGCCCGAAATAATGCCCGCGCTGAACAAGTCTTCAACTGTATTGGTGCCTGAAGGCCGCACTTGGCAGAGATGTGCCGCTTCCATGGCGGCCGAGTCAGCCTACCCCCACCCTCTCACATGGTATAGTCTGGGCCTCTGGACGGCTCCGACATGTGATAGCGCATGGGGCGTCCATTGGGTGGCCGTCGGGTCCGCCTCCGTCTGGTGAGCGACCCGGTGAGCGAACCATTGCCTGAGCGCACCCATCGATCTCCACTGCGGCTGAGAAGATGGGGGTAGCAAGACTGCCATGCACCGTTTCCAACCAATCTTTTTGAACTCCCGCGATCTTGACAAATATTCACTCCATCACTCGGCAACAGTCAAGCACTGGAGAGCGTGTCACCAAGCCTCAGCCGCCTGAAAATGAATAGCCGGTCAGCATGTATGTACAAAGATACCCCGTAGGTAGTTGCAGTCCAAGGTATGGGTGGAAATACCAGACATTGCCCGACAACGATGCACGCAGCTCCCTAGCCAGATGGTGAACCGCGCACGCGCACTTGCAGCCCTGGTCGAGGCGAAATAGTGGAACCCGAGTTTCGATCGGAGATTGGCATGCGTTGCCGCTGTCACAAATATCTCGGCATTCAACTGCGGCCAGTAGATTCTAGCGAGCGCCCTGACGTGACGGGACTTCTGTCTCACAAGCTAGCCTAGCCGTCTAGACTGGTGGTGTGAACCGTTCCGCCCTTTGCGGATGCCTCGGCTGCGTGCAGAGCCTTGATAGAGCGGCCAAGCGATCTTGCCCTAGCCACAGTGTGTGAGGCTCCTGTTAGTTTGAGGGGAACTTGAGGCCTGCTCAGGAAGTCTCGACGGTTGAACAGACTGAACTTAGTGACAAGCCATGATTCACATCCGCTCTTTGCCCTCGGCTCACCGTTTCCCCCGCCCTCTCCCCCCCCCCGATCGCCCCCGTTTTCACTAGCCAGCTCGCTAGCCGCTATGTTTTTCTCCTCTTTTGTTTCTACTGTGTCTCCTTCACCCCTTTTTCTCTTCCCCACGGCGACATGTTAGACAGAAGCACATCACATCACGAAGCTCTGCGGCCAATGAAATTCGCAGAACACCATGTTTGGGCAAACAGATCCGTGAAATGCAGGGCATATATGATGGCATGATTGAATCTGGTGAGATCCTGCTCCGTGCGCCACGAGTCACTGCCATGTCGCGGCTTTGCTAGCAGGGCCGGTAGTAGATTGCTCTTTGACGGTTTCAAACTCCGCCACCTGGACACAAGAACCTGGAATGATGAGCTACCGTACCTACCTTGGCGAGCTAGTAGCTCAACGAGTGCGCGTGGGCTGATCTCCTGCTTGGACGGGGCAGCCGGCTTCTCTCTGAGCTTGCGGGGGGACAAGTGCGCGACTGAGAGTCTAGTTTGCTGAGTAACCCATATCTATTCCTCATAGGGCGGAAAATGACAAAAAAAAAGAAGGAACTTTTTATAAAAAATAACTGTAATCAAATGAAGGAAAAAAGTACTAGCCTCCGGTGGTTGCCTTCAAGGTTCTCTGGCCCGCTCGCTGGGAAGGCTCAATAGGGGGACAGTAACTTGGAAAGCGCGGGTAGTAGAAACCGCACTTACCCAGTGCTGTTACGGATACCTTCCATACTTTAGTTTGTACCTTCCTCACTCCGCCATGGAGCTTGCCAAAGGTGCCTGCCGCTCGGCGGAGCCATCCAATGCCGACGACAAGCGGCAACTAAAGTATCCTACAAATTATGATAGGGGCCTAGTAATTACTACTAGATTCTGTTAGACTTGCTCCCCACTCCCGACAAGCCCGTTACCGCCAGAATACCGGGAACCAACACGACACCATTGTCGTTCCGTCCGCGCTTCGTTGGGCGCAAATCGATTAGGCAGTTGACGCGCGCCACTGGCAAGATTTTCCGTTGTTTTATTGGTCACGGGCCAGCTGAAAAAAGCAAGCACTGGTAGTATTCAGTTTAGCGTTGCAATTGTCCTCGGTGTAGTTTAACCCAAGAACCCAAGTCGAATCTTGGGGATGCAAAACCGACGTAGCCGTCGGCCTAGCCTGCCGGACGAGAAATCAAAGCCGCTGGGTTGTGGGGGTCGAGCCGATTTATGGCGCATCTGCCTCTCCTCGCCGACATCCAATCTACGGACTCGATAGGTTGTCTCGACCATCATGGCACTTCGGCCATATGAAGCTTGATGTGCGTGGCCCCGCTCCCCTCAGTCAACGAATGTTTGGGCCCGTGCTCAACTTGGTCCCGACAGTCTGGTAAGTCTAAAAATATACATTATTGGAGTGGAGTCTAATCGAAATGAGGCTGCATAAAATTGCTGGCGTCGCTTCGTTCGTCAGTCGCCTGGCCCTTCGCTGCGCTACGGGACGCTTCCTTTCTCTCTCTCGCTCCTGGCAATTTAGGGCGCGACAGTTGACTTATTTAGATAACGTGGAGAGCAAGCGAAGCGACAATATCCTGTCTGGAGGCCAATAACTCCGATGCTCTTTTCTTCTTTAGCTTAGTTTTACACCAAATAAATACAGCATCTTATTGGTATTGTCCTTTATAATCCTATTAACCGTGACAATTATAATACGAATCGCGCTTCAGATTCAAAATTTCCGCAGAGTTATACACATAATGATACCAGTTGCATCAATTTTGGAAAGTGTGCTGACCGAATGGCAGAAAGGCACGTGATAGGGGCCTATGACACGTGACTAGGCGAAGCTTGGCAATTTGTCAGCCACTCAGTTGAGGATTGTAAGCTAATTCACCCTGGCGCCCCGTTAATGGGCTAACACCAGAAAGGGAACCAACAGATGGGCGGCAACCACACAAACCTACAAGCGAATTAACCAGGCCACACAGTTCCGGCTGCTTGTTGGCTTGGCTTTGGCCATGTCCATGAATTCCGTGTCACAAAATATAACAGGGAAATCGAATATTAATAAGACCTTGCTTAGGTTCCATCGACTCCTTTTGGGAGGGTTAGGTATGGCAAACGGTGCGGATTACCGCGCCACCAGTCAAACCAGGGTTGAATCCATTGCAAAGCGGATGCTCGGTTGAGGTTGGTGGCGTGCAGCCAGATCAAATCACATGTCTTGATCACATACCTAGGTCTTCCTGCACCAGCTCGGACCTAATTCCCTTTGAGACCACAACGGCATGACCTACTTACTATCTTAGCCTGCTCGGTGTACCGTCTTCAAAAACCTGGGAACGCTGTGCTGGCAGCGATCTTGCCAGCTAGCAACACCGTCCATCTGCAGGCATTTATGCGGCCGCCTTTATCGCGAGTCTCAACTCTCCCCGTCGGCCTTTGTCGGCCTTTGTCGGCCAGCTTTTTGACCGAGTCCTACCCAGAATTGCCAGACCCAAACTCCCGGGCTCGTTCCTCCTGAACTAATTACAGACCACGGCGGCCCCGATCGGTGCCGAGCCCCCAAACCCACGCATGCATCTCTCACAATTTCAGAGGGATTCCTTTATAATTACCCAACTATTAGCAAGCATCGGTCATTTCTGCAACGGCGTTACCGGATAATGACAACAAACCCTCGCAGCACCCAAATAAAGACCCGCGGCCCCTGTCCTATGTCTAGAGTCCAGACACTCGCACACGTATTCGCAAATCCGCCGTTCTCTCTTTCGCGAGGCAAAGTTTGCCGAGTGAGGGGTTGGCGCAGAAAAAAGTGGCAGGCTCGCAGTTGCCGATGAGAGCAGCCAATGGTTACAGACCCGGGGGAACGGTAGAGTCGCCGAATCAAACCCAACGCGTGTTCACCTGCGCCCAAGCTCGCCGATTTTTTGGCCAGAGGAATTCTCCCTCCCCCCAGTCCCCTTCCATGGAGTCAAAACGGCGTGGCCTTATCGCAATCCAGGTCTGCTTTTACCGTGGGATAGCAGATAGCACTAAGAAAGACAGGAGGGTATTAGTCGCTCATTTGGTTCGGTGGCTTTTCACGTTGCACAAAGCCCTCTCAGTTGCGGCCGTCGTCAAGCTCACTGGCGACAAGCGACAACCGCGCTGGAGCCAATCTAAACACCACCACGCTACCCACGAACGATCGAGCCACCAAACCTGAGAAGGGTATACACGTTTAGGCACGACGCAGGCGAGATTCTAGGGGTCTAAAAATTGCTCACAGGAGAGTGAGGGAGCTGTCCCCTCACGAGTCCCCTGGGCTCCAACGGCTGTTGAATACGCCACTACTGCACAGCGGCAATCAAAAGCCACACCAAACATTACCTTGCCTTGGAAAGTGGACACGAGGTTTCTGTGTCTTCCTATTGGCGGAGATTACGGAGCCAATACTCGAAGTCACAAACCGCCCCCCCCCCCCCCCCCCCCCGGCCTAGCGGCGCATCACCTTTGCACGACCAACCTCAGCCTGGCAATGAATGGCACGAAGACACGACACAGGAACCTTGCAAAATCTTGCATGCAGCCATCTTGTTGCTCTCCCCCCTCCCCCAATCACCCTCATCCCTTGCCTCCACAGTCTAGACCGCATTAGAGATGGAAGAGTGCCGGGGGGACGCAATCGACAGCCGTGCCACTCTCGCGCCCACAGTCACGTACATGTGAGAGCTGAGCAGTCTAGCCTGTTTGCCTTGCTCCCCCTTCTCTGCCCCCGTGCGGCGAGCGATCGACGAGACGCTGGCAGGTCTGCGTCTACTCCTTCCTTTCGCCTCTCTTTTTCTGCCCTACGGCGAGTACCGCAGCCTAAACGTTCGTCTTTCCGATGAAAAGCTTGGAAAAGGCAGAATCTGCTCTGCTATGTTCGCTCAAGTGCGTTTCATCTTATATTGCATTCAAGCTGTCGGGTGGGAATGCTTGATCTTCCGGATGGCAATCCTCGCTTCTATCTCTCAGATTCCATCTTCTGTCTCCCGTCTTTCGCCTCTTGTTTTCATTTGTGCGCAGTCTCGGCGAGGTAGTTAGACGCGCAGTGGTACCTGTCCCCCGGTCCCTGTCTCGTCATGCATAAACACAAATACCCGACGCAAGTCCCCGGCTCTCAAGCAGGCCAATACACAGGTCGCGAGACGTCATGTGACGTGTGTCAAGGAATAAACTTTTGATTTCTGAGCTAGCGCGGTGTTGTGAATCCAACTTCCAACAAAACACCCGGGGGAGGGGAGAGGGGGCAGTTGGCGCGCGGTTGTTGGGCGCGGCCTAGTCAAGGTGAGAAAGGAAATAGTCAAGGTCAAGGTCAAGGCAGCCCAACAAGCCGTGGCCGTCACCGTGCGTGGATGCTGCCGCACGTAAGTGCTCCCAACACTCCGTATATGCATACCCAGAAGAAAACCCGCGACGAGCTGCGCCACTGGCACACCTAGACCGACCTTCCAGGTCTCTTTCTCTTTGCAATGCAATGCAATGGGGAAAGAGAGCCGTGCCCCACAGTCCTCTTTTCTTCGTCACAGGACGTAGGTAATTGGTACATCCATGCCTCAAGCACCTGTGCCACAAGAATAGGGCTGGAAATATAATGTGGGGCAGTCCTGAGCGTCTGGTCTCTTGGTCGGCAATGAAACTTTGAATTTGCCAACAGGGCAGGCACGCTGTTCCCTTGTGTGTCACTAACAGAGGATCTCCCGCTCCCTTCCGCGTATATAAAAACACAGAAAACGAAACGGGCAAATAATGGCACAGAATCCTTTGTTACAATTCCAGATGTGTTAATCAATGTTCGGTCGTTCTGTGACTTAATGCGCACTGTATACCGAGGTAGTTAATTCAAATTTGAAATGCCGCACGAACGAAGTGTGCCAGGGCGAGGGGTCAAGCACTCGGAAATAGATACGGATTACTATGTAGGACTAATATTTATAAAAGAGAATTAAAATATAAATATCTAATTCGCTTCAGCAAAATGAGCGTCTTGAATCGTTGCCAGATGGGTAGACGAACGGCTCTGGAACCGAGAGAACAAGCCTAACAACCGACTCGTTGATTAATACCCGATGTAAAGCAACCCGCCAACGCCGTTGTGGCGACTGCGACTACGAGAAGCAAAGCACGGGGAAGTAAAGCGGAGGCTTACAGCTGTTGAGGCTCTATGGGCGTTGAGCTCCGAGATGGGCAGCGTTAGGCAGAAGGTTATGAGCGGCCGGTTGAAGGATGTCCTAAGCACATTTTGTCCCTCAAAGAGATCAATTGCGCCGGCGGGGTGGTGTCGAGAGCGGGACATAAGAATCGCAAACATAACACTTCAACTCTTTGGGCCTCGTGAGAATCTTCCAGCACCGGCAGACCCATACTGCTTCCTTGTTTCTCTGCAGGTCGATAAGGTCGCCTGGGCGATAGTACTGCTTCTTGATGCCGCAGTCGATGCAGAAGCGGCGCACCCCCCACGTTGCCTTTATGCGTGGGGACTGGTCAGATTGGCCACCTGTACTGCTTGCCTGGCTGTTTGCCGCGATGCTGGTCCTCGTGATGGAAGGGTCGTAATGAGGATTGGTTGTTGGGAGAGTAGCACGTGTCGGTCTTGGTGTTGGCTGTACAGGCACGCTCGAGCTGTCTGCTTCCTCGTACGTGTTGTTCCACTTGAAAAGCTCGAAGTTCTCCGGGCTTTTGATCATGAAGCAGTGGTAGCACCCGAAAGATAGGGGGTACTTGTTGTCGTACTCTCTTGCTTGCTTCTTGTCCGAGGAGGGGAGGGCAGACGTGGGGAAATAGCGCTTGTAGTATTGCTCGGCGTGCCGAACCCCAGCAATTCTCTCTTCTTCCGTGGCCCAGAAAGGATCGACATTCTGCTTAGTCCAGCGATTGACGGCACAAAAGTTGTGGAGGTCCAGATACCCGAGGTAACCGGCAATGTGCCTCAAGATATCAGGGGGGAGTGTCATGAGTAGGGAGGGACGCTTGTGGTGGCTTTGCATTTGCATCATCGAATCTGTGTGGTAGGTCGGTATGCCCAGCGACGAAGAAGGATAGCTATGCTCGGGAAAGGAGGCAAACACTGGGGGGTAGCCTTGGAAGGACATGGGTGGCGGTTGTTGTGGCAGATCCATCGAGAAGGTAAAAGGAGATGGGGCCATGGTCACCATCGCTCTTAGATTCGGCACCTGCGGGAAGAGGGTGATGTGGCCGCTAACTTGAGGCTGGAGATAGTGACTAGGAAGAAGAGCCGGAGCTTGTGTGTGAGGCAAAAAGGTTGACTGGAGCGCCGGCTGCTGGCAATGGCTTCCCGCCATGCTAGCGCTCCTCGAGACATGGCCAGAGGTGGAGGATGCTGGCGACATGGTCCTGGACTCCGAGTCGTTTTGGGTGTGGTACGAGGTCGAAGAGGACGTAGACGAGACGGAAGCAGAACGACCTCCTAGTTCTGAAGGGAGTTTCGGTGGAGGAGCAGAAGAATAATATCCCGGTGTCAGAAAGGTCATGTTGGGGAAGTGGTCAGGGCAGTAAGTTAGAGGTCGAGGGGTTGTAGCTGGGGCCAACAAACGAAGAGAGGAGCGTTCAAGGAGATTGTAATGGGGATAAGTGGTGACCTCAGCCATTTTTGGGCTGGGGTGCGGCGCAACAAAATGATAAGACCTCAGTCGAGGTTCGAGGCTAGGGAAGGTGGCGGCCGCCCTCATATGGCGGTTCCGCTTCGGTGTTCTGTGTTCTGGCCGGGGTGGGATGGGAAGGGGAGACAACGGAGGTGGCACCACCTGGTCGAGTCAAGGCGGGCGGGGTCGGCAAATACTTCAGGTTCAGCGACTGTTGCCGCTGGCTGGTATTTGGTGGTTGAGCCTTGGAGGCTCTGTGACTCTGGGGACTGGGGGTCAGGGTGTAGGTCCTTGTTGAGACAGGGCAGGACCGTATCTGTGAGTACCCAAACTTAGGTACCTTAGGTATTCCCGCGTAGGTACCCAAGGTAAGGTAGGCAGGACTGCGCTGTGCTGGACAGTGTCTCCATACAGAGCTGGACAGTATCTCTCTGCAGCTGGATTAAGCTGGGGAGCAGGTACCTTGTGTGGGCAGGGCCTTAGGGCGGCAGGGCGGCAAGACGGTAGGGCGGCCGGCTTTCACTGCCTTATAGCGGTACGCGGCGATTGGGTTGCGACCGTCCGAGGGTTGTGACGGCGTTGCGGCGGGAAAGAATGGAGGAACCGAGACGAGACAAGACGAGACGCGAGAGAAGACGAAATGGACTGTCTGCCAACAGTGGGATGGGGCCTGAGGATGCCTCTCAGAGTAGGCTGGGCGGAGTGTACATGTACAGTTCACCTCTGTTGACGAGTCCGTCCTCGGACTGGGGCGGTGCACTGTATACCTGGAACTGGAAGAGGTAATGGCGAGGCGACGGAGGGCGGAGAACGGCGGGCGGGAGCCAGACTGCCTTGGTGCCCTGCACAAGGGGCGCGGGAGAGCTTCGACAGGGCTGGCCCCGTAAGCCCAGCCGTGATTGGTAGTGTCTTTGGGAACGTGCAGGAGGAAATCTGGTCTCGGAACCAAGCGGCAGAACCTTCGTCTCCAGTCGCGACAAGGCTGCGCTCAGCCAAGCCGGTCAAGGCCAAGGTAAGGCAGATAGGTACCTTAGATACGTAGTGCCCGGCTCTTGATGTGCTCAAGAATACCACATAAAGGCAGAAACACGCACAAGAGAGGCGCGACGAGAGCAAAGTGCAGGGGGCGCTGTGGACGGGAGCACAGAGACGAGACACCACAGTGGAGGGCCTTCTCGAGGAGGCGGATGTCTGTATTAATAATGGAATCTAACCCGAGGTGGGCTCATCACATCATCTGTCGATTTGCGAAGGCAAGTGGGCGGGGGCAGCTCGTGGGGTCTCTCTCAATCCAACTCCGAAGCGGGCATTGAACTGATCATTGCAGAAGCTTACTACTACATTGCAGCGTCAAGGGTAGAGACGGGGAGGGGAAGAGAGAAAGTGCGTCCCCGAAGTAGGCAGGTACCCCGTATTCCGCACTTTTTCGGATATAGGTGGAAAGGACGATGCAGTGTGCTCCGCACGGGACAGGGCCGCCACAGATTCCCTGTCCCCTTTTGCTCGAAATCCACAACCTAAGATATTGTCAATGGGGGCACGCGGGAGCTTGGCTAGCCTGGGGAAACATCCATGAGGTGGAAGGGGGGGCCCTGCAGCAGGCTTGACGGGTGTCAGATCCCTCACACCCTCCCAGTTGCGCCGACATGCCGTAAGTACTACTCCGAACCTATCCACCAAAGGAGACACAAGGCTACAGAGTAAGGTACTTAGTTGAAGAAAGGAGGAGAATATCCCCCCAAACCCATTGCCTATCAAGCAGAAGTCTGCGACACCCTCAACTCGCGCATGCTGCTCGCGACGGCCTCACCGCTTTGATGGAGCGTAGGAAGGTGCTGGATAGAACCGGAGGGGACGAGGTTAAGCGCTGCGCGCGATGGGGGAGGGGTTCTTGCCCGTCCAGAATGGAAGAGGGCGGCGCAGGCGGGCAGCTTGTTTGGGCTTGGGGTCGGAGTGCCTGGGGCAGTCGCACTGTAGGGATCCTTGCCGTATCGGCACGATGGCACCTCCAGCGAAGCACACATGAGTGACGAGGCACGCTGAGCTCGCCATTGTTCTCCGCGCATTATCGCGACGACTAGTGGCTGCCTGTTTCAAAAAGCGTCGGGCTCGCGGCGGGGCGCGCTGCAAGTGGCGCCGGGACGATACGGCATCGGGACATGCGATAGTGACCGCACTTGTCCGTGGTGCATGCTCCGGATGCCCAGACTCGGCTCCTCGACCGCAGATAGCAGCAGGGTGGGCCGCAGATTGGGTAGCTGGTGCGCCAGGGCCAATGATATGCAAGACCCCCCCTACCCAGCCCTCGTCCAGCCAACCAGAGTGCGGAAAGCTGGCGCTCCCCTGCACAGTGCACCCGGGCGATCGGTAGCGAGATGACAGTCTGGCCAATCATCATTGATTTAAGTTTGCGGTGCCAGACTGTCGGGTCGGGCTGAATTCATGGGTTGGTGAGTGATTTTACGCAGAACAGCACAACATATGCTGCACCTGCCCCTTTTAGGATGAGAGCAGACGGGAGCTGCTGCGTCTTCGTTCTTTTTTCCGTGCCCCTCCGCGTCAGGCTTCGAGTCACAAAGCGGGCCATCTCTGCTTCCTATGTTTTCGACGCCATGTGTCCACGGCCGCCATGTGTTCGTGTCGTCGGAGACCTAGGCGCCCGCTTGCCTCTTGGTTCTGCGTGCGACTGAGTGGGTGTGCGAATGCGTGAAGCGGTCCAAGTCGGACGTGTTGGAGACCTGCAGCAGAAAGAAACGAACGAGATGCGAGTGGCGGGAAGCGCTTTCCCCGGAAACCAAAGTGTCCCCTCCCCGCCAGAACCCTAGCCCAGATTTGGCTTGATCAAAGTCAGGTAGGTTCTGGCGTGGGGTTGATGGTCGGATCCCTGTTCAGGTATTACTGAACTATTGAACGGAGTGCATACCTTACCTATCGGCATTGCTTCGCCCGCTTCAACTGGTACTGTTCAAAAGTCCTGGCTGCAGAAGTATTTGTAGGTTGCGCCCTATGAGCCGGAAACCCCGCTTTTGCCTATCTAGGTCAGTCTCCAAGTCTCCGAGTCTCCAGGTTTCTCCATGGCCCTGTACATGCATACGATGTTCATCTGCGATTCCGAGGCTTGCAATCAGCTCGGCCGTGGCTCGGTGAATGGGGTGGGAATTGTTGCCTGACAACACAGTGCGTCTTGTTGGGGCAATCGAAACGAAGAGCCAGGTGCCAGGGTGGCAGCCTCATCCATAGGGATGTGCCTGCCGTTGGCGCCCATGCCGTCTGCTGGCCCTGCTTGCTGTGCTACGTTTGCAAAGACCAATTGTCGTCCCAATTGGCTCTGTCCAGCTAAGGCAAAGGTTTCGTGCGAAACCCGGTCCTGGTCCACCCGCAACGTTCGGACGCCCAGACCACACTAAACTCGACGCTAAGGACCGCTTGTTAACGTACCCGGTATTAACAACGGCACGAACGGGCTTCGGCGCTAAAAACAAATTCTAGCTCCCCCGCAGTGCTCACTGACTTTCTTCCATGTTTTCCACTTCACCACGTTTCGGGTGCTCGAGGCATAGGTGAGGCGTCGGCCGTGACTCAAATTGGATTCTTGTTTCGTGAGCGGGGTGCAGCAGAGCGTGCGCTTTCGTTTCGCTTTGGCTGGAGTCCAATAATACATGACCAAGCACTCACTCACTACGGGCCGCTTTCTATGCGGCCATAGCACAGCACCTCGGGGTTGGATGAAACTTTCCAAGGCCTTTTTTCCAGGTTGACAATGGAACCCCGTCGTCTCGTCGGTCGATGTGGCATGTTTCTTCGCTAGTCCTGCTTTGAAGCAAACACCCTAGCGACTGCATCCCATGGGTGTTTATTGGGCGAGAGTGCAAAAGTCCCGGCCCTCAGTAGGAGTTCAAAAACCGGGACCCAACAGGCCACTCACAGGCTCGCTCAGCCGAGCATATGTAATGAAGCGCTCGAAAGATTCTAGTTGCTGCTCTTCTCGGCTCAAGCGTCCCAAACCCTCGGGCCGTGATTCACACCCTCAATTTCCCTCAGGCGCGCAAGTGTCGAGCAATCTGATTCGTCCAAAGGCGAGTGAGCGAGGGGGGAGGTGCGCCTGGCTGGCCAAAAACCAGCTCAGCTCGCGCTCCGTCTAATTCATACCCCCGTTTGACTGAATACCGACCCTCGGTTAAACAACTACCATGCCTTGCCATGCCCTGCCCTTGGTATGGGTACGCAGTTATTTGATTTTCAACATTCCGTCCCATGGCACGCAACCACCCATGTCGGTGCCGGGCGAAGCAGCCATGATAAGGACCACCGACACGGCCTCGCTCCCATGATCGGGCCTCCGCCCACATCTATCTACTTCATGTACTGGTACATGTCCAAAGCGAGTACCTAAATAGGTAGGTACGTCGTCTCGTTATGCGTGGAGGCCGCTAGGGCAGACGTGGCATTGCATCTGACCTTGGCGCCTCAACCGGGCAAACATCTTTCGGCTCGAGTCTAGCAGCAGCGGAAATTTTGTTGGCTCTTCCCCCCTCCGCGCGGGTGCTAGAGACCACGAAGTGACTGGTCGGCGCTTCATTCGCCCTGAGCCAACAGAAATTACAGAGCGTGGAGAGTGCCTCGCCTCTGCTCCTGCTCTGGTGAAGTGAAAGAATCAATGAATGTTGGTCCGGGACCGGGAAGGGGACATGCGGGTCTTGGGCTCTCCGCATTCGACTGCCCCTTCCGTGCCCGGCGAGTAAATGAATATCTGGACCACCCGCAGCACTGATGCTCGGGCTATGTTGAACCTTCTCAGGCAGGCAGGCAGGCAGGCGCTGCCGTGCCATCCAGGCGGGAGCGAGCTTGACAATCAAACTGGATATGCTGCCGAGGAAGGGACGACGCACCATGGCGCGCCCGAGACGGATCACCGGTCACCAGAGCCAGCGAAAGCCCAAAACATATCGCCTGGAATTGACCCACTTTTCAAGAAATTGAACCACTTTTTCAGGCCTGGTTAGCATGCCACGCCAACTCCCTTCATTCTTCATTTTTCCTTCATTCTTGACCCTCGGAATGCCCTCATTTCATTCCAAACGGCTGATTACAACGCTTTCCTTGCCCACTCTCAAAGGGTATAATAAAGCGCTCTTTTCTGTACGTTGAGACCTGATTTAGCAGACAATTCATTGCGCTGTCAACTTCGATCGCATGCAACAAAACACAAATGGGGGGCTACGGTGAGTCTGCCTGGGCTGGGTTTGGCTGTTTCGAGGACATTATGCGTGTGTGAGGTGGCTCGTCCCGACCGAAACAATCAATTTTAGTACCGCCCAAGCATTACTTCTTGACGTACTTCGTGGTTGGCCACTTTGACTTCCATAACCTGCTACACCTAAAACGCCTAGCAGGCATCTGGGCTATTCACAGAGCCTCAGTCAAGAAATTACATTCACTTTTGCTGTTGTGACTTCGTTGTCCCAGGACCGCTCGTCGCTGCCATTAGCTACCTAGGCCCCTACATGCTTGCAACGTTATAACGTCCATGGACTGCCCAGTGACAGTTCTCCGAGTCTGCTTTTTGCCTTGCCCCTTGTTTTTGACATTTTTTGACTATGTGGATCGAGCTATCCGCAGCACCCGCCAAGCACCAGCCAAGATACGTTCGTCGGGTGGGCACGTGAGGCATTGGTTCATTCTCGAATCCATTGTAATTAGGTAGGACTCGCACTTGCCTTCCTCCCTTCCGAGTTCTCCCCTTGGCCCCCATCTCGTCTTGATTGCCAGTAACACCAAGCTAAACGAGTTTTTTTACGAGGAGACGGAGGCTCACTCTCATCTCCTCCCGGTTGGCACGACAACAGCGCCATGTCAACAACTCTTGTCCTTGCCCAACTCCGACACAGACATCATGCAGGACTTTCATCGACCGGAGTATTGGAGACCACTCACACCAGCCAGAATACACAGAGTCAAAGTGATTTATTGCTCAGGGGACGGCTATCAAGAAAGGGTGAAACAACAAGTCAAACCCCCTTTTTCCATCCCCCCCCCTTGATATAATACACCCCCCTTCACTAATGGCCACCCCCGACAGCCTTCGCCGTCCTGAACCCCCACTGGCCATTCTCACAGCGATACATGGCGACGCGAATATGGCCGACACGCTCGTCGAGGCCGTCGGGCACGTCCATGCCGTCGCCGACGTGGCGGTGAATGTTGTCGTCGACGCGGCAGAAGAGCATGGGCAGGGCGCCGCCCTTCCAGACCGACACGCGGTCGCGCGCGCTGGCCGCCATGGTGTGCAGCAGAAAGTACACGGCCAGCATGATCAGCGCCCCCGGGTACAGCATCCACAGCCAGTGGACGGCGACGAAGGGCGTGAGCTGGACCGCCGAGCCCTCGTATGTTTTTATTTTCGACTCTGTACTGCTGTTGGCTGATGTCGAAGAGACAGCGTTCCGTCCGTTGCGGCGCACCTCGGCCGTCATGCTGCGCGCAAACGAGGCGATCCAGTCCGCCAGCCCGACGCCCGACGTCGACGCGCTCCACATGGCCTCGACCCAGTCCGACGACGACTCGACGGTGTTGGCATCCGTGCTGACGGTGCCCGACGTCACCGCCGCCATGAACCCGCGCAGCGCCGCCATGGCGTCGTGCGACACGGCGTACTGCTTGCTGCTGTCTACGTTGAGCCCCTCGGGAATGTCCACAAACACGTACGCGTTGCTGCTCTGCCGTGGCGAGGCTGCAGCTGTGGCCGACCAGTTGGCCACCAGCGTCTCGTTCTGCGTGCCGTCCTGTACGGACACGGCAAACGTCTGGATGCAGAACCACATGGCGCACTCGCTGCCGGCGACTTGCGGCTCGCCGCCGCCGCCGCCGCCGCCGCTGCCGCTGCCGCCGCTGCTGCCATCGCCGCCCGGCTGGCTCAGGGACAGCATGTCGAACACGGAAAAGTAGGTGCGTCTGCTCGGGTCGCCGGGGCGGTAGACAGTCCCGTCCAAATCAGCCGCGGCGGCCACCCTGAAGACGCTGTGCTCGACAACTGCCGCATCGATATTTTCCTCGACCGAAGCAGCCGTCGCGTTTGCAGAGAGGGAGTAGGTGCAGGTCCTGGCCGTCTGGTTACAGCGCTTGTAGATGGTAGGGGCGTCGGTGCACTCGCCGCAGACGGCTAGCGTCGGGACCAGCGGCCACGTGCAGTTGCCCGTCTCGCACGCCGCCGCAAGCACGGGCGGCTCCGCCGAGATGATGCCGCTGTAGACTGCGGCCTTGGTGGATAGCGCCGGGACGAGATCTGTTGTCATGTTAGCTACGGTTCATCGTCCTCCACTGATTTGGTTTCTTGGATGGGCATGTATACCTCCAGCATAGCCCCTCTGGAGGACCGTGTCCCAGACCTCTGCTCGCGGCGGCGGCGGCGCCACTGCCACCGACACCTGTCCCGCGCCGCCGACGCTGGTAAAAGAGCCATTGCCCGCCACGGGTGCCGGGCGCTGCTCAAAGGTGACCATCTGCTGGCTGAACGTCTCGAAGCCGTGGACGAGCACGATGATGGCGGCGCCGACGCAGCCGAGGTGGCACCCTTTCATGCGCTAGATGAGGCATAGGCTGCCCCAGAGGCCGCGCGACGCCTCGTCAAAGACCTTGAAGTCGGACAAGCGGGCGGCAGCGGCATCGTCGCCGTCACTCTCAGCACTACTCCCAGCACCGCCACCACCACAACAGCCCCGCCTCTTCCGACTCTTCTGACGCCGCCGCCGCCTCCTCTGCTGCGCGCGCTCCGACACCCACAGCCAAGCGCCCTGGCTGAGCGCCGTCTCGACGACAGCCTTGAGCGAGACGCGCACGACCGTCACGAGGGCAATGACGGCCGTGTCGAGCTGCAGCCCGCCCAGCCCGGCTAGGCTCTCGGGCACGACGCGGCTGTCGTAGTGCCGCAGCAGCGCCGCCAGCCCCGTCGCCGTGCCCACGCACACGGCCAGCATCCAGAACTCGTCCTGCCACCACCGCGCCGCCGACCACAGGAACCGCTCCACGCCCTCCTGCCGGCTCCACTCGCCATGTCTCCCTCGTTTTTCTGGTGGTGGTGGTGGTGGTGGTGGTGGTGGATGCCGGTTGTTGTTGTTGCGCCGTCGCTTCTCCGCATCTGCGCCGCCCAGGTCCACGTCTTCGAACCCGTCAAAAGCCTCCACGTGTTTTTCGTCCCGGGACTGGTCCGCCGCCAGAGATTCAACCGTTGACGTGGGTGTAGGCGTCTGTGTCTGCGTCTGCGTAGGTATAAGTGTAGGTATGGGCGTAGCCGTATCATAGGGCCCCGAGAGGGACATGCGTTGTCCGTCGAGGGCGCTGTAGGGCGGGTACCGGTACCTGGGTCTGTACTTGTATCTGTACCTGTGGCGGTCCGCCATGGTCTCGCCGTCGACCCTAGCGCTGGGAACTGTGCCTCCGGAATGTAGCCCGCCGTTGCTTCTAGAGCCAGCATCGGGACTAGGAGCAGGATCACGACCAGGAGCCATCCCCCCACGGCCAGCCTGCTGCTGCTGCTGCTGGAATAGCCGGCTGGCACGAGAATCATCCCTCCAGGAATCCATGTGTATGTATGCGTGTGCAAGCGTGTGCAAGCGTGTGCAAACGTGTGCATGCGTGTGCGTAGCTTGCCGTTCCCAGGACACACGAGCTCTATCTATTTAGGGCGAGAAGAGGCGGAGAGGTAATGAGGAGGAGGAGGAGGAGAAACCGAGGGAGAGAAAAAGCATGAATGAGGAGATAGACAGATATCGAGATAGATATACTGCAATTTCCTAGGTCGCCCCCAGCGGCGGTTCGTTAGGTCATGGATACGTGAGGGCGGTGGACAAAAGGATGGATGGATGGATGGATGGATGGCTGAGGCGGGTTAGGATGTCATTGTCACTGGACACGTAAGGAAGGCGGGAAGAAAACACGGCCACGTCGAACTGCTGGGCACAGGCCGTTGGGCGAGATCGGTGCCACTTGCCGCATCATGTCGTATAGCAAGAAGGTGTAATCGTGCACCAAACCAATGTAGGTAGGCACGAGGTAGTTCGGAAGGCAGTCGGTCACTCAGCTAGTCCTTCCCCCTTTTACGACAAGATGGAAGGGAAAGATTCAGATACCTCACCCAGGCCACACATGGCAAATTAGAATGAACTACAAGCAATATTATACTGACCTTATTAGCGTCGCTTCTATCGCTGAGATTCTAGTCACAAACTTTTCATACGCCTGCCCGCTATGAGCCATTGAAGAACAGTTACAATACAAATATAAACGCCACCTTTCATGGCCTATTAGAAACCGTGTACATTAAACTTAGCCAAACCCTACCATCCCCAAGCCCCTGGCGTTCTTGCTTGTTTGAAGGAGAGGAGCGCTGGTCAATTTGCTCGGGAAGCCCCTTAAATCCTGGCTCTTGTGTTGTTAAATAAGTTGAGGCGGTGATAGATTAGCACTGGCAGCTGAGCCGTCGTCAGAATCGAGAGGCGCTGCGTCACCCCATTCTGGAAAAAGATCGAAAATAGGATCAACTGCTCGAGAATATGGTGGTCAAGGAGTTGGTGGTCGAAGAGTTGATGGTCGAGGACTTGGTGGTGGAGCTGGTGGTAGAGAAGCTGGTGGAGAACTTGAAGAATTCGATGAAGTTGACCTTTTGATTCTCAAGTTCTAGTGGTATGGGATGCAAAAGTCGATCCAGGTACCCAAATAGTCGAGCCGAACCCCGCTGGCCTCCTCGTGCGCGTAGATCTTTTCAAACTCTTCGTAGCTCAGCCTGCCCCAGCCACCGCGCTCCTTGGCTTCCTCCTCAGCCAGATCTAGGCGCTTCCATTCCGTCAGAACCTCTGGCGTCAAAGCGGGGGGGTTGGCAATCTTATTTTTCTTCTTCTTCTTCTTCGCTCCCGCCGTGGCGTCCGAAGATTTAGCGTCCGACTCTAGCTGGACCCCCTTCCCTTTCTTGTCCCGTTTTGCTTCGTCAGACGCGCTCTGTTCACTCGATGTCGCAATGCTCGACTCGGGTCGAAACTGGGGCATGGTGGGATCCCTATAACTGGCCTCACCATCATCCGACGCCCCATTCACTGCACCAGCGGCCCCTGCAGAAGATTGACCTGCTTCGTGGGCCTGAGAGGCTTCGCTGTCCTCCTCAATGCCGATGACAGCATCCGCAGCTACGTCGCCAGCGGCTTGTTGGAGCTGCGATGGCTCAGCGACGACGGCATAACCGCTCGACGCAAGCAGAACTTCCAGAGGTTGCAGCGGGATGGGAACTTCCTCTTGTGTGTCCGGGCCCGCTGTTTCTGTGTCGACGTGAGGGTTTGCTGCTATATGGGCGGCGACTTGACCTTCAGTATCGGGGTCTAGGTCCATGAACAGAGAACGATACATGTCGCGGTCAGCTCTGGTCTCTGCGGCCTTCACCGCAAGATCCTCCTTTGCCTTGAACAGTAAATCAAGAAGCTCATTGAAGGCCTGCTGAGTAACCTGGTAGAATATTTCCTTGCCAGAATCTCTCTCGGCGTCGGGTATGTCCATGCCGCCCCAGCGTTCCGGGATGCTCCTTGACGAGGTTGAAGGGTTCGATCGAGTCTCGTAGTCTTCCGTGTCTTCAGCGAATCTAACCTTGGAGGATGACCGTGACCGGGGGGCGAGGGCGGCGGGCTGGACCGACTTTGAACTCTCGCCCACCTCGTTAAAACTTGCGGCCAAGACATCTTCATCATCATTCCAGCCCTCGGGCGCGTGCAGGCCTTCCTCCTCATCCAGGTAGAAGTGCCGCCTCTTCCAGCGGTCGAGAAGCTTCCTGCGCACCTGCTTCTGATTCCGCACATTAGACGAGAGCCGAGGTTCGCGGTAAGCCTCCTGGATCTGGGTTCCCGTGGGCAGCTGGGACCTGGATGCATCTCCTTGTATGAAGCCCTCTGGGGAGATAGACACGCCACCCTCCGACTGGCTCCCGACTTGGTTGTCCCCAGACTGGGCAGGAATGTTCTCGTCTCCGCCATTCTCGGACCCGCTGCTGCTCTCAGACTCTTGGCTGTCTTGGCCCGCGTCAACGAGCAGTTCATCGCCGGGGCGAGCCTCGCCGGCCAGCAACGCCGGGAGTTCACCGACTCGGGTAGGGGGGTTCAAGAGGGAATTAAGATAGCGGATGCCCGAATTGCTCATTGATCCCTGCGGTGCTGTCCCATAGCCGTTCTCTTGCCTAGAGAACAAGCTTTTCAATATCGATTCTCTGTCCTCTGTATCCGGCCTATCTTCCCTGACGACCGAGCATCTGCCGTCGGTGATGTTTGCGTCGCCTGTAGACCCATCTGTAATGTTCTTACCATCCATGGGCCGGGGGTCCGGGTCCGGCGGTGGAAGGTGTGAGTCGCGGCCGAACAGGCCACTAAGCGGCTGCCTGCCCGAGACGCCCAGTTGCGCTTCGCTTGCGCTCATGCACTGTTCATACTGGCCCTCAAGGATATCTCTGTGCATTTGCCTGAACAAGACGTAGTAGGCGCGGAAGAGGCGCAGGAAGTCGCGGCGTTCGACAAGACCATCCCCATTGATGTCGTATCCGTCGAATATCTTGCGCAGGCGGTTTTTGCTCTTGCGGTACGCGGTGGCCTTGAGAAACTCGGAGAAGCCGATGAGGTCGTTGCGGTCCGTGTCGTAGAAGGCGAAGATGCGGTCGTGGATTAGGTTGGGCACGGTGTGGCGGTCGGCACTCGAGGGCACAAGATAGCGCTCAAACGTCTTGCGATCCATGGCCAGGCACAGCTTGTCGGGGTCGTCTCTCCATTCGGTGCTTGCCATAAAGGCCCACTGCTCCCAGAGAGCCTCGAGCTCGGGGCGTTCAAAGCCCGTCTCGCGGGACAGCCTGTTCATGACGTCGCGGGGGATGTAGCGGAGGGCCACCGAAGGGTCGCCGGGGTACCACACGGGCTGCATCTGGCGAGGGCCGAGACGGGGGGCGGGGATTCTGATCTTGTAGAAGATGTGTGTCTTTATGTGCAGCTGCGACGACTCGCACGTCTCGCAAAGATCAAAGTCGGCACAGTTGGCGCAGCGGTAGCGGATGCCGCGAATGGGCACGATGCCGCAGGCATTGCATTGGCAGCCACGATGGACGTAGGCATTTCTCCGGGCGTTATCCTCCGAGACGCGGAACAGTAAACTAACTATGTTCTGGCCGGCGCGCTGGTGATTGTGGGCCCGGTGGGCGTCGTCGTACCAATTATCCTCTAGCATATTTTCGTCGGCGACCGTGTCGCCGTCTGCCATGGGCTGGAGGGCGTTGGCGTTTTCGTCGCCGCCGTGGGACTGGCCCGACTCAGACGAGGCTTCGTGCGAGGAGGCGGAGGGTTCGACATGTTCGTGGTGATGTACGTCGGCGTCGGCGTGGATGGCATCGTGGCCCTCGGGGTGTTGGTCGTGGTGGTGGTGGTGGTGGTGGGCGACGTCGGGGACAGAGGTCCTACGGTGGCGCACGGCGTTGCTCCTATGCAGGCCAGGGCCAGGCCCCGGAAGGGGGTCGTAGATGCGATAGCAGATGTAGCCGAGTTGGGCGGCGGCGGCGAGCGAGAAGACGTAGAAGCCTATCCTCTGCCCGGTCAGCATCGAGGCTGCAGCGGTTGGCGTGGTGTCCATGATGCCTGCTCCGTCATCATGGTTGGCGGCCGACGTCGAGACCTAACAGATGCTGCCAAACTACGGCCGTACTAAGGTGCCTGGTAGTTATTGGTAGTAGATGTCGTGTGTTTGTCGTAGCACAAGGCTGTAGGCTGACCTCTGGGGCGCCGAGCGACAACCGACAAACCGACTGGTAGCTTCGATGGAGCTCGGTTATCCACCCTCCTTGTTGGCGTCGTTCGTCGTTGCCGCATTTTTTTTGAGACATGCATGTCGCCAACGGCGCAGCGCCAGGGTTAGGGTTTTGCGTCTGGTGACCAACCACGTGCCAACCTCCACTCTCTCAGCTCTCTCAGTAGGGTAGGAACGCGTTTCATTCATCAACCGACTCTTACTTCTTCTATGCAGTCTACACTGGAGAATGGTAACAAATGTTAATAGGAAAGTTCTTGCATTTCAAGGTGTCCCTGCAGCTAGCTGATAGCTGAGGCATCCCAACTGAAATATTCCGTAAAAGAGTCCGATTTGACTGGATGTGCGAATTGTCCCCCTCTGCCCCCTCATTGTCATTGCTGCTCTTTGAACACGTCTTCCATCTTCCATCATCCCACACCTATTACTCTTTCTTTCCCGAGCCAACGGCTTTGAAGTCTTCCCCAAACTAGAAGGTAGATTTCTTCTTCCTTTTCAATTTGTCATCTTCGTGCTTTTTGAATCCAACAATGTTATCCCAATGATGTTACCTGGCTTCTTGGTGGCTGGGTAGGCGTCTTTTCAGATATCAAATGCAGTAGCCCATCACCTCTTCATCGTTCCGAGCTTGACAGCTCAAGGTTACTTCTTTTCCAGACTGATCCGAGCTGCATCCTTATTACTATCCATCCACTACCTAGTAACCAGAACATCATATCAGACAGGCCCAACAATGTCGTCGCTGCTCATCTGCACCGCGTGCGGGACGCAGTTCCCGACTGCCGACCGAGCCGTCCTGACGACGTGCTTCATCTGCGACGACCCGCGGCAGTACATACCTCCGTCTGGCCAGGGCTTCACGACTATGGCCGAGCTGCAGCAGCAGGACGGGCAGCGGTTCCGCAACGAGTTCACACCGCTCGCGTCAGACCCCAAGAAGCAGCAGCTCATATCCATCAGCACGGCGCCCAAGTTTGCCATCGGCCAGCGCGCCGTGCTGGTGCGCACGCCCTCGGGCAAGAACGTGCTGTGGGACTGCGTGACGCTGCTGGACGACGACACGGCCGCCGCCGTTGATGCTCTTGGCGGCCTACACGCGATCGTCATCTCGCACCCGCACTACTACTCGACGCACGCCGACTGGGCCGCCCGCTTCGCCTGCCCCGTCTACCTCGCCGACGACGACGCCGCGTGGATCGCCCGCCGCGCCGACGAGGATTCGTACGTCTTTGTCAGGGACATCGAGACCCGCATCGTGCTCGACGGCGTCGACACGGGCGTCACGGCCATCAAGCTCGGCGGCCATTTCCCCGGTAGCTGTAAGCGTTTTTTTTCTTCTGGTCTAGTCTACTCTATTTGCCTTTACCCCTTTCCCCACCACCGCAACGTCTTCTAACAAAATCCCCCGGCAGTAGTCCTCCTCTTCGACCAGCGCCTGCTAATCGCCGACACGCTCATGACGACCCCGGCCGGGCTCGCCAACTGGACGGCTGACGCGGCCGGCCAGACACGAGCACGACCAACGGGGGCCAACAGCTTCGCCTTCATGTGGAGCATCCCGAACATGATCCCGCTCAGCGCAGGCGAAGTCGCGCGCATGTGGGACATACTGCAGGCGTACGAGTTCCGCAGCACGCACGGCGCGTTTGTCGGGCAGGACATTGAAGACTCGCCCTCTGGCGGAGGTGGCGTAGGTGTCAAGGCACGCGTGCTCGAGAGCATGCAGATCCAGGTCAGGGCTATGGGGTATGCGGACCATCCTTTTCTGCAAGTGCGGCTGCGTGATTGATGCGGCGTGTGATTTTGGTGTTGCCCTTATTTTCTTTCTAGGTAGGTGGTGACGTAAAGGAGAGCACTGAGGTATGAAAGAGCTGGGTCTCTTCGATCAGTGACTAACTGCCAGAAAACATTGGATAGCGTGGAAATGACACCCGCGAGAGAGAGTAAATAATGGAATTTGAGAACCTCATGTATAGATTTAGGTACCTAGGTATATAACGTAATTGCATAGCGAGCGCGCATGTATAGCGAGCGCGCACTTTTCCCACCCTAATTGAACTATCGCAAAACATCGTAAATTTCTCCACGATAAAACATGCCCGCCGTACGAAATGAAGCACAAATACAGCTTGCCCTTCAAGCTATGCAACACGATAAGAATCTTCACCTTGCAACTGCTACAGCCCAATATTCCGTACCCCGAAGAACACTTGAGCGGCGTTCGAACGGAATCCTCCCTCGAGCAGAAATTATTGCCAATTCGCGGAATCTTGACCCCCTTGAAGAGCAGGTTATCATACGAAGGGCTCTCGACCTATACGAGCAAGGATTTTCGCCAGGATACGGTATAATAGAAGATATGGCCAATTTGCTACGCGCGACGCGTAACGCGTCACGCGTCGGACCACGCTGGGCTGCAAACTTCGTACGACGACAACTAGAGCTCAAGATGCGTTGGACGCGTCCGTACGACTACCAAAGAGCTAAATGCGAAGATCCAAAGATAATTGGCGCGTGTTTTGACCGTGTTCGTAATACAATTGCGAAATATGGGATTCTCGAGTCGGATATCTGGAACTTTGACGAGACTGGGTTTACGATGGGCCAGATCTCGTCAACACTTGTTGTTACCTCGTCCGACGGCCGTGCGAAGGTGAAGAAGATCCAGCCTGGTAATCGGGAATGGCTACCGTGATTCAGGCCGTACGGTCGGGTGGTGATACTATCCCTCCGTATATAGTGGTTGCGGGCAAAGTCCACCTCGAGAGTTGGTATCGCGATAGCCCTTTCCCATCCGACTGGGTAGTGGATCTCTCAGAAACTGGTTGGACGAATAACCAGATTGGTCTTGATTGGATTAAACACTTTGACCAACACTCTTGCCGCCGTACGATAGGTGGAAAGCGACTCCTAATCCTTGACGGGCATGAGAGCCACCATTCGGCCGAATTTGAGGACTATTGCAAAGAAAATAATATTATTACGCTTTGTATGCCTCCGCATTCATCACATCTACTTCAGCCTCTTGATATCGGGTGTTTTAGTGTATTGAAGCGGTCGTACGGCAAGGAAATTGAGAAGTTGATGCGCAACCATATTCACCACATCACTAAGCCCGACTTCTTTCTCGCCTTCTTCAACGCATTCCACGCGACATTTGAACCCGAAAACGTACAAGGAGGTTTTCGAGGGGCAGGCCTTATTCCATTCGACCCAGAGAAGGTCATTTCCGGGCTAGATATCAAGCTTCGTACGCCAACACCTACTGGGCCCCCCGAGGCCTCGTACGATAGTTGGGTCTCTCAAACGCCAAAAATGCTACCGAAGCCTCTCTACAGTCAATACACATCAAGGATCGTATTGCTAAACATCAAGGCAGTTCAACCACCCCGATTATTGAGGCCCTTGATCAGATTGTAAAGGGTACGACGAAGGTTATGCACGAGATGGTGTTGATGAAGGCGCGCGTGCGAGAGCTTGAGGAAGCAAATGCAGCATTGAGCAAACGCCGGAGAGCTAAAAAAAAGTCGTATCCGGGCAGGAGGACCATTAACTATGGAAGAAGCGAGTGATATTTTGGCCCAAAGGGATGCATGCGCATGCATTGGTAGAGAAGGAAAAGCGATCGAGGGGTGGTCGTACGAGGAGCAACGCAACAGGTTTACGACACTGTAGTAATTGCGGCAAAATAGGACACAACTCTCGTACATGCAAGGAGGACGCGAAAATGGATGAGTAATTAGATTCTGAGTAGTTTCTATTAATTTTTTTCCTTTGTGGTGTTGGTATTTCGTATAATAGTTCAATTGGGGTAGGAAAAGTGCGCGATTATTCTTAGTCTTTACAGCCCTATCTGTTTCCGTCTCCAAAAGCCAACATGGGTAGCCAAAACAGCTCTTATACAAAAAGAGAATCTAAGACTACTTACTTAGGTAGAGAGTAACAGAACAATACATACAAATCCCCCAGCCCCCAGCCCCCATACCAAACAAAGAGGTAATAATAATTAAAGACTGAGAAAAAAGAAAGGGAGACAAAACCTCACCGCAGCACAAACGCCAGCTCGTCCCTCCGGTCGTCGACGACGCGGCCCCACTCGAGCAACAGCCTAAACAGATAGACTTGCATGTCCTCCCTGCGGACGGCCTTGGCGGCCCAGCGCCTGCCCTCGTTGGCGATCCACCTTGCGTCGTCGTCATGGGGGTTCATGTTGACATGACGGCCGTCAATGATGGCGGCGGCGGGGGTGTTGGCGGGCTGGCCGTCGGGGGTCTGCTGGGCTGGGCCGTTGAAGATGGAGACGCCGGCAAAGTAGGCGAGCGTGCTGTGCAGGGCGTGGAACCGCAGGTCGACGGGGACGAAGTGGACCCAGGGCGTCAGGCGGTCCGTGAACCACTCGCGGAAGATGGAGGCGTAGAAGGGCACGCTGCCGGACCGAAGCGTGCGCAGAAAGTCGGCCGGCGGGCCCGTGTCCGTGTCCATGACAAGCACGTACTGGAACCGGAGCGGATCGGCTACGGGCCGGGTGCCGAACTCGGCTTCGTGGCGGCGTCGGGTCGCGACCGACGCCGCGTCGTCGCACAACCCGGAACTGCCGCGGACACTGCCGGCCGTGGTGTTTGCCGCACCAACGAGGTGGTTGGTGCTGCTCGCGCTGCATGTCTCGCTGTCGCTGTGAATCCGGCTGCTAAAGCCAATGTCGACGGGCAGGAGCGCGTTAAGCCCGGCCGTCGACACTTGCCCGTATACAAACCTATCTCCCTTCCCGGGCACTGGCACTGGCAGCACGGCCGTGACCGTGTCGGAGCCGGCCGAGGCATTGTTAAAGGCATGGACAAGCCGCTCCTGGTGGCCGCCGTGGAGCAGGCCGCGGCTGAGGTGCCGACGGTCTACCTTTCCGCGCCAGTACAGTTTCTTCCACTTGACATCTAGGATCTCGCCGCCCTTGCCGTCGGGGATCTCGGCAACCCGTCTCATGGGCATGAGGATATCGCTGTAGCTGTCAGTCTTGGACCTGCTAAACACGGGCAGCAGCTCCTGTAGCGGCCGCAGCTCGGACGCCGTCATGTGGAAGCTGTGGAGCCGGAGCAGGTCGGACTGGTGACACAGGTCTTGGGAAAGGGACCAGTCGCTCAAGAATTGACCCTTGGACTGCGGCCTCGCGCAGGAGTAGCAAAAGTCGCGAACATCCCAGTGGACACCCGATCTCGCTTTCGAGCCGGGCGGGCAGGTCAGGGCCACCATTTCCCTCAGGGCTTTGGCAGATGTAAAGTTCTTGTGTGCGGCCGAGACCTGGTCGGCGGCCGTGGGCTGAAAGAGCTGCTGAAGAGCAGATCTGCCCTGGTCGTGCGAGTCGGAGCGGCCGGGCAGCAGCTTGGTCAACCGGTTGCGTTTTGCCGCGGCCTTGAACCGGCTGACGTCTTCCCATGGCGCCAAAACCCTGGGCCGGTCATCCAGGTTGATGGCAAGCTCCATGTCGGGCAGGTGCTGGGCGAATGGCTTGATCATGTCGATCAAGTCTCTCATAGCCTCCTGATGGGGCGAATGGGCGCGGATGTTGTGTGTTAGGGTGCCCCCCCGAATCTTGAGCACAGCGATGCCCGGCTCAGCTGCGACACGGTGAATATTTTGCCGGATCCTTTCGGGCGCCATGCCCCAGAACGGAAGGATGTCGTCGTGTATCTGGGCGAAGTGGTCCAGGATCTCCGAACTCTTCTCTTTCGCAAAGTAGTACCACGTTTCAAAATTTGGGGGCGGAGCCCTCCCGTCGTGACGCTCTTTGTATATCTCGACGGCAACGGGTAGCGAATTGCTGACTCTTGCAGAAGCGACGCGCCATCTATCGGCTTCCACTCTTTTATCGTATATCAGCCTCTGGAGCGGGTGCTCGCCGAAAGTATCGCGTCCCTTGAAGGCGGTGTAGATGGCGGCAGCAACGAGAAGGACGAGCAGCAGGAATATCACAAGGGCTCGGTGTATGAAGACGACGGAGCGGATATTGTTGGTGTAGACGAAGAAAGGGAAGCCGACGCAGATGAGAATTAGGGCGGAGTAGGTGGTAGAAAACGAGACGTTCTCCCAAGACCCAAGAAGCCATGTTTTATGAACTGCTAGCAGCAGGCCAAAGAGGAAGGTGACGATGCCAGCCAGGGAGAGGGGGCTAGCTTCGGCGACGATGAGGGCGGTGGAGATGAAGAAGGCCGAAAAGGCGAAACCGTCAACGACGACGTCAAATATGTAGAGCGAGCCGAGACCCCTGAAGTGGTAGTGCATCGGCTTCGCCTGGTGGAAGAGGCGAAAGGACAGGTACAGAAGGGCGGTGGCCACGGAAGAGGCTAGAAGGATGCCGCTCAGCGTCCGGAGCCGGTGTCTGGTGGTGCGGGCCCAGGCGAGAATGCGCCAGTAGAGGATGGCCATGATGCCGTCGAGCACGAGGCCGAGCCACTGGAGGGAAACAACAAGGGAGCTGCTGTCATGGGTCGAGCAAAAGAAGGTGGAACTGAGATTATGCGATGACACCATGTAGGTTCCGCAGACCAAGGCAAGGATGCCAATGGTCAGGGGGATCTTGGCCTCGGTGCCAATCCAGCTGCCGACGAAGTCGAGGGCATGTTCGAGGCCGGTCTGGCCCATGTCATCCACATCGGTCTTTTCCTTGGAGCCCGACCGTCTCCTCCGGCCAGGCAGGAGCTCGTAGAAGAGGACGACGAGAGGCAGACACGCCTAGACAGGTGGGCCGTTAGGAAGGGAAAAAGAGGGTTAGAAGATGAGACTGAAGGCAACACACCTCGATTCCGGGGCTCGAACACTGCAAGTCGGAGGTGACGCGGTGGAAGAGCTCAAGGCGAAGGACGATGCAGACGACGAGGCCGGGCAGAAAGTAACGGCGGGGCTTCTTGGGCAGGTTGGCACGGGCAACCTTGAGGGGGCCCGAGTCGTCGTCGAAGCGGCCATTGGCGCCAGGGAGCCACTCGGCAAAGAAGCTCGATGCAAACGAGGCCACGCCGGCGATGAAGAGGACCAGCAGAGACGAAAGCCTAGGCTGTTCTGTTTGCCACGTTAGTTACGAAGTCCCTAGTCGTTGAATCTCGGTTGTGTGTTGTGACAAACAGATAGAGAGACTTACCAATCAACCGATGGCCCTCGAGGTTACGGGCGAGCCATAGAAACGAAGCCACAGCACTAACATAGTGGTCAGTACCTTTGACCAGGTAGCATTCAAGCTCTATTTCTCCCCTGGATAAGATGGCAGAGAACAAGAAAGACTCACCACAAGACTGTGAGCTGTGACGCTCGGCTGGAATTGGACGCCATGCGCAACCACGATCCCCATTCAATCCCCCTTCCACGTCGCGCTGCTGACCTGCACCAGGCACATCAAAATCAAGACGCGGCGAGAGTGTTACTTAGGTATCCAAAACAAATCGCTTGAAGCTATATTGCGCTGGAAATGTGAGATATAATGCGCTGGATATACATAATGGTAAAAATGATAAAAATGAGGGTGAGGCCGGAACTTTTGGAACAATTAGAGATCGGTTTCTACTCCGTACCCGACTCTTCAAATTGCGGCAAGCACAGCCCGCCCCCCCTGTCTTCCATGTCCTATCCTGGTCCAGTTTGGTCTCGGGCTGTTCTGTCAACCCCTGAATGACCCAACTGGAGCCCACCCCACGTCTGCATCCACTCCACCAACCAAATTCCAAGCTTACCTCATAAACCAGTCCCAATAGCCCTTCTGTAAGCCCCGCGGCTATTGTACAAGGTTGTGACGACGTTTTTATGCCCGTGCCGCGCTGTAGCGCGTCCGTCCCTCCAATGTCTATGTTAGGCTGCTACTGCGTACCGAAGCTAGATTTATTTTAAACCAAACGTCACAACTGCCCTGAGCTAACCCAGAACAACAAAGTCCGGCCGAATTCTAGCTTGAAAAGTTGCAACACCATATGGATCGCAGCACACTCCCGACATGACCAGCAGCCTCAAGACGGGCCCGTCGACGACGGCGCTGGGGCTGCAGGCCCTGGCCGTGCCCGGCGTGTGCCTGCTCATCGGCTTCCTCGGCTATGTCTCGCAGCTGCTCTTCTACACGGCTCCCGACCTCGCCCCGGGCCCCCTGACAACGCCCGAGTCCGTCGTCTTCAACCTCCTCCTGGCTTGTCTGTGGTGGACCTACTACAAGGCGTGCACCGTCGAGCCGGGCCGCTATCCCCCTCCAAATCCGCATGATCCGACTCCTTCCGCCGAATCCGAAAAATATCGTCCTACCTCGACGGCGACGACGACGACGACCACCACCACCACCGCCACAGAAACAACAACTACTATTACCACTACCCTCCGATGGTGCAAGAAATGCCGCGCCCCAAAGCCCCTGCGCGCCCACCACTGCCGCCACTGCGGGCGCTGCATCCCCAAGATGGACCACCACTGCCCGTGGACGGGCAACTGCGTGTCGATGCAGACCTTCCCGTACTTCCTGCGCTTCCTCGTCTTCACGAACCTGTCGCTGTGGGTGCTTGGCAGCTTCGTGTGGGAGCGCATGGCCATGATCTGGTCCGACCGCCACCTGCCGGCCTACTTGGGGCCGACGCTGCCGCACCTGGTCCTACTAACGGCCGTCTCGCTCGTCGGCAGCGGCACCGCCATTGCCCTGGGCCTGCTGCTCTTCACCACCGCCCGCGGCTGGATCCTCAACGCCACCATGATCGAGGACTGGGAGGTGGAGCGCCACGAGGCCGTGCTGGCCCGCCAGCAGCGCCACGACCGCGAAGACGACTCGGAATCTGACGATTACGACGACAACGACGGCAAACCCCGCTCCCGCCGCCAGGCGTTCTGGCAGGACACGGACCCCATCATCCCGCGCGTCGAGTACCCCTACGACATCGGCGTGTTCGCCAACATGGCGCAGGGCATGGGCACGCGCAACGCGCTGAAGTGGTTCCTGCCGTGGGCCGGCGGGCCCGTCGTCGACGCCTCGGGCCGCGGCTGGGGCTGGGAGTGGGAGGAGAACAGGTTCAACTCGCGCGCAGGCATGTGGCCGCCGCCGGACCCGGAGAAGCTGCGCCGGAACGCGCGGGGGGCGTGGCCGGCGGCCGAAAAATACGCCGCAGCAGTAGCAGCGGCATCATCAACAGCTCTGAGCGGCGAGGAGACCAAGGCGGCGTTCGCGGCGCGCCAGCAGGCGGACCTGATACGGCGGGGCCACCAGCGGCCGGCGCCGGCGGGGCCGATTCACGGTGAGGACAACGACGACATCATGGCCGAGCTCGAGGAGCAGCCCGACAACGACGAAGACTACGACGACTACGATAGTGACGGCGGAGACGGAGGAGCGGGACAGGCGTGGAAAGACTCTGAATCCAACACGCTGTGGGACTACGGTGTTGACGAGGATGCCGAAGAGGACGACGCGCGGCCGTTCGCTGCTAGACTCCAGAAAGTAGAAGAAGAGCCACGAGTCATTGAACTCGACGATGACGACGACGACGACGACGAAGTTCCCCTCGCCGAGCTGATACGCCGGAGAAAAGTCCGGACCACGGACGGCGGGGAGGACTAGGGAGACAGACAGAAGCCCCTTGTAGTGTTCATAGCTACCTCGGGTACGCAGAAATGTACGGAATATAGATAATGCCAATCGCCTAAAACAAAGAACATGTATAACTAACCCACTTTCTAGCTCATCGTGTTCTTTGAACCGCCACCAGATCCATCGCATCAGCGAACTTGCATTGATTATCACTACCTGATGCGAGAATTGTCTGCTTGTGTATCCGTATCCTGGAAGTGAACAGGCCCATCTCAGGCCCAGAAAGTAACGAGATGGCTTTTACAACTCTTTTGATTCTCATCTTCACCTTGAATTCAATTTTAGTCCCCCTTACGCCCCCATCCCCACCAAAAAAACGCTTCATCCATCCACACCATCTCGTTCCCATGTACCATCTAATACATACACCGTTGCCCACAAAAAGAAAAAGGGAAAAAAGCATGGCAATACCTCCTCTCTTCGTTCTGCGCAATCACACCGGGTGGCACTCGTAGCCACGACACGAGACAAGCACAAAAACAGTCTACAACCGACTGAACCAACAACAGGGTCAGGCTAGATCCTGTTCAGACCAACACGAAAGGACAGACCACGAGTGGGCAACAGGGGCAAGGGGCAGCCACGCCGTTCACGGGAGGCGCCGGGTCAAAGTATAATGAGTAGTCATTCAAAAAAGAGCAAGAAGCAAAAGCAAGCCTTCCAAACGAGAAGAACAAAAGAAACAAAAGAAAGGCGGCGAAAAAGAGCCATCTCTCTCTCGCGCGCTTTCTCACTCTCTATCTATCTGTCTACCAATCATCGTCGTCGTCCTTCTTGGCCATGGCATTCTTCCTCGCCAGCAGCGCCTCGGCCAAGCCGCCCGCCAGGCTCGGCGTGGGCGTGTTGCTCCTGCTGCCATCCGAACCGTTCAAGCTCATGCCCGAGTCGCGCGCCTGGAGAGGTGCCGGCTTTCTGCCGGCCGCGGGCCGCTTCACGGGTGGCTGCGGCTTGCCCCTGGCTGCACCGTTCGCCAAGGGCGGCGGCGGCGGCGGCCTGGGCGCTACGACAGGTGGTGATGCTGGGGGTGCTTGTTCCTCGACGTACGCGGCAGGGATCCACGCTTGGACGGCCCCCTGCTTTGCCAGCCACCATCCTGGAGCAAGGTTCTGTTAGCATATCAAACAAGCAAATAGGAGGATTCATAAAGAAAACTTACCGTTGGTCTCCTTCTGAACGATTTCGATTAGCTGGCCCGTCTTAATCGAGAGCTCATTCTCCTTTTGGCCGGCAAAGTCGTAGAGCACCTTTGCCATAATCTTGGGCCTCGCTGCAGGGGCGGCGGGCGGTGGAGGCGGTGGAGGGACGCGTGCAGCCGATGTGTTGGATTGCTGCCGGGTATGCACCGGAAGACGGACTGCTGCAGCTGGTTGTGGCGCCGCCGCCACTGCAACCCGAGGCGGCTGCGGGACCGGCCGGGAAGAATTGGCAGAAGGCCGGGCCTGGGGCGGGCGGTTGTTAGGGACCCTTGAAGGCCTGCCGCCTGGCCCGCCGGGCTTGATGAGTTTTCCTCTCGTAATAGGCCTTGGGGGAACGGGCTTCGCCCTTGGCATTGGCCGAGAGCCAGAGTTGGGAGGCTCTCCTTGCTGCGTATGGACGGCGCCGCTCTTATAGAAATCGACTGGAGTCGGCGCGTCCTTCAGCACCTTCACAAGCTGCATCTTCCCCGGCTTCTTGGCATACTCAATGCTTTCTGCAATCTTCAGGTTGAACCCGCCCGGCATGACTCTCTGCATCTGGGTGAACATTTCCGTCTTCAACAGGCAGTTGAGCAATGGATCGGCTTCCTGAGGCGATCCTACCCCCAGCGAGAACCAGTCATCTCGGCTTGTAGATGCCCCAACAAACTTGATAGAGCCCAGAGGAAAAGACCGCTCGACCACAATTTGCACGTGGCTCTGCACAAGCGTCTGGGCCACGACGTAATACTTGTTGTTGGTCACGACAATGAGCCTAGGGCTCGGCTTGCTGGATCGCCCAAATTTGGCTTCCAGGATTTCGCCACGGCACGAAAAAACTACCTTTTCGTTGCTTCCGAGATTTAGGCCGGTCCGAATTTGGGATCCCGGCCCGTTGGTGGCATTGATGCCGAGATAGTCGCCCAGGAATCGCCGTGACCCGAGAAGACTCATTCTTCTGCGCTCTTTGCGGCCCTGCAAGACTCTGTGGCCTTGGTCGCGGAGCTGCAGATACTCAGCCCCAACGCGCTTCTTTCTCCAGAAGCGCTGGATTCTGGTGGCCGATTCTGCCCTGTATGCCAGGTATGCTCGCCACATCCGCTGAATACGCGTTGCCATGTTATGCCAGTACCGGTCCCTCATATGTTCGAGAGCGAACAAGGTTTCGGGCGACTTGATAAAGGCCTTTGTGACACCAAGCTGCCACTCCTCCTGTGGGATGCTGGTGTCTTTGAGGATCTGCTTCACAGCAGCCTCGTAAGAGCCGGTCCATGTGTACTCGCCGGCATAAGAAGTAGCTGGCGACAGCAAGAAAAACCGGTCAACGAATTTCTCAAACGACTGGCGGTAAGCAAAGCCAGCGCGGCGGATACGGACGTTCTCCTGCAGACCTAGATACTTGATTTGATGGAGAACGTTGGGGACGTTATATTCAGTAGAGGATTTGTTTTCGTTGGGCTTAATGGTACGGATGTAGGAAGGCTGGCATTTCATAAGCGTTTCAACCAGAGCATTGGCCGAGGCTCTTATCCTGTCGCCGGCTGAAGGGGGCTGCTTCCGGTTGTCCTGGTCTACTTGATTGGGGAAAATAGCGTGAACGAAGGGATTCTGGCTGCCCTGGAACAGATTCAGCAGCCCCTTGAGGAGCAAGTCCTTGTTTTTGTCCGTAATGCCGTCGACTGCGTATGTGACGTCGCCGGCATAGTGCTTGACGATAAAACCACCTTGGCGAGCCGTTAGGTGGGCATTCGACATGCCGTTAATGCTCTGCATAAAGGTGCGATCGCAAGCTGCCGGGTCAGCGTGAGCAGTCTTGGTGGCGTCCTTCATGGCAGAGAAGATTCCGGGGGGCCTGATGGACTCGATCAGGTCGCAGACGACCTTGTTGTCAAAGTACGAAATGGGTGTCCACTTGATCTGCTCCCTCGCGTATTCTTCCTGCTCGGCCTTCAGCGTAAGCTGGATAAAAATCTGCTGCAGTTTCTCGTTCACGTAGTTGATGCAGAGCTGCTCGAAGCTGTTCTTCTCAAAGATTTCGAAGCCGTAGATGTCTAGAATGCCAATCGAGTTTATTGCGGCCTGCCGGGCCTTGAGGGATTGGTTTATCCGCTCGACGATCCAGTCGAAAAGGTTGTTGTAGATGGCCTTAGCCAGTGCATCTCTGGTCGCAGTCGCCTGGGCGACATTGGCCGGCGACTCGATTACCTCGCCGTTCCGTGGGGTCAGGATGCGAATCGTGATAGCATTCACGAGCGAGGCCGGGTCAACCTCGAGTAGATAGGCCAGGAAATCGACAACCGACTGGTCCGTCACAGCCGCATATCCATTGTCATCCTCGCGGAAGACGAGGTTTCCGGCCCACAGGATGGCAGAAAGCATGCGGAAGATGTTGTCCTGCTCTGCCTGGGAGAGGCCAATAATCTTCATAGCATTGAGCGTATCCTGGTAGTCTGCCAGATCATCGATTCCGTCCACGTCGAGACACTTTGACCTGCTCGTGTAAATGTACGTTTCGGGCTTCTGAATGCCAAAGGTCTCGCGATACTGCGGCGAGGCGCCTTTGGTGAACTGGTAAAAGATGTGGAAGTTGCGCTCGTTGACGATCTGGCCGACGACGCGCGTCTTCTCGAGCAGGTAGTTTGCAATATCGGCACCGATGGGCTCGCCCTGGGCGTTGAAGTGTATTTGCAGATATTTGCCGAAGCGGGAAGAGTTGTTGTTTCGCAATGTCTTCGCGTTACCAAACGACTCGAGCAAGGGGTTTGTGGCCAGGACCATGTCCTTGATCTGCTGGATATCGCTACCCTCGGCGCCGCCCGAGACGTTCGCAATGTACTGCATGATGCGCTTGGCAGCCTCGGTCTTGCCGGCGCCTGACTCGCCCGAGATAATGACACACTGGTTGTCATTGTAAGCCTTCATGTTGTAGTAGGCGGACTCGGCGATGGCAAACACGTGGGGCGGCATCTCGAGGCGGTTCTTGCCGCGGTAGCTGTCGAGCACCTGGTCTGTGTAGATGCCGAGGTCGCGAAAGGGGTTGACCGAGACCAAGACATGGCCAATGTACGTGTAGATCTCGGCGCCCTCGAAGCGGCGCTTCAGGTTGTCATTGATCGCCTCGTTGGACACCTTGCTAAGTAGTGTCAAGTCCGAGACGCCAATCTCCTTCTTCTTGGTCGTGTCGAAGGTGGCCTTCTTTGGCTTGGCACTGGAGCTGGCCGCACCGCCTCCGCCTGCGGAGCGTTCGGCCCTGGTCGCCTTGTCCTTTCCACGGCGCGTGATAGCCTGCGAAGTGATCACGGTCAGTATCAGTATTGGGGGCGAGGGACGGGCGAGGGGTTGCATGCGCTGGTGGGCGTCTATGCCGGAAGAGCTCGCGGGCAGTCTTGCACTCACCATGGCGGGCGTTATCAAATCGCCTTCCTCTCCTTTTTCGTCGTGTCGTTGTCGCTGTCGTCGTTGTCGTTGTCGTCGTCCTCGTCGTCTAGTCGCGCACTGCCGTGGGGAATGCGAGCCGAGGGGACCGGGCTACTAGGTACCGATCAGTTTGACAAGCACGCACCTCACACTACCGCGACGAAGCTCACGGCTTGCTTCGCTTTGCGCACACGCTATGCGTATCGTAATGCTCATAGAGAGAGGGGAGAGGGCGTTGCAAATTAGAGCGAGGCTTCGTGGCTCTCCCGCATCGATCGGTGGTTCCCAATGAGGCGTAGGTAATCGCTTCACCTCGCCCCGTTCAATAATAAACCCAAGAATCCTTGGCCAGTGGTGCCTGATGGATGCAGATGGGGTCCCCAGCTAAGCCCTTCTACGCTTTAGCCCTTCTGCGCTTTACAGTGACGACGAGGCCCACCAAAAAAGCTTTGGTGGGGTCTTATCGCCCAAACTGTGGCGGGCGCCTACGCAAGCCACTTTACACTTTACACCCAAAGTTTCCCTACAGCTACTTTACATACTTGGAACCAATTTTAGCCTCCAATGTTCCGAGTCTGAGACCCAGTCGCGAAGTATTAATCCGATGGGATGATTGAAGTCTGGCGGACGGAAGGACTGGGTTGCTGCCTCAGGTATCCGTACCCTCTAGCAGCGCCACACTAATAAGCCACTAGCCTACTGCCTAAGGCCCGAGTGCGCTCAGCCACATAGAGATACGTCTTCGTCTTGCACAGAAAGCGCACAGTAATAATCAGGTACCTAGCGAGGCAACCCAGCGAGGCAAGTTGACGCGCAAGCTAATGATGTCTGACTTCGATTTTCTTTCCTCTACTGGAAGAAAGCCTGCCGTGATTCCAAAATTCTTTTTAGCTGCCTTGCACTGAGCCGGCAGTCATCTTATGGCGCCGTTGTCGCAGGCTTCGGATATCCCACGAAATACCTACCGCGGCCGCCTGTACAGCGCACACTATCAGCTGGCTGGCACTCCTTTTTTCTTACAATCAATCTCTGAATGTTTGTTGGCGTGGTACTGGGGCAGAATAAATGTTCTAGCCCAGCAAAATAAACCAGCCAAGAAAAGCCTTGAATAGGTGTTTTTTTTTCTTGGAGAAGAGATAGGTCTTTCAATCTTGAAAAGTCCCCCGGTAATAAACATTCAGGAATTGTATTGTATTGAGGCCATCGACCTCGGTCCTCTTCAGACTTGGCGTCTCGCTGGTCGGTTCTCGGTGTATTCGAGTCGTAAGGAGGCAACCAAATCCCGCCGGTTCCTTTTGGGAGATATTCCCACCTACATTTCTGGTCGTTAGCATGAAATAATAACATTTTCAAAAAGGACTTTCCAGAGGGTCTGGACGAGAGATACTCTGGGTCTTTATATACACCGGCTGCCCTCCCAAAGTGCTGGGTTTTGCGTGGCCATCATGGCGCTCGCGGGGTGTGGCCCGTCGTCGAAAAAATCGTACGATTCCCCACGTTCGGCTGCACTGAGGATCTCCGGCCACTCGACCACCTCGCCAGGATGCCTGTGGCGCATGTAGACGTATAATATGCTTATTCTGTGGGGATCTTCGAGAAATAAGAACAAACATGTTCTTTCTTTTTTTCCCCCTTGTTCTGGATGTTATTTTGGCCGAAAATTGTCGATGTCGCCGTTTCTTGATTCGAGTCGTCGACCAAGGTAGGGCGAGGTTCCCACCCACGCAGCCACCTCACGCCCACTTCCTGTCCCCTTTCTACGACCAGTGTGCTCGCTCTTCCTCTCCTTGAGAGACTTGGGAGCAAACTCGAGTCTCTCTAGCATCTGGCCAATGGCTGTCAATGGCTGTTTCACTCGGCCTGCTACGGATCTGTCCGCCATGCGTGGTGCAGAACTTTGCTCATGCCCCCTTAGTTTCAGACCCTGGCTGGGTGTCTTGCATGGGTGAATGCTGTAGATCTGCCCCCCGGCTTGACTTTCTTAGCTTTTCAAACGAAACCGAAAAGCTTAACTTGAAGAACGCCCCTTTTCTATGCACGTGTGGTTTGCAGCGAAGAGAGAGATGCTAGGTACGTGCGTCGTGCACGGGTTGGGAGGGTCACACACACAGGAAAGGTTTGCCGGGGTGTTTGTCTGGGGTGGGTGGTTTCGCAAGAGAACCTCAGGCTCGGAAGCGTTGTTGGTGAAGCCCCAGGAGTCTGAAGGGCCAGGGCAGGCGCCCTGCGACGTTCCTGGGTAGGGGCCCGGATGGCATTTCCGAGACCAAATGCCATTCTTGGAGTCTGCTTGACCGTTGATGGGATTTGCAACGAGTCCTGCACGCCTCCCTGTTGGCGGGTCTGACAGTTTAAGCGAGAGCGCCTCAGATCGCAAGCCACCACTTGTGACCTCAGACCTGAGGCTGGCTGCTGGCTGCAAGAGACGGGATGGCACAGGCGCGCCTAAGGTGGCCCGTTCTGTGGCCTTGCGGCGCCCTTGTTTCGGGAACGAGCTAAATACGCGGTATACCGAGAACGAACCGAAGGCCCGCGGAGAGGCCAGGCCGCCCCTGTGAATCCGTGGCCGGGGTAGGTGAGTCTGTTGTCGGGAGTGCTACGTCTATGACGGTGTGGAATAAGGTTGGATAGGATGGTGATGTCTCTAACAGAAGGATCACTTGACTACTAACTTACCTACCCACGCGCCTGTGTGTTTTGGTAACTCTGGCTACGCCGCCGCATGATATCTGATCGATTTGGCGTAGTTGCCAAGCTGTCACACCAGTCCGAGTTCGGGTCTTAGATAGCCATGACCTCGAGTTGAGGGCGCGAGCTGTGACGATCACGATCCCTCCCACAGCCCACAAAGGTGTGCTGCCCGTCACGTCACCCTCTTGGACGAAATGGTTCCAAGAGGCACAGGTCGATCCTCTCGACACCACATCTCGAATGACAAGACGCCATGATCGACTCCTCTGGCCAGATCACCGCACTACTCTTTTAGCAGAACCCCCAGGAGTCTGTCCCGGGCCATGCCGGCGGGCGGCCCAGCCGTCCGCCCTCACCCTCGCAACATCCATGGGTTGGCCCCCGTCGCCGTGACTTGGGTCGCCGTAAAGAAAGCCGACGAGAATACGACAAGACAAGGTTGGCAACCGGCCACTAATGACTGCATATCACCCCACTCAACAGCACAATGGGCCCATACGATTAAGCTCAGTGCCGTACGGGGTGCATCAACGGCATCGGGCTTGGCTTGACCGCGGCGGAGTTTGGATGATAGGGATATTTCCGTCAGCAACTCTCTCAAAAAGCCAGGAACGGAACTTTTGGATGGCAGACTGTCTTCGATCCCGAAATGCAGGTGCGCAAGACATCTGGGGTCAAGGTGCGTCAGGTCTAGTCCCGATCCGGCCTAGCGGTGGTTCTTACCGCGGGGTTATTTGACATTATTGGTGGGCGCAGATCCAGATTCTCCCCGGCCCAGAACTCGGCTCGCAGCGCCATGCCCCAAGATTACCTAGCGCGCCAAGATGTCTCTGGAACACTCTCAACCCGACACCCCTTAAGCGCCTGGGAAAAGGTGCCCAGGTCAGTTGCAGTGTGTCGTGCGTGCGGCCGATTGGGCGCGACCGGTTGACTGCCCTTGTGTCCAGCTATTCTTAGCCTGCGGTGGGCCGTTCTGAGCAAAGTCAACAAGTGAAGAAACATGTCGCTATTTCTCTTCTTCCGCCACTCCCGCCGACGGGGCTTCTTCTTTCTCCATTCCGTCAACCTTCAGCGATCTTTTAGCAGCGATTTAGGTGCGAGTTTAGGAGGCTGCTTTGACTCGCACACTTAACTCAGGAACGAGCGGGAGACACCGTGGGCCTGCACCCAGGACACACCCCACAGACCCCTGACAGGCCCCTGTAGGCTCTCCACGCCCGAAACATCAGAGTCGCCCTCAACAGGCCCCCCGTCAAAGCGTCTCTAACACGTCCCGTCTCAACCCCTCCGCGCCGACGCTCGCGATTCCTTGTCGTCTGATAGTCGTGCAGCGTCTGCGCGCAGTCGACAGCAGGCCACCCTTACACGGCTCTACTCTCCCAAACATTGTCGCCGTCTCCAACGTCTGATCTACGGCCCCAGCAAGGGCAGCATCCCTACGCTCTCTCCGCTTTCCCTACCTACGCTCTGTGCCTCTTGGTGCCTTTACTCGCTTGCCCCACCGCCACGACGAGCCCGCGCTGTCGCATCAATCTCCCAAAGGACGACAGACGGGGGGCGATACACTGATTTTTTTTTTGGACGAAAGCGGGAATCGCTCCAGAGCCTTGATTTCTGGACGAGTTTCAAAGACGACCAGCATCCCGAGTAGGAGGAAGCTTGGCTGATCGCTCACAGAGGCCGAATCCACACCACACACACGGGCGTGTTTGCTCCCGCATCCGACTACCTTGCCCTTTATCTAGCTAGCTTTCTTGGGCGACCACCACCACCCACCTGGAGCCCGATCGGACCTGGCCGTGAATCTTATGACCCTCTCGCCGCCCGCACATCATCGCTCGGTTTCCGTTCTTCTCCCCTCACAGACTTGGCGAGGTGTAGAAGAAACCCGAGACCGCTTCCACCAGCCCTCGTCTCCGCATTCTCCTTCCCTTCCTTAGCTGCTGGTTCAGATCGCTCCTTTGTTTTTATTGTCGGCCCATCCCGTACATTTCACTCTTTACGATTCGATCCGCCGCCGACATCACGTTGCGCGACGTCGCTCTTAATATCTTCAATCTGTAGAAGGAACGAGACGGAAGAGACGGTGCGCCTAGACTCGGGAGTGTCGCCGCTGCCGCTGTCGCCCAACCTGTCGAAGCAGCAAACTCCCAGACGGGCCGCGCTGAGCGCCGACGGATCCCCAGCAGTCGACGACAAGTCCACGGGTCGCAGGCCGACACTCTAACGTCGAGAGATTGTGTAGCGCCGGCTTTCAAGAGGAGGGTTCTCGTTCACAGCCGCCAAAATGGGTACGGCAAAAGAGGTGGGGTCGCTTGTGAAGAAGCAGTTCACGCCCACAAAGATTATCTTCCATATACTATTCTGGACGTTCCACTGGGGCATCTTCGCCTATGGATGGTGTGTATTCTTGTTTCCCCCCGAGTCGGACGGCCTAGGCTGGTTGATGGCTAACCATGAGGAACCCACAGGTGGAAGCAAGAGTCAGACCCGCGACTGGCCGGTCTGAACACGCTGAAGTATTCAGTTTGGATGTCTCGAGGTGCTGGCCTGGTCTTGAGTGTCGATGGCATGCTCATCTTGCTCCCCGTGTGCAGGACGATTATGCGCTTCTTCCGTCCCAAGATCAGGTTCATCCCACTGGATGAGAACATCTGGATGCACCGTCAGCTTGCTTATGCCATGCTGATCTTCACCATCATTCATACCTCGGCGCATTATGTGAAGTGAGTCTTTTTCTATTTCTCTCCCACAAAAAAGTCAAAAAGGGAAACGTCTGACCATGGCCTTTGCAGCTTCTACAATGTCGAGAAGACGCAGATCCGCCCCGTGACCGCCGTACAGATCCACTACGCCCAGCCCGGTGGCATTACGGGCCATGTAATGCTGCTGTGCATGCTTTTGATGTACACGACAGCACACCACCGCATCAGGCAACAATCGTTTGAAACTTTCTGGTACACTCACCATCTTTTCATCCCATTTTTCCTCGGTCTGTACACGCACACGGTCGGCTGCTTCGTCCGTGACCAAGCCGATTCCATCTCTCCGTTTGCTGGTGACCCGTACTGGAAGCATTGCATTGGATACCTGGGCTGGAGATGGGAGCTCTGGACGGGCGGCTTCTACCTCATCGAGCGCCTGTACCGTGAGATCCGCGCCATCCGCGAGACCAAGATTACACGCGTTGTCAGGCATCCGTATGACGCCGTCGAGATTCAGTTCCAGAAGCCTTCGTTCAAGTACAAGGCTGGACAGTGGCTGTTCCTCCAGGTGCCTTCCATCTCAAAGTACCAGTGGCATCCCTTTACCATTACATCTTGCCCGTACGACCCTTATGTCTCGGTCCACATCAGACAGGTTGGCGACTTCACTAAGGATCTCGGCAACGCCGTCGGTGCTGGTATGGCGCAGAGCAAGCTCTACGACGGCGTCGATCCCATGGGCATTTATGAAGTGGCGCTGCAGAACGGCCAGAAGATGCCCACGCTCCGCATTGACGGGCCGTATGGCGCGCCGGCCGAGGATGTGTTTGAGAACGAGATTGCCGTGCTGATCGGAACGGGTATTGGTGTCACACCGTGGGCTGCCATCCTGAAAAACATCTGGCACTTGCGGAACGGGCCGAACCCGCCCACGCGTCTCCGCCGTGTCGAATTCATCTGGGTGTGCAAGGACACGACGTCGTTCGAGTGGTTCCAGACGCTCCTGTCATCGCTCGAGAAGCAGTCGAGCGAGGCGGCCCAGGTGCCCGGCGCTAACGGCGTCGAGTTCCTCAAGATCCACACGTACCTGACCCAGAAGCTCGACATGGACACGACGCAGAACATTGTGCTCAACAGCGTGGGCATGGATGTGGACCCCCTGACGGAGCTCAAGGCTCGCACAAACTTTGGCCGCCCCAACTTTGGCAAGATCTTTTCCGCCATGCGCGACGGCATTCTGAACCGCACTTATATCACCGGAATCGAGGGCAACATGAGGACCACGGTCGGTGTGTACTTTTGCGGCCCGTCGGTAGCTGGTGAGTTTTTTTTTTCCCTTCTTTTCTGTTGGTAAACGTACCGGAAGAGACGCTAACATTTTCACCCTCTAGCCCGCGACATCCATGACGCCGCCAAGAAGTCGACCGTCCCCGAAGTTCACTTCCGCTTCTGGAAAGAACACTTCTAATTGTACATGTACATATTCTTTTTCTGTTTCTTTCCTGATAATAGTGCGCCGCTGTTTGAAGCTGGCACTCCTCCTCCCCACGTGCCCCTGAGCTGTGGAGAAGAGAAGTATATATATCACTGTACAGAAAGTGCTTTTTTCTGTACCTTTTTTTGGCTGGAGCAGGAGCTGAGAACTAGCCGAGCAACCGAGCCGCAGCAAATATGATCGTTGTCGCCAGCAAGCCAGTCAGCTCAACAAAAACGAGATATGTTTGTCTCTCTGCTGCCGGCATTTAGGCGGAGGCAACGTGGAACAGGCGGGAAACTACCACGGGTCTTTTTTTATATGATGATTAATGCATTAGAGAAAGCGGGTGTTTTCTTCCTTGCTCTTTTTTGGCCCATTTCTACAACCAATAACACTACAACATCTCTACACGCACATTTTTATCCGGCTTTGACTTTTGGGGGGGAAGGAGTAAAACTGGTGACGACTGAATAAAAGGGGGAGAGGGAGAGAACGGGGACGCCAGACGCCTGGAGCGGAAACGGTTCGTTTCCCAATAGCAGCTAGGCCACCTTCTACTCCGAGCCTAGTCGGTCCTCACGGGCGCCGAGGACCACTCACACAACTATGTCAACTCGCTCTCGGAAAAAAAACACGTTTGTGACGAGAAGCATCCGTCATCGATAAGCAGCAGTGAGTGAAGTGGAGCTAGGCAAGTGGGAAAGGTTCAAGGCATTTTTAACTTTCTCTCATCTTCCACTTGCATTCTTTCCTTCTTTTCAACTTTTCCATGACATTCATACTCTACTACGTCTTATCATTTTTATTATCTTAGTGTGGGGGGAGGGGATTTTTCTGCTGTTTGGATCCCAGAAAGCCAGGGTGGCTGGGAAAAGAAACCCCGTTCAGAACCAGAGCGTACGGTACATGGATAACCAGGGAGAGGTAAGGTAGGTTATATTGCATACACCACATATATTTAACGCACGTTTTAAGGTAATAGGTATATATTTACATATATTCTTCAATTTCATGACGAAACACGAAGCCTATCTCTACTTTTATTGTTTGCATCGTTTCTTTCAGGGGACATATTCACACCGAGTGTCCCTGTGCAGATAGGTCACGAGATGGGACGGAGTGGGTTTCTGTCTAAACCTATCATCCAGTGGCCGTGACGTGGCGAGATGATGGTGGGGTGTTTGTCAAGTTGGTATTCACTATCATAAAATAGGGGTTGTTCTGTTTATGTTCCTGAAACTCTCCAAGCGCGGAACCCGAGGGAAGTACATACCTGATATTTCAGCTACCTGGATGTCCCCGGCAAGAGCTATGAGAGGGAGAAGTGACAGGGGAAATTTACAGAAGGTAAAATTTACGGAGAGCATGACAGTAGAAAGAAAGATAGAAAGACCCCAACTGCCCTGCCCAGTCCTGCTGGCCTTGACTCGGCTACCATCGTAAGAAATAATTTAAGCCAAAGCGCTAACTGCATGTAAGTGTGCATAGTTTCGCCCGCAAGGCATAAGCAACACAACCTGACCTGGCATGGCCTACTCTGGGGGCCACCGGGTCTGTTTCCCGTGGGGGGGCCCGACCCGACGAGCCTGCGGCGCGCAGTGTTTGAGGATGGATTGGCGGGTTCCACTTGCCCGCCGCAGGCACTGACAGGCACAGGCGGATTCTTCCGTCGTATGATCCCGTCAGACCAGACATGCTGCCATTTTCGCTCCTTGATGGGCCGGGCCGAGGGCCAAGCTCCTACTCGCATTGCTGGATGGCCGGGTAAGCTGCTGGGACTGTGCGGTGAAAAGAAAAGCTGGGGTTAGATTTGGACTTGGGACTTTGATCTGAAGACGTCATGTTATTATCGTGTCATCAGCCCGGCTCGTGTGCTGCACACATATATCACAGATGGAAAAAAGAAGAGGAAAGGATACCAGAGAACCGATACATTCACCTAGGTACTAACTACATCTAGCCACCATGTCTACAACTGCCAATCAATTGGTGACCCTCGATGAACTGTGATTGATCTACTCCGTACCCTGCTAGGACCGTCCTCGTTAAACTTTTTTGCGCTTGTCCCTTTTCATTCCCTCCGTTCCCATACAGAATGATACATATACAACTTGGGGCCGTGCTGGAAAAGGCCGGATAGAAACAACCCAAACACGTTTACAGTAGATGGTTTTCGCTAGCCTGGGTTATTGCCCACAGCTGAGACAGCGGCTTAAAAACAACCCATCCCTGCCCACCCCAGAATCTCCTCTAGCTCGGCGCGGATCTCGTCGGGACCGCCGTATCCTGCGCGGCCGGCCATCTCGCTGCGCCGGCCCGTGCCGAGCTCCGTGTACCTCTCCAGAATTGTGCCGTCAATGATGCTGCGTCCCACTCCAGCGTCGACCCCGGACTGCGGGCTGTTAGCCGATGGCGCGCGATATCCTTTAGGGTTAAGCCCCGCGGCGTGGGGCAGCGTCGTGCTGAGTTGTGCTGCGAGCGACGAGAGTCGCCGGTACACCGACTCGGACAGAGGGCGCAGGGCCGCGATGACGCCCGTCGGGGACGCCAGCAGCAAAACGTGCGGGCTCTGGGGCGGCTCGGCCGCGCTGGCACCGTTTGCGCGAGACGCCTCTCCCGTAGATGCAACAAGGAGTAGCGAGCTCGTGGGATAGTGCGCGCCTGTGCTAAAAGTAGTGCGGTGCAAAAGGAGGTGGCCCTGTAGAGATTTCGGATCTTTGAGTCGGGCAATCTTGTTAGTACTGTCTTATCATCTTCCAACGGTGGAGCAGAACACCTACGTTCAGGGTCAAACTGCAAAATGTGAATGTTGCCTTCCGCATCGGTTGCCACGATGTACAGCTCTCGGCCGTCCGGCAGGAAGTCGGCGTTGAGAACCTCAAAGTTCGACGAGCTCTTGCCAAAGAGGATCATCTTGTACGGCTCCTCCGTGTATCCGGTAAACCAGACGCCCTTAAACGCGTCCGCCATCAAGCACAGGCCGGTGTCAGGAAGCTCTTTAACACTTGTCACAAAGCAATTCATATCCATGAAGGCTACGGGCAAGAGTGTTCCATCCTCCTTGAGACCTCGTACCATGCACTTTTGGCCTTGGGCCATGAGCATGAGACCTTGGGTTCCCACCTCTGAGATGGCCGTCACGGCTCCCCGGGCAATATCTTCCTTGGCGACGAGCTTGAGCTTCCTGTTCGTTTCTGGCCGCCCGGGCTCTGGGATCACCTCGGCAATATCGTATACGTAGACACGCCCCCTAGTTGGGAGATCTTCGCCTTTGCAGATAGCGGTGCCAACGGCGATCAACTGCTTTCTTTCGTTGGTCGTTTCCGACACCTCCAGGTTAAGAGTCTCGACACAAAGAACGCTCTCGCACGGCTCCATTTGGACCGTGTCAATGACGGCCCAGGTTATAGGGCTTATGAGCTTCAAGACACCTCTCTCGACCATTGGCTTAAATGCGAGATTCTCCCGTGTCCACTCTTTATGGTGGTCGTCATCTTTAGGAAGCTCAAATGGCTCGGTGGTGTTGCAACCGACAACGTAGCCCTGTGAGGGCGGATGAAATGCAACGGCGTCCACATCGTCACCGATTGGAACCTTCTTCACCGAGACGCCTGTCTCGGCGAAGCTGTAGTCGCTCGGAAGCTGCGTTACCCGTGCGATGCCATGCATGTCGGCGTATATGAAGCCGTGCTCACACCCCTCTGTGTGGAACGCGCTCATTGCTTGCACCGCCGAACCTTGCAGCCCAATAATCCTCGGCATCGATTGGGACGACTTTATGACGAAGCTTGGGGATGGGCCGGGGAGAAATACCGTGCTGTAGCCTCCAATGTTGGCACACGGCCGCATGGAGAGGAGCAGAGGCTGATGGGTGGGCTCGTCCTGGACAGTTTCCTCGGGGATCTTGGCGAAGGACGAGTTTGGCAGCTTCTGAAAGAACAAGGTCTTTGAAAAATTCACCTCGCCATCCCCCTTCACGCGGAATGGCTGGTAAATAGTCAAATCATTGTTTGCATGGCGGAGCTGGAACATGTTAGTTAGTATTGCGAATTCTAGATGGGACCGCAAAGGTGACCAACAATGAGGTACGGAGAACTATGTGTTGTGTCGCCGAGGTCAGCCACTAAGATTTCGGCAACAGTCTCCTTGGTAGTCCCTTTCCTAGCAGCATAATCGGCTGATAGACCGGGCGGTATGTAAGAGAGCCCTTCGGCAACGTATATGGGCTTTGATAGGTCGGGGAGACGATATATCTACAAGTGTCAGCACAGTCGAGCGAAATAGAGGACCAAGCTCCATACATGAAGAGCGCCGGTAGTGCTAAGGAGAAAGGCCAAGATGTCGCCTGTTGGTTTAGCCCCCTTGTCCGTTGCTTCGGCAAAAACTCCGTTCGCATCTGTGTACAGACTTCCTGTGAGCCACTTTGTAGTTGTCAAGGTCTTGTCCCTTTTCTCGACCTCTTCAATTTCGTTGTTGCTGTCGATCTGGGCAAAAAAGGCACTCGAGTCATCTCGAACGAGCAGGAGATATGGATCAGCAATGCTGCCGCTAACAACTCTAGGTTCTGCCCCAGTCTCCTCGTCGAGCATGGGAATAATCTGGTTCAGCCGAAGGTCTGGGCGCAAGTCACCGGTTAACTAAACACGCACGGGAATCAAAGCTGCAGACGGGAAATATTGACAGCCTACCTCCGTCGTAGCATCGAACTTCCGACTTGAGCACTTGGATGATCCTGGTGCCCTTCCCCATAGTCCCAGCCTGGACAGTAAACCCGGCAGCCGGTTCGAACTCGGTGCCGGTGAGGCCCTCAAATCCAGCTGCCGTGAGAGCATAGACGTCCGAGGTCTCATAGCCGTCGAGGTCGACCTTGGCAACAATCATAAACTGATCGTACTGACCAGACGTGTCGTAGTCGTTGCCGACGACACTGGCCCCCTTGTCGCCGCCCTGGAGCGACTTGGGAATAGGTTTCTTGGCGCTCACCGTCCAGAATGCTCTTGCTTCGTGGAACTCAAATCGGCCAACGACCTTGGGTTGTATTGCAAGGTTCACAATGGCAAGCGAACCAGATTTCCCTCGCCCTACGGCGAAAACTAGCTGCTGCTCGCAGTCGACTCCGGCCGAGTTTTGCTCCTCCTCACTGCCGGGCAACCACGTTGGCGCGCCGTGCGTGATCTTCTGGATGGGCCCAATGTTCAGCAGCGCGTCGTGAATGCGAAATGTGAGCTCCCCGCTCTTAGCGATGCTTGCCACAGACATGGGACGGGCGCGGGCTGCGGGCTCCTCGCCGTAGAGATCATCTTCGTCTTCCTCCATGTCTTCGTCCTCGAAGGGGTCAAAGTCAAGGCTCGTGTCTTGGGTCCGCGCCTTTTTCCTTGCAACCTGGCTCTGCTTCTTAGTCCAGCCGAATACTATGGAATCGCCCTCCTCGATACCGGCAAACATGGTGTTGCGCCCGAGGCGGCAAAGCGACGTGACACGCGAGTGTATGACGGACGCGGAGATCTCTGTAGGAAACATCTTGATGCCGAGGCCCGACACGGTCCGGCCGTCAATCCGGAAGGTGACCAGGGCCATTCGGCCGTCGCTCAGGATGATGAGAAGCTCGCCCAGATCGGCCATCAGGACGTCAATGACGCAGCCCTCGAGCCGGAGGTTGAGGTCAGACTGGTCGACGAGGCTGAACGACGTGCACTGCTTCGTGAGGGGGTTCACGGCTACGCCATTGGGCTTCCCCGACTGGTCGATGTGGATCAGCTCGTTGGCTCCCACGAGCAGGACGCCACCGACGGGGGCGGGCAGGGGCACGACGCGGAAGAGGTCCTGCGGCAGGCCGCTGACCGAGAGGATGGTGGTTGAGGCCTTTTGCTGCAAGTCTAGGGTGAAGACCATGTATGTGAAGTGGTCCTTGCGGCCGAGCGAGTTCGAGGCGTGCTTTGTCGATGAGAGAATGCCAAAGGTGGGCTCCCGGTACTCATGCAGGAAGGCCAGATGCACAGGATGGAGAAGGTTTGGGTCAAGATTGGACAGTCGGAGTACAAATGAGGGTGAATATGGTGTGTCTTCTATGTTGCTAGCTCCATTTACGACAGCACCAGACAGGTCCTTGACAGGCCCGGGCCCGGGCCCGGGCCGCGGGCCGTCCAGCTCCTCATCCCAGTCACCCATGTCAATGTCCTCGTCGACCAGCTTGAAGGGCAGAATGGCCAGATTTCTGGCGCCAAACTTGAGAGCCGCGCACCTGCTACCGGGGTCCGCAGCCAGGAAGTTGACATGTTGACTCAGGGGGGCAGCCCAGGGGCTCTCGCGGAGGTCGTCTTGCTCGTAGTAGTGGATCGAGATGGTGGTGAGTGTATGCTTCTGGGCGTCCCACTCGACCAGACTGAGGCGCGCATCCTTGAAGGCGATGAGGAGGCCATCGGTGCCCGAGCTCTTGTTGAGCGCTTTGATCCTGGCAAGGCCCGTTATTGTGCCGGGAAGCGACGTCTCCGAGACGAGGACGAGCTTGGTGGTGTTAGCACGGTCGGCTCTGGCGGTGAGATTATCGCCGCCTAGAAACGACGTCTCGAGGCCGTCGTCGTCGTTGGTAATGCGGCCTTCGTAGGGGGGGACAGCTCGGGCACGGTTCGCGTTGGCATTGGCGGGGGAGCTGTCGACCTCGGCCGAGACAATCTTGGTACGGAAGATCTGCAGAATTGACGACTTCGCGACTGCCAGGTTGCTGCCCTGTCCCGGCACGAATTGCAGAGTCAGAGAATGCGTGACGGCCGTGGGCGGCGTCAACTCTGTGTAGCACTGCATGGCTCGGGAATCGAGCGCATGTCGATCCAAGTGCAAAGTCTAAGCAGTCGTGAATCAAATCGGCGTTGACGTGGAGCGGGCTGGGAGCGACTTGGGGTGAAAGGTTAGGTTCGGGATGCGAAAAGACGAAAAGCTTGACGCGCCCAATGCCGGTCAACAATCAATTGAAGATGTTGCTTCGCAATTGCTCGAGGCTACTGGTGTGCTAAAGTTCGCGCAGGCAGCCCGATGCAGGTGGGGCTGTAGTGATTGGCCAGAACAAAGTAAGACCTCTGAAAACAAGTGCCAAGTGCAGCTAGCCGCACGGACCATGTATAGGTTTGAAGCTCTGCAGAAGCTCTTCTAACGCTAATCTAGAGTTGTAGTTAGCGCGACCCACCTAAGCTCCCTTCCCCCCCTTCCCGCAATCAAGGCCTGCGCCATTGCGTCACAGATTTGCGGACCTGCACAGGGCCTAGAATACAGCCTACACGGCAGCGGGCGTCTTGGACTGGAATGGAGCCAACGGCAACGACAACGACAACGACAACGACAACACAACAATCCACAACAAGAGCTCGAGAACGAGACGGTAATTGCCAGGCAACCGCTCCAGAGCAACCCACATTAGCTGGTACGATTACCATTTACCCAACTATCAATCAGTCCTGATCTCGATCCCGATCTCGATTAATCCGGCGTCGCTATGGCGCCCGCCGGCCTGCTGCAGACTAGTCTCATCTGGGTTGCCTACGCCGTCGCCGTCGCCCTGGTCCTCGCCGTCGCCGTCATCACCACATTCGCGTGGCAGGCGCCCCACGAGCGCTCCTTTGTCGTCTCTGCCGTGGCCATCGTCAGCCTCACGTCGCTCCTGGCCACAGTGCTCCTCCTCCCCGTCGACATTGCCCTCGTCTCGTCGACCGCATCCGCAACGCTCGGAGCCAAAAAAGACTGGGCCACCCCCGAACGTATCGACGGGATCCTGCTGCCGCTCAAGATTGTCTATTACACCCTCTACAGCCTCGATGCCTTGCTATGCCTTGTCGCCATCCCCTTCGCATACTTTTGGTATGAGGAATACGACGAGGTGGAGGAGGAGGAGGGAACCAGCGGCAGCGGGAGCCGCTTTTTGAGCGCGCTCAAGTACACTGCGGCCTTTGTCTTCTTGGTCGTCATCTTGTTCCTCGTGGGCTTCTTCGTACCGGCCGCCGGTAATAGCCATGACAAGCACCTGGACCTTGACTACTTCAAGCACCTGCTCGCTGCGAACAACGGGGAGAAGTCGCTCACGTTTGGCCTGGGCCTGCTCATGACGCTGGGGACCCTGCTCTATGTCTTGTACACGGGTGCCGGCCTCGCCTTGCTTCCCGTGTCCTTGATCAAGTCTGCCCCGTCCATCTCAGCGCCGCAGCTCTCGGCCACGACGGCTTCGGCCCTCGAGCGCAACCGTGAGCTCCAGAGACAGCTCGAGATGCGCAGCGCCGGTCGCCCCGAGGGCATGTCGGCAAAAGACCAGCGCGAGATGGACGCCCTCCTGCGCGAGGAGCGAACCCTCGCCCGGCGGGAGCGGCTCGCGGCTGAGGCGCGCGGAGATGGTCGCAGCACCATTTTCCACATCTGGACCAAGATCCAAGCCGTCTTCAGGCCCCTGAAGCTAGTCGGCGGCATTCTCCTCCTGCTGATTGCCATCCTCGTCTGGGTGTCGATGCTCATCACGGCCATTGACAAGGCGGCCAACTCGGTGTGCAAGCAGCACTGCGGCTACATCCTCGGCCACATCAACGTGTTCCAGCCCATCAACTGGATCTTTGTGCAGTCGGCCAAGGCCTTCCCCATCGACTACGTACTGATGGTGCTGCTCATCTTGTTCCTGTTCAGCAGCTCCATTACGGGCATCGCGACGGTGGGTATCCGCTTCTTGTGGGTGCGCATCTTCCAGATCAAGAAGGGCCGCACCGCGCCCCAGGCCCTGCTTATCGCTACCGTCATGCTGGCCCTCATCATCCTCGCCATCAACTACGCCGTGGCCATGGTTGTGGCGCCGCAGTACGCCATCTACGGCACGCAGACTTTTTGCAGCAACGAGGGCGGCGACTGCCGCCAACACCTCGACCTAGTGCGGCCGTGCTCGGAGCTCTCGCGCGACACGGCGTCCAAGGACGTCTGCACCCCGACCGTCATGTCCACCTTCCTCAACCGCGTCACCCTCAACTGGCCCGTCTTTGGCGCCGTCGACTTCTGGGCCCAGTTTGCCTTCCTGGCCGTGTTCCTCGTCGTCTTCGTCACGAGCCTCTTCCGCACCCCGCGCCTCAACCTCAGCGAGCTCGACGAGGAGGCCGAGGCCGACGAGGAGGAGGGCCTGCTCGCCAGCACCAGCCGCCGCTTCGGCGCTACTTGGCAGGACATCACGGGCCGCGCAAAGCAGCAGCCGCAGAGCGAGGGACAGGCCTCGAATGGTGACCACAATGGCTATGGGGCCACCAACGGAAACGGTTCGGGGTCGAGGGCGTGATTATCTTTTGTGTTTGTTCCACCCGCACAGGTAAGTTGATTTATACGGGGTTTTGCGGTGTTCATTTGGCTAGTTGGTTGGTTGGCTTTTGGTAAGTTTGGTATTTGGCCTGGGGGTAATATGTGGGCGCTGCAAGGTTTCTCTCTCAAAATAATTGGATGGATGGATGGATCTCGTCATAGTCATCGTCGGTGGTGTCTCACGGTTCAGGTTCAGGTTTAGGTTCAGGTTCACGTGGTCAAGCTTGGGACACTTCATAACCCCCTCCCCATCCCCTCCCCCCTTTCTTCAAACACAACATAAGATTGTAGCAGTGATTTGTGTTTTTTTTCTCTCTTTATAGCTTTCTGATTTTGTTTATCTACCTACCTAGTTTGAGAGATTGTTACTACCGAGGCCGGCGGTACTTGATATCGCATTGCATGGTTTTGATCTTTATTTTGTGCTTTTCATTTGTAATTATTAGGTTTGTTGTCTCTTACGGGGACACACGTGAGCTATTCGTAATCAGGGTGAAAACAGCAGTTTATATGGAGAGCATGGAGTCGAGGCTCAGTACTTATCGTCTATCCCCGCCCCGCCAACCCGACTCACTCCTACGTGCTTCCCCGCACGCGTTTTCGGACTGGGGATCTCCTGTATCTTCACCGCCTTCCAGGGCGCCATCCTCTCCCCGGTATGCCAGCCCAGAGCGGGTAGCGAGATCCGGCCCAAATTTCATGTCGCGTGAGCTCCGCCGTGTGTTGAAGAAATCAACACTAAGCACCGACTGGGTTTTGGGCCTGCGTGCGGAACTACCTATTCTAGCCTATCCGGAGAAAAGGTTGAACAGGATTTCATCCTTGCACGCCTGCCCGCCTCCTGGCCTGACTAGGTCGTTAATTATTAAATAGAGATAGGCGCAGCTTCTCTTTCATTAGGAGTTTTTAAAATCGGGCTTCCCTCTGGTGACTTGCAAACGTCTTTCAATCTTTATTCTCGTTAGCTGCTATGTTATAACAGATACTCTTCTTCAATCACTGCTACCTTACTGCAACAAGATACGGGAGAGGAGAGCTAGGAAAAACCCGCCAAGCCAAGCAAGGCCCGTACTTAACAGACCCCCCACGCCACATCACAAACCACTGCAAACAAGCGACTCGGAACCAAAAAAGCAAAGCCTTGACTGACTGAGAAAGTCTGAACAGCCTCGCACGGCATCTCATCTCTCTCAAACACGCGCCTGTCTCGGGTGTTTTTCCCTTCTTGTTCTTTTGTCTCCGGCTCGAAGACGAATAAGATGCTGAGATGGTATGTACTGTGTTGTATTATATAAGAAGAAAAGAACCTAATATGAACCAACCCCAACCCATACATATCCCCATATCCTCATATCCCCATATCCCCCATATCCCCCATATCTCAGCAACCAAGCAAGGAAGCAACCTCGCGGCACAGATCCGGATGCAGAAACAAAACCTAAAAAATAGTATACCGTGTACTAACCGAAAACAGGTACCAAGCGCGGCTGGCGGCGCGGCCGCTGCTCACGCAGGCCGTGACGACGTCGTTCCTGTTCGGGCTTGGCGACGTAGCGGCGCAGCAGCTGGTCGAGAAGCACGGGCTCGAGAAGCACGACCTGCTGCGCACCGGCCGCATGGCTTTGTACGGTGGTGGTTAGTTTTTTTTTTTCTTTCTTTATTCTTCCCTATTTGGGGGTTATTTTTTTTGGATTTCGTCTTCTTACATTTACCTATCTTCCTTCCTTCCTGCCTTACATCCCCTGGTCTAGTCTAAACCGGGAAAGATTCTATCATAAACACATAAACGCTTGAACACAAAAAACTAACACAACCAACAGTAATCTTCGGCCCGGCCGCAGCGACGTGGTTCCAGATCCTGCAGCGGCGGGTCAACTTCCGCAGCGCCAACGCCACCGTGCTGGCGCGCGTGGCGTGCGACCAGGGGGCGTTCGCGCCGGTGTTCATCGGGGTGTTCCTGGGCAGCATGGCAGTCCTCGAAGGGGGCAGCCCGCGGGCCAAGCTGCGGCAGAGTTACTGGACGGCGCTGGGGTCCAACTACCTGATCTGGCCATTCGTGCAGCTGGTCAACTTCCGACTGGTGCCGCTGCAGCACCGCCTGCTGTTTGTCAATGTAATTAGCGTTGGGTGGAACTGTTACTTGAGCTATCTTAATAGCCATAGCGGGGAGCTGGAGTGATGGTAGTTCTTCGAAACCCAAAGAAGGAGGGGTTGTGGCACTTGGACTTCTTTTCTTTTTCTTTCTCAAGTCCACCATGGGCGGCGTTTTTCATTTGGGCGGGGATTAACTGAATGGCATGGTACGTACGCATGGCATGGCATCTCATGTTTTCTTTTCCCCTTAATTTTCCCATTTGTTTATTCATCTCATTCACTCTAGTTTGGTTGTCCATTCTAGACGGTGCTTTGCCTGCTCTTAGAAACAATGGCATACCAAAACCTTGCTGTGGCGCCAAAAGAGACCGAGCCACCTTAGGTATCACGCATGGCTGTCTCTCTTCCAACTATACTTTGAATATCTAAGCAGCAGAGCAGCTCGGCGCCTGCCACCTGCGTTCTCCTCGTTTTGTTGCCCTACTCTACCCTAACCCTACCATGCCCTACGTATGAATCATGTCCTAACTAGAGCGCTCGCTCGTCAAACCTATCCTATATCCGTTTGTGAAAAAGGAGCATAACGCCTTGAAATATATCTTGATATTTTGACTTCATCTCTCATCGCCTTCGCAAACATTACAGCTCCAACTCAATAACGGCTGGCGCCGTGATGGTCTTGCCTGCGACCTTTTCGAGACCCTCACCACCCTGAACGAAAAATTAGCAACAAGCCGGGAAATTTCTCCGGAGCAAAACTTACGTAGCTCATCAGCGGGCTCACTTCGATGCCTGACTGGGGGTCCTCGCTGACGACGGTGGCGCCGGCGGCCTGCACCCAGCGCTTGCCCTGGGCCATGATGTCGCGCTTGCTCGTGTCGGGGTCGTCCTCGCCGGTGCCGCGGGCGTTCTTGAGCGGGCTGAACTCGTCTTCGCGGCGCACCTCCATGCAGGCGAAGCGGACGAGGTCGAGCATGGGGAACACGTCGAATACAAACTGCTCGAGCTTGATGCCGTTGGGCTTGTCGGGCTTGACGGCGTCGCCCGTGGCTAGGTCGGCGTAGGGTATCTTCTTGCGCGCGACGTGGTGGGGCAGGTCCTTGGCCCAGCGCGGGATGGTCTCGAGGAAGCGGAACGAGTAGTAGTGGTTGACGATGTTGGCGGCGCGGAACCGCAGCACGCCGTGCTGCCTGGGGTCCTGGGCCTCGGCCGTCTCCTTGTCGATCTCGCTGTACTCGACCACGTCGGGCCGGCCGTTCTTGAGCAGGATCAGGCCGACGCTCTCGGTGGCGTTGCGCTTGCGCACCACCTTTGTGGCGATGTCGACGTCGAGCTCGGCGGCGAAGCCCAGGAAGACGGGGTCGGCGACGCGCACCAAGCAGTTGTCGACGCAGTAGGCGTGGATGTGCTCGATGCCGCGCGTCTTCATGTCGTCGAGCACCTTGGACTCGACCAGGGCGTTGTAGATGCCGCCGTTGCCGTCGGGGGCCACGGCGACCTTGCCCTTGGCCTCGAGCAGGATCTTGCCGTCGTTGGAGATGCACGGCAGCACGCCCTGCTCGAAGATGACGACGTTCTCGGGGGCCAGGCCAAAGTAGGCGTGGGTCTTGAAGTAGTCCTCGGTGGGCTGGCGCGTGGGGCCCGACGTCATGACGTACCAGGGGACGGTGACGGCAGTGCTGGCGACGCCGGCCTTGCTGGCGGCGAGCTTCTCGACCTTGCGGATGCGCTCGGCCTGGATCTGGAACAGCGACTTGGCAGACGGCAGGCCGATGTCGTAGCAGCCCTTGGGCGCCGAGCTGCCGAGGCGCGTGCCCTGCCCGCCGGCCATGAGAACCACGGCCACCTTGTTCGCGGCGATCAGGTCGAGCCCGGCGGCGTACCACTTGTCGATGTCCTCGGGCTTGGAGTCGAGGATGCTGGCCGTGGCGGACTCGGGGAGCGGCTCGAGGGAGGGCTTGGCCGAGGCGCCATCGTCATCGGTCTCGTCTTCCTTCTTTGGCGGGGCGAGGGCCTTGGCGGTGATGGTGTTGATGTAGAGGGGGTCGAAGAGGGAGAGCTGCTTGAAGAGAGTGGCCTTTTCGGCGGCGGGCAGCTCGTCGTAGAAGGTGAGCACCTGGCTCTGACCGGCGCTGGTATATTTGGCCCTCAATTCCGACACTTGTTCCGGCGATGGCTCCTGCACATCCTTGGTGCTGCTGCCGAGATGCAGCACCTCCTTGACTTTGTCCATGCTAGCCAGGGGTGGGGATGGTCGGTCGTGGAAAGCTTGTATGATGCAGCGCACGGGAAATAGAGTTGAAGAGAGGCAATTGAGTTTGAGGATGCGGCAAGGGGAGGAGAAAAGGGGCAGAGTTATGTACTCGTGGAGACGGTCCGACGTGCTGTCCTCCCTCGCAAGGGACCCCGCCATCAAAGCTTACAGGGAGACGCCAACTACGCCACGCCCCGCGCCGCAGATTCGGACAGCTCCCCACCAACATCTGGCGCTGACGTCGCTAAGGCGAGCATTGAGGGGGACGCCGTGCTAGCAGAGCCACCTCCTATTCGCCCATCCACTGCCCGGGCACAAAGCTTCGCCTGTCCTAGGTTTTGCCGGCTGCGATATTGGAGCTGCGTCTGCGTCCCACTGCAGGTACGAGTTATATTTGCGGCAAAAGACACGATAAATCCCAGGCGCTCCATTCGGAACTTGTATGCAAATGCATAGCAAATACCTCTCTTCATCTTTTCCGTTGGCCAGCGAAGGTTTCGTGTCCCAATTCGCCCCGGGGAGGTAGCTAGAACTGGGCGAAAAAAAAAAGCTATCATCGTTTGAGCTCGGTGGCGTTTGTCTGTTGGTGGGTGGCCATTTCAGCTGTCCAAGATCATGATTTTTATTTTATTTCTAGCTTGGAAGCGGTTTGCAGGCAGTAATCACAGCACAACCACGAGGCCTCTTGCAACCTGGAAGCTCATGGAATCTATGGATGACTGACTGACGCTCTGGTTGCACCCGCATCGGCATCTTTGAATAAATACAACACCTGCGAAAAATCCATAAAGAGCCTTACCGTTCTGCTGCGTTCTTCATATGCTGACTCGCGCTGGGCTCAGAGTCTTGAAAGACTGTCTCGCAATCCGCACACCACGGCTCCAGGGTAAACGCAATGCCACCATCCGAAGCCGAACCCGCAGCCGAAACCGGAGAAGAGGCTGGCCCAGAGGCCGTGGACGGAGTGGAAGCCGAGGCCAAGGCCGAAGACGGAGCGCCGCGCCCGCCGGCGACCTTCGAGGGCCGCCTCAAACTGGCCAAGCTCATGTTTGCCGGCGGCGGCAGCGGCTCACCCGACCAGCGACGGAGTCCGCGCCTGGCGTCGCAGCTGCCGTCCGCCGGGGCCCGCACATCATCAGGCCCGCGAGGGGCGGACACCAGCGCCGCCGCCGCCTCGTCGCCTCGGAAGCGGCGAGCGACATCACCACCAGCATCACCCGCCGGCAAGAAACCCCGCAGACCCCTTGCCCGCACTCCAAGCACCGTCAGCAGCAGCAGCAGCAAGTACGCGTCACCCTCAACATACTCGCACCTGCCACTGCTGCCCGACGCACTCGCACCACACCTGCTAGTCCTCTTCATCGGGCTGAACCCGGGCCTGGAGACCGCACGGTCGGGACACGCGTACGCGCACCCGACGAACCTGTTCTGGCGGCTGCTGCACCACAGCGGGACCACACCGGTGCTGTGCGCTCCTACCGAAGACCGTAGCCTGCCGGCGCGGTTCGCGCTGGGCCTGACCAACATCGTCGCGCGGCCGTCGCGCAACGGTGCCGAGCTGTCGCGGGGCGAGATGGACGCCGGCGTCGCGGCGCTCGAGGCTAAGGCGCGGCGCTGGCGGCCCGAGGCCGTGTGTGTCGTTGGCAAGAGCATCTGGGAGAGCCTGTGGCGCGTGAGGCATGGTGGGAGGGGGATCAAGAAGGATGAGTTTAGGTATGGCTGGCAGGACGAGGGGGAGAATATGGGTGTTGCTGCTGCTGCTGCTGCTGCTGCTGCTGGGGATGGAGGGAGGGAGGAAGACGTGGAGGGCGTGGATTATGCTCGCCCGTGGAACGGCGCCATGGTGTTTGTGGCGCCCAGCACCAGCGGGCTGGCGGCGACCATGAAGCTGGCCGAGAAGGAAGAGGTCTGGCGCGGGCTGGGCGAGTGGGTTGTCAAGCGGAGGGCTGAGAGGGAGGCTGCTGCTGCTGGGGACAGCAGCACTTGAAGGGTGTAACCGTTTACGAGGTCTTGCCGTGACCTAACACTTGCTCATTTAGTTTATACAAGCCTGCGGATATCCATCATAATCTTTCGTTAGTTATTTTTATTATTTGTCCTACTCCGAGTAAGCCTTTTAACATCATGCGGCCTCTCCTCTCCTCGACAAGAGGCCGCATTCCATTATGATATACATACAACCAATGTTATATTATTTCGTTGTGTGTGACTATCGCGTTAGACAGCTAACTACCTTACAAATACAGTATTTTCGAAGCGTGTATATGTCCTCTCGAGCTCTTAGTCGCCTGGGTCTCGTAACTTTTTGTGTTACTTCAGCCGAGACAGCGCTCCCCAGCAACCCCGAGTGGTGGATATAAAGATAAAAACATGAGGGGTTTCGCTGTGAAACCCTCAGGACCCCTAACGCCCATCATCGTCGACGTAAAATGGTATTACCAAGCCCCTAAATAGCAAAACCAGAAACACCAGGACCCCTTCCCTCCAGAAAAAGACCTCCCTGGAAACGAATATGCAGTGATCTAGCGTAAAATGGAGCAGAATTTCAAAAGCAAGCCACGAGATGGACACGTCGAGCAGGGCGCTTAGATCACAAACACCATGCCACAGACAGTCGCGACAACGGGCCACCAGCCGGCATTCTCCAGCAGCATGCGGAAACCGGCGCCGGCACTGTTGTTGGGGTCCTCGTCGCCCCCAGCAGCCGTGGTGCCGTTGGGCAGGGTGCCGTTGATGAGGATGGTCTCCTTGCCCTCGTAGTTGCCGACGGTGACGAGCGACTGGTTGAGGCCGGCGTAGCTGCCGTTGCCGAGGACGTCGTCCATGTAAGTCGAGTTGCCGTTCTCGTCGCAGCCGCACTCGGAAAACTCGTCGCAGCCGCAGACGACGGGCTTCGTCTCGTTGAGCTTAGATGAGGCGTTGTAGTAGTTGTGCGGGTGCGAGTACGGGTACAGGTAGACGCTGTGCGCCCAGATGCCAGGCCAAAAGGCGAGCGCCACGGCGCCGCCGACCAGCCCGCCGACTAGGAGGGGCTTGATACCCGACGCCGAGGTGGCTCCGGACTTGTACGGCTGCGCGGCGCCGCCTCCGTAGTACCGTCCGCCGCCGTATGCAGGCGGTGGGCCGCTGCCCGTCGTGGTTCTGCCGCCCGCCGTGGACGACGAACCGCCTCTGCCAGCTCTGTGATGAATGTGTTAGCAGACTAGAGAGACGATGGGGGTCTTGAACTCGACAACGCGTGGCACCCACGAAGGCACCCAGCCAGCCGACGAGGATGAAGACCGAGAGGAAGACGAGCCGGGCCGGAATGTGGAAGGAGATCGGAAGATGGCCGGTATGGACATGATGAGAGGGGCAATACGGGAAAAGCTACTGCTGCTGCTCTTTCTACTGATACTGCTGCCACCAGAACGGCCTCTAAAGAGATAAGATGACGGACCGTCAGAGACGACGGCACATCCAACAAGAAAAACGCGACACAGGAGATGCTAGGACGAAGAGTACCGAAAGACATCAAAAGAGAGAGCAAGCAACAAAGGAAGCAAAAACTCACCCAGAAACGCCGCCGCTGGAGCCGGAGCTGCCGCCGGAGCTGCCGCCGGAGCTGCCCGAGGTACCTCCGGTCGACCCGCCGGACGATGTTCCCCCGGAACTGCTGCCGCTCGAGCTGCTGCCACCTCCGCGGCCGCCGCCGCTCCCGCCGCCGCCTCTCCGCTTCCAGAGGTCCGAGAAGAACGAGGATGCGCTTTGCTCGGCGCGCTCTAATGGCTGGTGCTGGGCGGCTTGGCCGGCGCCCGGCGCGACGAGCGCTTGTACTGTCGCGTCGGCGAGCAGTGTCGACACGAGGAGCGTGATGTTGAGTCTCATGGTTTGATTTGCGTGTTGTGTGAAGTGGAAAGCCCTGGGCGATTGGGCGTGGTGGTTGGTTTTTTTTTCCTATTATTCTTTTTATTGTCGTCGATAACCCCCCTAGAGATAATTAAAGTGCGGGATGCGTGCAAGTGCCTCGGTAGGTCGTTTGGCGTGTTCTGCAATTTAGCGACAGGTACCGCGCAGGTCTTGGGGGTTGACTTTGGGGGTGGTGCGCCAGGTTGTGTTTGAGTATGACCAAGATGTCAAACAAACAAACAAAAATGGAGATAAAAGAAGAAGAATGGTTTGATTGATTTTCTCGACGGGTTTGTTCAGGGCCGGGGGCTGAACTGATGAACGGACAGGGGAGGAAGGGGCGGGCAGAGGGACTTTGCGTTGATATAGGTTTCTGCCCAGCTCTTTAGGTTTCTTGGCGATGACCTAGTCACACAGCCAACGATTTGTGTCGTCCAGTGCTGTGCTGCTTGTTCATCGAGGCCACGTTTGCCAAGGTTGCTATGTCACCGAATGGAACTTTAGCGGTGGCGGTATTCCAGTTCTGGATTCTCCATGGTACTGTACCTAATGGATCTCTGTGAGCGCCTTGTGACTGACGGGAAGTCGGGAACAGCCCACCTCCGCCACATGAAATCGGCTCGACCTATGCCTAGTATACCCGGACAAACAATAATTCTGGTTTGCCCGTCTGTTCAATCCGAGGTACTGTACCGAGTTATGCGGCTGTCTAAGGTTCAGTTTGCCGGGATCGGGAGCATGATCTGATAAGCAAAAAGCTCGTCTGGTTTCGCCAGCCCTGATCAGGGCACCCACCTAACCCTTCTCCTGTTTCCACGCACCCTCCTGGATCTGTGAACATGTCCCAGTAGGAATCTCTTGTGGCGTTCGATTATTTGTTCCATTCGCATCTGTTCAACTGTATCCGTACAATACGGATAGTGCCTACCTAACAAACAAGAGCGGAGGGTGGTGATTAATTACCTAGAAAGGCAAGAATGACTAAAATGGCTGCCGTCAAATAACCCTGAGCCACAACTCGAAACTGCCCTGTCTGGACTGCGCCATGTTGAATTGCATCCAGCCAGCCAGCAAGGGCGCCAATTCTCGCGATGCCAGTGACAGCGAATACAAATACTACCCCGCCTCGCATTTATTTCCAATCCTTCTCTGGTTTATCTTTCGCCGCAGCGAGGTCAAGACTCGCAGTCTTTGTCAACCGAGCGACTCCAACATGTCAGTCTGGGGGCAAGGGACTTAATGACGTCCGTTGGGCCCTTTGATTTGTGGGGCCCGACGAACCGGGAGGGCGTATCCTGCGGAGGAAGGCCTGCGATGGTGGCTGTGCTGCAGGGGAGGTGCGTATGGACAGCACCTAATGCAACGGATCCGCTGTGGGCCGCTGCAGCCCATCACATTCGCGGAATGTCGCTCGAACGGGAAGAGAAGGTACGACAGCGCGAAGGGTTGAACTCGCCGACTCGATCATTCCGGGAGCGTGGGAATCGGGACAACTCACCTAGGTATTCATTCGTACCGGCAAAACGGACCTGCCTATTCGCGCCTTGGGCACATGCGTCTCCAGCCCCCACTCTCGCTCTCCACCCGTCGACGACGCCTTGCGGTGTGCCTAACCTTCGAGGCCAATCTTAGGTATTGGTTACACAAACAATTCAAGTGTCTGTGTCTGCCCGGCACAGATAGTCCGAGATAATCGCCATCACAGGCAATCGCGTTATACACTACCGTATCGCACCATATCATCACCGCCATACCGTGCACGTAAGGTGGTAGTAGCCAGGCCTTGCATGTCATCATCGCCAGCTTCAATATTGAAGACAGCCGGCATCAACAACACAGCGTTGCACCAATGGCCTCGTCTCGGCCAAGTGACAAGTCGCTGCTGGAGCGTCTCAACGCCCTGAAACCTACAAAAATCACTCTCGACAAGGCGGTCCCAAAGTGAGTCCCCAGTTTCCCCCTCCCTCTTGCTTACACTACCCCGGTCTAATGCAACAAGGTCAAAAGCTCTTCCTTATCAGACGTCCCTGCATCTGCTGCCGCCCGTCATAACCTCGGGCCGACCTCTGAGGTAGCCCACGGCCAGCCCGTGTTAACCAGAGAAGACGCTCTAGCAGCCCGCCTCAGGCTTCTTCGGAGTCGAGTTCCTGGGTCGCCACTCGACAGCCCTCGCACGGGAGCATCGGGAGCATCGAGAACTCAGCCTCCCCCCGAAAGTTCTCGCAAGAGTGCTCCCTCACAGACCGGTAGCGGAAGGGGTAGCAAGAAGCTCGAGCTGCTCTCAAATCCCGTCTCCGTACCAACAGAAACCAATCCGCCAGCAACAGCAGCGTTAACCACCAGCCCACTAGAAGCCTACGAGGATCCCTACAGCTTCGACCAAGAAGAAGTAGATGAGCTTCTAGAAGGTTTGACGTTTGACTTGGGCGACGACGCTCACCAAGAGATAGAGTTTGAATGTGCTTCTGATAGCAGCGGCAGCGGCAGCCAAGAAGCTCAAGGCCCAAAGTCAAAACTAAACAAACTGTCTTCTGACCTTCCAGAACCCTCCCATAAGGGTTCTAGCGGCAAGGCCGCCCGCAAGGCTTCTTCTCCGAGGCGCTTGTTTAGTGGGGTTCACAGTGATAGCGATGATTCCGAGGGAGAGCATATGGCCAAGGAGGTCGAGGCGATACTCGCGCGCATTCGCGACGAGATAGGCCCGGACCTCCAGGAACCAGATGGACCGGATAACACGGCGCCCAAGGAGGCCTCTGACGCTGGCCAAGACAAGGCGGGTTCCAAGTCTCGATATTTCACGGGGCCTATTCCAGATGATGTCAGCAACGACTTAGATGGTAGTGGCGACGAGAGCGGCGGCGGCGGTGGTGGTGACATCCTCGCCCTACCCACCGTGCCGTCCGCCTTGCCCGATGACCCACCCCCTGCTGCCCCCGGCAAAACAGCGCAGCGGAAGAAGTCGCTCGACTTCGAGAAGGACATTGCCGCGCGCATGGCCTCTCTCTGTGGTCTAGGCTCAAGCAGCCCCGCCCGTGGCGCTGCATCTGCTGTTGGCGACGATGATGCATCCGGCGGGCTGCCGTCGGTGCCCACCTTCAGACCCGGAGACCGCCTTTCCAAAAAGGGGGCTGCGGCCAAGGCCAAGGGGGCCGGGTACACCGACGAGGACCAGAAGAAGTGGTGCATTGTCTGTCTGGACGACGCCACAATAACGTGCAGCGGCTGCGATGACGACGTCTATTGCGGCCGCTGCTAGAACGACATGCACCTTGGCCCAGCGGCCGGCTACGAGGAGAGACTACATCAGTGGTCCCGGGTCGAGCGGTGATGGCACGCACGCGAATGTAGACCAGTGATTAAAGCAGCATGGGGAGAGAGAGGAACCCATTTTGTTATAGGGCGCCCGTTGGGTGGCAGTAAATTTGACTCCGTGTATTACACATCAATTATTTGGGTTGTTCTGCCTGTCTGTCTGATCCCGATCTTTTCGACTCACTCTAAAAGGAAGCCCCCCGTGAAAGTTTAAGGGCGCTCTTTGTGTTCAGGAAATTTAATGCAATACTATCGAGGGGAAGAATCTTGAAATGTTGACAAGGAAAGTAGAAACGTAAAATAGGAGGTGAGGAGGGGATTGTATTGTGATTGTGCCTCGCAATATTTTCCGCCACAGTGATTATTTGCAGCTTACACGGATTGTTATGTGTGCTCCAAAGGCGAGTACCTGGTAGTCACCTCACCTACCTGGGCGAATTAACACGATGCCCTGCCTGGCGCAAACATGCGCGCGCCAGTGAGTTTGGTTTGGGTGGCGGATCCGCCGCTGACCCCGCCAAATCCGTAATCGGCTCGTGACATCACCAGAATTAGCCCTCGCAGACTTTGCACAGCGACCACGTACGTAATAGAGCCTATAATGGCTTTAAAATCAGGGCATATGAAGAATTACTCCTAAGAGTATCAGATGCCAAATTTTTGGAGGTCAAACGGGCTATAATTGAGCGAATGTAATTATTTTGCCTTGAACTAGCTAAAAACCCTAACCCTTAATCTATTTACTTTGGCCTTTACGGTCTCCTTTTATTTACTTGATAAGCTTATCTAACGATACCTGCCCCTAGACTCGCCGCCGCCGCTCTAAGGTCTCTATTGCAACCGCTATTCTATCTGTATTGTTTGCCCTGCCATAGCTACGATCTCGTTAATGATCACCTTACGCATGGAGTAATACTGCCGCTCGAACGGAGACCGCCAGCGGCTCCCGTGTGCCGCATCCAGCGCTGCAACTGCTGGAAGGCCTGCCAGCCCAACTATCCACTCCCTCCATCGATCAGGGACTATGGCTACTTGGCGTAAGAGCTTATATGACGCTATTGGCATTAGTGTTTGTGCTGGTACTGGCCGATCAAGGGTTAGATTACCGCGGTAGCTTGCGGCTGGCTTGTATTTGGGTTAAGCGGAGACGGTGACGTATGTTGATGGCGGTATTGGCTCGTAGCATCGTAACCTTACGGTAGTATCCGGCTCCTTCCCGGTATAATGTAAAGGCCGAAGGACCCTATAAGAAAGTCGTCGAGTTTGGCGGCAAGCTAGTCAAGTAAGCTTATTACTTGAGCTAAGGAGGTTGCTTAGTGTAAGGAAAGAACCCCAACTCACACACACGACCAACTTGCACTCCAAGACCTCACTCCTTTGTCATGATCTCTCACCCGCTAGCCCAAGCACTCTGTCATGTGTATAAGCAGTGGCCCTCGCCCCCTTCCTTTGCGAGGGCCAGGTTGAAGTCTCTCACTATAAGAAGCTCAAGGAATCCGCCCGCAACTAGGTTTGGTTCAACCACTTCGCCAGCACCAGGGAGGTAAGATGTGCTTGGCGCCAACGGTTGAGCTGTGGCCAGACCTGCCGGCCTAAAGAAGACGGCGGCTTAATCGTTTCGCGTGGAACAAAGTAGCTAGAGGCGTAATCTGGCTCAAAGTCCGCCACGCCTCGTATAAACTAGCGTGGCAGCTCGGTCAGGTAATAGCCAGTCATCTGATCGCTATTCCAACGTCCTCTACGGCGAATTTGCGCCTCAGGCACATCATTCGCCTCAGCAATCTGCGCCCCTAATGACAGTGGCATGTGCGAGACTTTAGAGCCCTGGATACCGCTAAGAGTATATAGCCTCCTTGTCGACGAATTCGCCGTTGAGTCCGAGAGCTTCTTATTAAGGTTGGCGTTATTACGCTTGGGGAGCTTGATATTGGACCAGTCTTAGCTTTTATGGAAGCAGGGAAAAGACTCGCCTGATATATGCCAACGCCAGAAAACGTATGCTACAAGAGCGATGATTGGTGGTTCCGGTGGCGGAAAACAGCGCCGTACTCAAGCCCCCCGTGCTAGTTTGTTTTGCCTTAATCTATTAACTACTACCAAGCACTAGCCATCGCCATTAGTACCCTCTTTAGGTAATAGTATAAAGAAAAGGTCCGCAAACTCTAGCGGCAAACGGTTACTCAAGCGTAGAAGCATCAAATTCCCCAGTAAAAAGTCAACCTGGGTCCGTAACGCTTGTTCAACTACGCCCCGGCCTAAGCCTTCGCTCCAGACTTGGTGGTGGAGGTCGGGAGTCTACGAGGCGGTATAGCCATCACGGAACATGGAGATCCCCCGGTCTGTGAATTCCTCCCTCTGGCAAGTATATTCGCCTCGGATAATCGACATTTCCAAAGCCTTCAAAGCAACGCGACTCGGCTGCGGTGTATTATGTAGTCCTTACGAGGTTTGCAAAGACCAAAGCTCCTTAATCGCAGAGACGTAGCCCCGAACAGTGTTGTACATGAGCACAAGGTCCGACTGCTCCTCGACGTCCTCGCCCTCAACAACCAGGTGATTAGAGGAGCGATGGCTAGGGTCAGGGCCTTTTTTAGAGGGCGGCTGGCCCTGGGCCTGGCTTGCAGCCTTACGCTTCCTCTCTTCGGCGAGCCTCATGCCTTTGCGCGGGGGGCGCGATGCCACCTCCTTAATAAAGAGCAATAGTTTACCCCCATCGACCCAGTCGCCAGGAAGGTACTGGCACCCAGGGGGAAAGCCCTATATAACACACCAAGCCTTCCACTCCTTTTGCTTAGGGCCATTATTCCGTACCGTGTTAAGCGGCCGATGTGTATGGTGGTATTCGCGAGTCTCATCGCGCGCGGCCTCGATACGCCTCTAGAGCTCCTGGCTCAGGGCGCCCGTCTCTGGAACAGCAGGCGGGGCCAGGGCTAGGGCCGGCGCCGCGAGGAAGCCCTGCGCAGTTTGCAGGAAGGCATTGGCAAGTTGGGCAGCCATAGGGGGCTCAATAGGGCTACGGCGTAGGGAGCAGTGACGTTGAGAGTGATGTTGTATGCGCGTTATGAGGGAGGAGAAGAAAGAGGGCGCGTTTGGCATATGCGGGCCAAAACAGACCTTGACGACTTTTTGTTTCTTTTATTCTTAACCTCGCTTTTTCTTTACTTCTTTCAATAGTCATTGTATATATCTATTTGGGTGGGCCAATGAGGGCGCTGCTTTCATTGCTCAGTGTATATGGTTTATCTTACATTGCTTGTTTGAGCATGTCAAGTATAAGGAGCACGCCAATGAGAATTCCAGCAGGTAGTCGATCCAGCTGGCCCATAGAATACCTGTACTGTGAGTGTACGAATACGCTATCCGTATACTGGTCATCGTCCTTGTCCAGGGGACATCGTTTCTCAAGGCCAGAATCGTCCAAGGTATTGTCAGTGATTCTGAGTATGCGATAGAAGGCTTGCCTCAGACTTGCGGGATCCATCCTTCCAGTACGATTCATGAAGCGAGAACATGTGCGAGAGCAATGCATCGCATCGCTACAGTGCGACTGAGAACCTAGGTAAGAGGGAGGTTAGCCGCTTATATAATCCATCTCACTCCGAGTCCAGACCTGTTGCTGGCCCCTGCGGACAATATGAGCATGTCTGGCCGCGCTAAACCAAGTGAGGAGAGACACTGTGAAGATGCCCTCAACCTGAAATCTCTCCACCTAGGTACTCCGTAGTCAAGACACATAATGAATATCAATGCCTCTATTCCCATAAGATAAGCGGTTGCCCGCATGCTAGACTAGGTACCTAGTGGCCTATTTCCGTATATAATTAGCCCCCATCAAAATGCGTATTTTACATGTAATGTGTGTTTCTGCGCGCCTGCCCGCCTCCTCCGTCTAGACCACCCACCCACGCCCCTATTCCCCCCAGTTCAAGAAACAAAAGTCAACGCCGAGACTTTCCCAACCCCCAAATTACCGTTTTGCCATATAGCCATTCTTTCATACCCAAGTTAACAAAATACCGGCTCGCTAGCCATATTAAAGTCCCTCTTCCCGCGTATGCTAGGATATACGCATCAAAACCATTCTCATCTAATGAACACCGCCGCCGTTGTTATTGATGATGCAAACACAAAAAGATTAAGTAAAGAAAGCAAAACATCGCTCTTCATTCATCATGTAGTCCGGTCCAAGAAAAGGCACACCTGGCCGCTCTTCATACGTCGCCCTCAAACCTAGTCCTAGGAGTCGCAGGGGTAGTGGGGCCGGGTTTGCTCCCAAAGAGATGCCAGCAGTTGGGAGCCTGCAGGATATATCTGCAACCCCCCCCCCAAAAAAAATTGGCCAAACGGTCAGCTCAGGGTCTGGCGAGGGGAATGTTCACAGGGAGGAGAGAGAAAGAACTACCTCGCCATAGCCGCCCGGAAGCGGGATTTGTACTCCTTCGGGCTCGTCACCGTCGGCTTGTTGCGGCCGCCGCCAGCGAAGCCGCGGTCCTTGATCCAGCTCTCGAGCCGCTTGTCCCACGTGTACGTGCGGATGCAGTCGATGATGCCCACCACGAGCTCCTTTCTGCCCTCGTCAACCGCAATCATGAGCGAATAGTCCATGACCTTCTGCCGCGTCAGGAACAGCGTGTCGTTCCACACCGACGCCCGCAGCACCCGCTTCGAGTGCTCCCGAGCAAAGAGCGGCGACTCGTAAATGTACTCGACCATGTTCTCGTCGAGCAACACCTCGTTCTGCTCCCCCGTCGACTGGATCCGCCGGTTCCGCATCGAGCCCTTGAGGTCAAACGTCCGGCTCGGCGCCCGGTCGTAGAACAGGTTCTCCATCACCAAGAGGTCGAGCTTGATCTCTGTGTTGGTGACCGTGTTCTTGATGATGACCTGGAAGAAGCCGAGCATCTTGGCAATCACTGACGGGAGCTCGTGGAACAGGGCCTCGGCCATGAGCCCAAAGTACGGACGCGCAAACTCGAGGAATGCCGACGTCTCAATGGGCGACAGCGACTTCATGACGAGCCGGTCGTCCAGCGTCTTGAGAAAGACCGACTTTGTCTTGCCGCCCTTGGAATCCCACTTCAAGCACCGCGACAAGGACTCGATGATGCGGTCCGCAACCCCGCACTTTCGCCGGAGCGCGTCAAACTGCTCTACGTAGAAGATCTTGCACGTCATCTTTGCCGATCCCTCGGTGAACTGGTACTTCAGGTGCGTGAAGCTGGGCCGGGTTAGACTCTTCTCGAGATCCTCGTCGTCGACCACAACGGCTACCGGGTCTGAGTGGTGGTTATGCCTCTTGATCTCCAGGCCGTCGCCGCTGTCGTCTGTATCTCGCTGGTTTGATACCCTGCCCTGCTCTCGGATATCCGCGAGCTTGAGCTTGTAGTCCTCCGAGCTCATGGCGAAGGCGATAAGCGAGCTCGGCTCGTCCTCTCTCACCACAATGTTGGAGTCGATAAAGATGTGGTCGGTTGCGTTGATGGGATAATCCAACTGGGGCCAGCCGCTGGCAGAACGCTCTGCCCAGAAGTTGGTCAGCATTGTCATGAGGCTCTTCTTCTGGTGCTTTGGCAACTCCTCCGAGCTCTCCTCGCCCGGCTCCAGCGATGCAGCGATGTCCTTAGCACCCGGGAGAATGTCATCAAGAGTGAGCATGGCCTGCTCGGCATCGCTGCCTCCGCCTTCGTCGTCCGAACTAGCCTGACTTTCGTGCCGGTTGTCTTCGCCTTCTGCTTTGGCGACTGCCTCTTCGGTCTGCGACGCTTGCGAGCCGGGCTCGATTTCGGACCCGGCTTCTGTTTCCGAAGGCTTGGTTTGTGAGCTGTCTGGCGGTTCCTGTGGCCCGTGTGCAGTCTCAACCAATCTCTTGCCGTTCGACTCGCGATCGAAAAGATTGTCATCCTCGGCATCGTCAACGTCATCCGCGTCTTCCGACGGGCCCGGCTCTCGCACGGCTTGGTCCACGTCTTCGTAGACTTCAACTATAGCCTGAGTAGAAGAACGTGGCAGGAACGCCCTGGTGGGGTGCATCGTGGCAGCACGCTGCTTGCGATCCTTCATCCTCTCCTTCTCGAACTCGCGGCTTAGCTGCTCAAAATGGCGTGCAAGAGTGGACACTTTGGATTCCCTCTTGTGGACGTATCGCGGAATTCCAGAGGGCGCGGCTTTCCGGTTCTTCAGAGCCCCGAAGACAAGACGATCTGTGAATTTCTTTTCGCCTTTGAGCGAGCCATCTGGGCTTGAGTCTTGCCCCTTCTGGTCCTTTAGCAGCTTTCCAATGCTGGACTGCGTCCGCGGCAGCGTTCCTGTCGGCTGAGTTATGGAGCGCGTCATTGGAGGCGACGCCGTCAACCCGCTTCTCCGAGCTGAAGCCCGTTCCGGGCCATGACGCGATCCGTCGGCCGTGTTCTCGCCGCCCCCAGATGCAGAGCTGCCAGCCTCACCGGATGCAACCCTTTGTTCTCGGCGCAACTGCTCTACCTTCTCCGTCAAGGACATCTCGCTGGGGAGCGATGGTGAGACGGCGTCAGATGGTCGAGGGGTGCCAGTTTGGGCAAGGTTCAATGACGTCGGGCCAGCCGTCAGTTCGCCGGGCGGCTGCTTGACAGTTTCCAAAGCAGCATCTGCTTGAGGGGCCATGTTCTGCGCCAGGATCTGGGGCGTTGGCGCGGGCGAGGCAAGGTCTAGCGGCTCGACGCTATCGAGGACCGCCTCGGCTTGTTTCGCGGCGCCTTCTTTGATCGCGGGAGCGGGATCCGAGCTGGGAGAAAGAGGAGTCTCAAGGGGCAGGCCGGGATCACTCTCGGAGATTTGCTCAGAGCTTTGTGACGGCTTTTCATCGGCCTCGGACACACTCGTCTGGGTCGTCGCGGCCGTCGTCTTTTCCTCCGACTCGGACCCAATCGATGTAGTCCCGTCGGTGATGGGAAGCGACTCTTTGGACTCGTTGTCGGTAAAAATCTTTCTCAGTTGAATGATAGTCAACTGGCGAACGTCCTTATCAGAGAGAAAATCGGCCTCGAATTTGGCGAAAGCAGCATCCCAGTCAGACACCTTGACGAGCATCCCACGGACCACAGCGTTGAGGGGAATGACCTCGTAATACTTGGAGTCCATATACGTCTCCTGGAGGGAGCGTATCAGCTCGGGCTGGTCCTCTTGAGCCTTCTTGGTCAACCTCTCGACTTCCGACTTGCAAGCTTCGGCCTTTTCTGGGAGCACGCTATCAATCCTGATGCTCTTTAGCCTGGCCTTGACCGACTTCATGAAGCGGTTCCAGCGTTCCTCGGCCTTGGTGAAGATCTCGTTCTTCAGCCTCAGGTCGTTGTCCACCTTCCAGGTGATCGTGGGCCGAGGCACGACGATTTCGTACAGGTCGATTGGATCATGGTGCACCCTGACGGCAATGTCGCGGTACAGGTAGTAGAAGAAGCGAACGTGCTCCCGCTGGTGGTCGTGCGGACACTCCGTTTGCGGGTTCAGCCGGAGGCCTCTGCTCCAGAACGACAGCTCGAGATATTTGCCAAACGAGTACTTCCAGGTGCTCACCGACATTGGCATGAGCCCGAAGTGCTTTTTGCAGGATTTGCAGTAATTCCACATGCAGATACCCGTCCCTTCCTTCTCGCCCTCCTTCTCTTGGGGCTTGTCGGGGAAGTTCTCGGGCCACGCTGGCGTGTTCTCCACAATGACGGTGATTCGGGCATTGTCGTGAACATAGGTTCGGTGATGTTCAAACATCTTGCTGTCGCAGCCGTTGGAATGGCATACCGTCTCGGCGCCCTCGCAAATGTCTTCTATGTACTGACCCAGGGTGCAATCCTGGTCCAGGTTTCCGGTTCGGTCCGGATGCTCATTATAGAACTCAATGGCGATCAGCTCAGGCTCGGCACATGGTATCTTTGTGAGCGTGCAAGTGACCGAGTAGAGTACGACAATGTTCTGGTGCGAATAGGGGTCGAAGAGATCCAGGCTGCCTTGGACATAGTTCTCCCACTGCCGCGTCTGTGTCTGGTAGTTGTGCAGGGCCTTGTCGTACTCCGCGTCATGGACGGCGTGGAGGACTTCCATAATCTGCTGCGGAGCCTTCTGACCAATTTCATGCACCATCTCGGGCTTGATGAGCTGAAAGCGTTGCTGCTTGGTCTTCTCGCTCTCGCCCTGTTCTTCCACCATGTCCTGGTCGCGAAGACGCTTCAGGTAGACAAGACGCCTCTCTTGCTCTCGAGCCTTCATGAGGAGATAGGGCTGCGTGAATCTTACAAATGGCGACGCAGATAACACCCTAGTTTCGTACTTTGACACCATGTCGCTGTAGAATGTCGGCATAGGCACGTCTTCCGGCACTTGGTTTTCGTGGGACATGTGGGAGTGAGATTCGTGCAGCGATATCAGTCTTCGAGGCGGCGGAGGTGTTTTCAGAGGTTGGGCGGCCAGGTCGCCGGCCAGTTTCTCTGTATCCGCGACACCTCCATCAGTCGACTGAGTGAGGTTTTCCGCCTCTGTGCTCTGGCTGGTCACCGTGATGGCTGGGTTGTCTTGCTGGGCCTGGTCAGCAAGTGACAGCAGCAGGCTGTAGTCGGTGTGTTGCCTTGATGTTGATGGAGGCTGCTTTTCGATCTTGAGGGGGATGTGGACAAACTCGTCCCGCATCAGGCACGACTCTAGCTTCAGGTTGTAGACAACGTAGACCATAAACTCGGTGATCTTCTTCATGCGGGCTAGGACCTGCGTGGGGGCTCCACGCAGAGCGATGGTGCAGCCGCGGTCCTTGGGGCAGCCGGCGATGAAAATGTACGTCTTCTTCTTGCCCTGGATTTCGCTGTTCACATATGTCTTGACGTCAAAGCTGGCGCTTGTGCCGACGCGAGCACCCAAACTTAGCATGTCCATAGATGAGATGATTGGCATGTTCGCAATTCTCGACACGGCCTCGATGACAGAAGGCTTGACGTTGTAGACGACGGCAACGTTTGCTTCCGACAGGTACTGGAGGGCCACGCCCGCGACGCTCTTCTCAACCAGCAAGACCTGGGGCTCGAGGTTGAGGATTCGGTTGACCACCATTCTCAGATACTCCTTTTCCTGCTCGATGACGGGCTGCAAGCTCATAAAATGCTGCTCTGGGTGCCGCTGATATTCGATGGGAAAAGTGATGATGACAATCTTGGGATTGCGAATCTTGCGGGGCATGTTCTTGAGGGCCAGGTTCTTGGTGAAGACGACTCCATGGACATAGGCAGTGTCGCTCGGCTTGCCTCCGGGAACCTTCTTCAGCTTCACCCAGTGCCGGATATCCATGTCATCTCCGTTGCGGATATCCGGGTCAACGTCGTCTGCACACCGGTCGAGGATGGGAATTAGCGCCTTTTCCCAAGCGGCAGGATTGGGAATGTCGGCGTCATCCAGCAATTGCCGGAAGAGCTTCTTGACATGCTCAAGGCTCGTGGGGTTCAGCCCATTCTCGAGCGGTCTCCCGTCTACGACCGAGTTGCTTCTCTGCAGCCCCGTCGGGGGCTCGGTGGTCCCAGGAGAGTCTAGAAGCGATAGCGCATCCGCCGAACCTGAAGGACCCGAAAGACCCTTGAAGACGCCGGATTTCGGACGCGGGGATCGCAGGTGATGCACGATGGCGCTTGCAGTGCTCGCTTTCCTCCTCCTCGGGGGCCTCGCGTGGATGGACAGATTCTGCAGTCCGCCAACATCCTCGTGCCCACGGCTTGTGAAGCTGAGCCCGCTAATGCTCTTCTCTCCGTTGCGGAAGCGGTGCTTTCTGCCCGTGCTCAGATACGGGCCGAAACTGGACTTGTCTGGGTCGAGGCTGGATGGCTGGACGTCGTTGCTATTCATGGTGGCAAAAATACTCATTTGCTCATCGCCACTCGACTCATCGGACATGAAGGCGGCCAGTTCCGGGTCGATGATGTTATCGTCATGGAAGGCGTTGAGCTTGGACCTCTTTCCCAGGTCATCATTGACTGGCTTGCGAAACGGAGCTCTGTCCTCTGTTGCAGCCTTGAATCTTGTCAAGTGCTTTGAGTGGTGCCTGCGGTGGCCAGACGACTGCGGCCGAGCCGACGCAAGCGACTTGAGCGAGCGGGACGAGCTGGGGCGGCTGAGCTGGGGCATGTCAATCTCCAGTATAGCGGAATTTCGGTTGTTGTCCCCAACTCGGCGCGTCGCCGGAATCGCCATCATGGGCGTGGTGGCAGACCTCGTGTCATTTGCCAGCTCGGTCCGCTCCGAAATGCTCACTTCATCATCGGCTTTTGGCCGGATGAGCATTGCCGGGGCCTTGGGTTGGTTGGGACGGAAGATGGCAGGGAGGTACGACTCGTCAGCCGAGTCGTCCGAGCCGCTGTCGTAGCGGCGGTTGATGACGTCCAGGCACGTCTTGCAGACCCTCAGGGAGCCCTGGACACCGAACTTCTGCCCCGAGATGTTGGATGTGCAGTTTGAATCAAAGATGCAACCACATGTTCGACAATGGTGTTTGCGGCGGAAGGCGGAGAAGGGCCTGCCGCAGAGAAAGCACTCCTTGCACGTCTCGTCGGCCATCCAGAATTCCTTGCTCAGAACTCGTTTGCGCATCATTTCTAGTCTGGCGTTAACCATCTCCAGGCCCCCTTCATTGGTCGTCGTGCCGGGAATTCTCAAGGCGCCAGACTGCAGCCTCTGCGGTCTCTCGGTATGCGCGAAGGAGTCGTGGAAGATGGAACTGTGGGCAGAAGTGCTGATGGGGCTCGGCTCTGCAGTGCCGGGCTCCATCGACGAAGACCTCGACCGCGTGTTCAGCCGAGAATAACTGATGCGGTCGATGACGGCAGGCTTCTTGTTCATGTCGCCGGACGGCATACGAGATGACGAGGAAGCCCGCGCCTCGCTTGCTAGCTTGACTGGACTTCGCGGCACGTCAATGCTTCCGTCGATGCTCAAGCCATCTTCCCTCCTTGCGCGGATTGTGGGGATGGCTATCCTGTCGCTGATGGCCACGCTGTCGAGACTGGTGTTTCCAGAGGGACTGGGCGCGGCTGAACTATCAGACGGTCTGCTAATGCTTCTGCGGCCTGCGCTCCTTGTCATGCCCGACGGCTCGTCGTCACGGGAAGCCAGGCCGCGGGCTGCATCCTTGTCGACAAGGCCTCTTGCCGTGCTGGGGGCAGCAGGGGCGCTTGGCGTTTTCGGCAACATGTGAACACTGGCAGATGCCGACTTTGGGCCCGACATTGTCGTTATCGAGGATGCTTTGGAGGAATGCGGCACGGACGACTGGGACTCGGCCGTCACGACGCCTGAAGTGGACAGGCCTGACTTGGCAGCATCGGACAACAGAGTAGAGTCCAAAGTCGAGGCTGTAGCTCCGCTCTCGCCTCTTGGAAAGGACGAGACCGAGGCTCTGGAGGGGGTGTTGTTGACGGTATCTGAGCTCCTCTTCGAGGCGCCATCTTGGCTGTCGCCGTCGTCAGCCTCGTGGGCTGATCCTTTGCCCACAGCACCAACACCAACGGCTTCCTTGAACCGGCTGTACAGGCCGCTGAGTCCCTGCTGCACCAGGTCCCCCGCAGTGCCTTTTGTTTCGACTGCCGGATGGGTGCCGGGCGGGGGCGCGAAGTCGTTGAAAGTGGTCAGGACATCAGACTGGCTGGCCGAGGTGTGGATCTTGTCGAGTGCGATGGCGAGCTGCTCCTTGTCGGCCTGCGAAGAGACCGAGACCGAGTTCACAGAGTCGCGGCGTGATCGGGAATCTGCTGGAGAGAGTGGATGCGACGGCGAGAGGAGGGGATGCTTGAGGCTGCCGTGGTTGGCCATGCCGCCGTCGGATCGGCGAGGGATGGAAGCTTGGACGAGAGCTTCGACAACACGGGCCGACGCCGGCTTCAACAAGTCGGCGCTCTATTAGTTATCTCGAAACCGTGGCTGGCATAGCAGTGGAAGAGAACGAGTCGTGGCGGCCCTGGACTGGTAAGCGAGTTGGCGTTTGAGGTCGCATTCCGGGTATCGAGGTTTGCCTCGGGTTGGGTCTCGGTATGCAGGTACGAATATGTGAGGTAAGGTAAGGTAAGGCAAGGAAAGGTATGGATGCTTCAGGGTACGAATGGAAGTAGCTGCAACCCGTAACCCGCAATCCGTAGGTAAGCGCTAGTGCTAGTAGGAAAGGTAAGGTAAAGTTCGATGACAGGAGGGCGAGTATTAGAACTGGCAAGTCAATAGCCCGAAAGATCGGTTGGCCTGAGAGCAGCACGGGGGACAGTCTTGATTGCCTTAATGCTCAGGTTTACGCAAATCGGGCGAGGTTAGTCACACGATTGATGGCCACTTCGAGGTTGCCTTGTCGGTCAGGCGCAACACGGGAGGTTGTACAGCCTGTACATACAGTAGGCAGCACTGCAGAGCTCACGCACTCCGCTGGTAGGCACCTGGAGCCTGGAGACCATCCATGCCGTCAGAGCAAGTCGGCAGGGTCGGAGAGAAACTGGGAGCTCCTGCGGGGGCCTCACGTGACTTGGTGTCGAGACTTTCGCTGGCGGTTCGTGGACAGACGCGTCTCCTGACTTCTTGCCTACCAGCATGGTTAGGTGGGTACCCAGCCCAGTACCTTTTCATATAACGGCTCTTTTCTTGGGGTTAATAATACTCTAGGTGCTTACCTTATGTACAAACACCTCAGAACCAAGCAACCTGGAAGGTCATATTTCTCCTCCTTTCATCTTTACAGACCTGTCTTGTCCTAGCTGTGTAACAAAAAGGAGAGCAAACAGAGGGGCATTCACAGACGGTGGCGAGAACTTAGTGTAGAAGCCCGCCCCCTTTTGTTCTTATCATTGCCCATCAATGAATATCCTAACGGTTCGGCTCTCTGAACTTTTTGCCCACACGTCTGTCAACTTCAACTTGGATTGTCGACAACAACAATTACCAGAATCAGGCCCTGATCGGCTGCTCTGCCAGGACGTGCTGTGCCAGCCAGCAATTGCACAAAGTATGCAAAAGGTGAAACATGTGAAGGCAGGCATATACAAGAGGCAGAGCTGCAAGTAATGAATGGCTGTATTCGTAGGTACTAAGCTAAAGAAAGGAAAAGGAAAAGAAGCCTGCGGGTCCTGCAGGCGGTGGTTTCATGGTGGGAGGAGGGGCAAATGCGCTAGTCTAAATTGGGAAAAATGGGATTGCAGGTCAGTTCCTGCAGCTGGGACATGGTTACGGTACCACGGAGCATAGTTCGGCCGTGCCGTAACAATTACTTCTCTTTCATTTGCCTACAACCCGGTTGTTGACTGAGCCACTGTTACGGCAGTTATCGTCATCGTCAGGAAGGCCGCCTTTCGCTTTGGCCTTTCCCTGGCTTGATAGTCGTCATCCATAAAGTCAATAGGTATGTTGATTGTACCGGGAGTCTATTATGTTCCTTCTTACTAATTATATCTAGTGCTCTACGAACTCAACCGCTTCTTTAATCATCACGAGGTACGTCAAATTCGTTGCTGCGCGACGACCAAACCAGCCTTGGAGGGTCGCCAGCAGATCAGCTTGTTCAGGGCCTTATGAAGCCACATTCCTTAGCAACTACTGTGTACTGTTAAGCCAAAAATTGACATCCCGAAAAGCCCACTTTTCCGGTACATCTGCCAGGACTCCTGGCTGGCTCTCATAAAAATGGGCCTGAGCTTGTCAGCACGCATAAAACTGGTGTCCAAAAGGGTTTGGGGAGTTCCTTGGCTATCTTTAGCGCGACGACTAATTATTTTGTGCAGATTGTGCAAGGTTGTGCAATTCCTGGCTGGCAGAGCACGCCCTGGCAGAGCAGCCGATCAGGGCCTCAGTTAACGCCGCCGACAAGCGCAAGATAGCGGGTCTATTTACGCCGCTTGAGCTGTACCATACCACTATGGCCCAAAAACCCGAGTCTTTCTGGTCGCCTGGCTCTCTCTCTGGCGCAACAAGAATACCGCGGCGATATGTTCTTGTCCCAAAAAGCCAGCAGACGCTGCTTGAGCGCCAGGACGCCTGGGCTTTGAGCGGCTTTCCCAACATCCCCGCCGAAGTGCTACAAAACTTGAGAGATCACTGCGAGCACCTCGACAAAGAAGAGGAACCCCCTGCGTCACATTTCCTGTCACAGCCCGAGCCCACAGCTCCGGATTCAGATCCAGAGTCTCAAGAGGAGAATGGTGATGATCGCGGCACGCCCATACCATGGACACCATCCCCAGTGTCCCCGCGTACTCAGTCTCCGGTCCTTGGCGAGGCGCGGAGCAGAGCGGTGCCAGTTCCAGTATTTGTGCCGCCGTCCTCGCCACCACCGCCATCGTTACCGCCGTCCCTGTCGCTGCCGCTGCCAGCGCCCAAGTCTCGTCCGTCAAAGGTCGCCAGACATGGACCCTTTCCAACATTCCCTCCTAGCAGTGGTCACGCATCCGAGATTGAGTTGGAAGTTGAAGTTCCAAGGGCCATCACCGACGTAGTGGAAGTTCCAAGGCCTATCGACGGCGTATTTGAAGTGCCAAGGGCCACCACCAACGTATTTGAGCCAACTGCCCCAGCGGTTCCCCTCCCTGAGCCGACACCGCCTTCCGCCCAGGTAATAACACCCTCTACCCTCCCCATCGAGTCTACCCTCCCCACCGAACGCACCAGTATCTCCCCGAAGCCGCCACCAGCCAACACCGACCGCGCCGGCAGCTCCCCGAAGCCGCCACCGGCCAAACGGAAACGTCTCTACCCTAGCGTTGCCAACTTTTTTGGAGAAAACCCTGACATAACCATCGAAACAAAGTCGACGTTGCAGTCATCACACACAACTCCCAACTCGCTACCTTCAGCCAGACCACAAACTCGCCCCAGGAATAGTGTTGTGTCGTTAAGACCTCCTTCCGATGACCAACACTCGTCATCACTAAACACAAATTCTGTAAACTCCAGCTCGCGAGCTCCTTCCCACCCGCAACAATTAACTACCTATCAAGAAAACTTGAGTAGCTCTGAGAAAATTCCCCCAAACGGCCCGCCATCGCAGGTCCCGTACACCGCATTTACGCTGGCGTATCCCGACTACCAAGCCGGGCTTACCAACTTTATCCGAGGTGTTATATACATACATGAACTTGTTGAGAAGAAAGCTCTCGCCGAGTTTCTTTTCGACGACTTTGTCCGCGTGTTTTGCGGCGACTTCCTCGCTTACATCGCATCTCGTAACGAGGGTCCCGTTCTATCGGCAATTCATTATTACAATGAAAATATTTCGAGGCCACAGTACACAAAAGGGGTTCTCACCAAGAGTAGCATAAATGATGTTCTCGACAAATACCCAAAGGAGGTTCGTTCCATCGAAAAGGGCTTGGCTGACCAGAAGAGCGCGCAAACTAAGCCGCGTGGACCGACACCAACGATCCCTGACCCACACTCCAACACTTCACACGCCAACGACACTCGGACTCCGCACATCATTATTAACCAGGGGCCGGAGCCGACTATCCATATTGGTGAGCTGGCCTCGGACCCCATTGACACATCACAACGGCTAGGTGATCAGCAACGACTACGAGATCCTCGCAAGGCCCTTTCTCGGACAGGAAGCAACGCGACTATCCCCAGGTCTAGCGCGCCCCGTCTATCAGCTGTAGGGGGCCCAAGAGCTTCCAGTAGTTCAGAACGCGAAGATATTATGTCCAGACCGCAGCAAAGCCGACCGAGCAGGCTATCTCTAGACTTCGAAGTTGTGTTGCCTACCCAGACAGCTACAAGGAGCACCGATGTGGTCATGCTAGACGGGACTCCTGTGGTAGATTCTCGCCCGGCAAGGATACCGCCTCTGTCGAGCGGCTTGGAGCGAATACCTGAGACTACAATCAAGACCAGGGGTACGCCCCGGCGCTCGAAAGAGCCAACGAGTAGCGTCAATGGATCGCGGGTAACGAAAGCGAAGAGCGCGGTGTCCGAAGAGGCACTCAAGAGGAATTTCAGGACCATTTTCCTCAAACACCAAAAGGCGAAGGCCGCAAGCTCGGCTCCTGAGAGTTAGTCGTCGTGTTCTTGGTGGTGTGAGGATAGTGGACATCTGCCTGTTGTTATCATATTGGCTAGCATTGCCTTCGTTCTGATATGCCGAGGCTGTTGTAGATAGCCAATACTGCCCGGTTAGAAGACCAAACACGGCTCACTGAATTACTACTAAAATACTAAAATAATGGGGAAATTTGAGGGCCTTTAGACAGCTATGTCAAAAATTAATTGCTAATCTCAAATAGCCTTGAAATCTAGGGGTATCATTCTTTTTGTCTCTCTCTCTCTCTCTCTCTCTCTCTCTCTCTCTCTCTCTCTCTCTCTCTCATTCTGTCACCGTTCCTCTCTCCCGAGCAGCTTACTCTTCAGTTCAGTTAGCGCTCTCGCTCTCGCCCTCGCCATCGGCCTCCGCAGCCTTGCGCCGGCTCTCCTCTTCCTCGGGGGTCAGGGTACGCAGCTGTAGGGCGTGGATGCCGCCCTCCCTGGCCATCTCGTCGCTCAGCAGGCCGTAGACGAGCCGGTGCCGCGCCGGCTGCCGCTTGGCCTCGAAGGCCGCCGACGTGATGACGAGCCGGAAATGCGTCTCGCGCGACGTGCTCCCCTCCATCGCCTGGTGGTGCGCGTGCAGGTGCGAGTCGTTGTGGATCTCGAGCGTCGACGGCGATAGCGCGGCTGTGATCTAGATAGTGTTGCAAAAAGAAGTGCGGGTTAGAATGCGTGGACCAGGGCCGAGAGAGCCGGTGCACCGAAGAAGGGGACGGAGGATGGAGTGGTGGGTGGGTGTTGTCCAACCTTTTCCCTGATGGTGTCCTCGAGGGGGGTTTGCGACGCCAAGGAGGGCGACGACGGCGACGCCATGGCTGAAAACGGCCGGCTGGTAGCTTTGGCTCTGGCTCGGCCGAGGACTGTTCGGCGCCACATAAGGCGAGTCAAGGTTCAGCAGTCGTCGGGCGCACAACGTCTCAGCCCGTAATCCCGTCCGTGTGTAATATGCGGGCGTCGGAGAAAGAGTATGGACAGGTCGGGAGCTTCCTAATCCAAAGGCGGTCGTGTTCGCGTCGGCAGCTGGATGTCGACAAGAATGTCCGGGCAGCGAATTGGAAGGGGGGGTTGTGAACTTGGCGCAAGCGAAGCTAGAAGCGGGACAGAAAAGCTTCCCACAGGCCAATGAGCGCTGGGGCCGAGCTATGATCCCTGTTCTCCGGGCTGCCAGGGGCAGAGTGGACACTGGGCAGCCTTCTGGGAGGTGAATGGCACCCTTTTTGCAGGAGTTCCCCACGCTGGGCGTGGTGCCTAGGCTAGCGCCCACCGCAGACAACCACAGCGCTCAGCGCATTGCCCCGACGGGACAGGGGCCCCGAAAGAGGGAGGGGTGAAAAGGCCAAAAAAAGAATCCGATTCCGCGTCGTCATCCCGTCCTCCACAATTTTATTAGACGGGCAGGAAAACACCTTAGGTCAATTTCGGGCCACCCTCAGACGACGTCTCGCCGGAGAAAGAAGTAGGATGCGCCGGGCTCGGCATCAGAAGCCCGACGACTCACGCCATGCCATTCCGTGCCCTGGTGTCTAGCGGGACTGTTTCGTCTGTTTAGATCCCTGTGCCATATTGCTCCTATTACCGGCCAGCCAGTCCAAGTCCGTCTGCGCCTCTGGCGGAACCCAGCCGTGCAATCAGACAAGCAGGCAGATTCAGACGGGCACGCTTTGGAACTTAAGGTGCCCAGTCCCACGCACATCTACCCCCACTGTGCCCCCCTTCCCCCTAATGTCCTTGTCTCTTGCCTCGACCATTGGCACGAGATTCGGCGCTGCGTGTGTGTCTACGAACCGGCTACTGTCGAGAAGCGTCCCCGCATCGCCCTTGGCTCGTTGTCGTTGGTTCTGGAACACTAGAAGTAGAAGCGGAAGCACCCCTTCAGTCAGCTTCCGAATGGCTTCAACCCTCCCCCGCCTGCCCGTCTTCGAGGCCATCGCCCGTCATGACCCCGACTCGACTGTCGTCGTCCACTCGGGCAGCGGGCGCCGCTTCCGCTACGGTGAGCTCTTGGCCGACGTGTGCAAGACGAGAAACTGGCTCTACGAGACGGCCGGCCGCAACGACATTGATGGGGAACGCATTGCCTTCTTAGTCGAGAACAGCTACGACTATGTAGGTAAGCCGATCGTCTATCCTCCCGCCCCTCGCTGGCCTGTGTCTGGCCGCAGAGCGGAGATCATGGCTAACACTCCAAAGTCACCCTGCTGGCCATTCTCGCGGCCAAATCTATCGCCGTGCCCCTGTCTCCGGCCTTTCCCGCGCCAGAGCTCCAGTATATCCTCAACCATAGCGAGGCCTTGATGCTGCTGTCGTCGGCCAAGTTCGCTCAAAAGGCCCAAGAAGTGTTGCGTACGGAGCTTGACCTTGAGCCCGTCTATCTCCAGCTGAGCAAGTTCCAGGGCGGCGCCAAGAATGAGAAGGTCACTCTGGAAAAGACCGGGCCGGGATCGGCCGGCTTGATGCTCTATACTTCGGGAACCACAAACCGCCCAGTGAGTTACCCGTCCCGCCCCGTCGTGGCCGGCTCGCTCCCCTCGGCCTCTGCGGCTCCCTCAAACAAGTGCTAACTTCCGTGCTCAGAAAGGCGTGCTCCTACCGCAGTCCGTCATGACGGCGCAAGCGCGAGCTCTCCTGCAGGCCTGGGAATATAAAGCCTCGGACCACCTCCTGCATGTCTTGCCGCTGCACCACATCCACGGCACCATCAACGCCCTCTTCACCCCGCTCTTCTCGGGCAGCGCAATCGAGTTTTTGTTCCCCTTTAACGCGGACGCGGTATGGAAGCGCTTCGCCGCCCCCTTCTTGACCCCAGATCAGACCCCCGATCCCGAGTCGCAGTCGCCGTTCGGCCGGCAGGAAAAGATTACCTTCTTCACTGTCGTGCCAACCGTCTACTCGAGGCTGCTAGCCACCCACAAGGCCCTGCCCCCGGACATGCAGAGCGCAACCCGCACAGCCATCAGCCCCGCGAACCTGCGCCTGGCCATCTCCGGGTCGGCAGCGCTCCCAACCCCCATCAAGCTGGCTTGGTCCGACCTGAGCGGCGGCAACGTGCTGCTCGAGCGCTACGGCATGACCGAGGTGGGCATGGCGCTGAGCTGCGGGCTGGACGTGGCGGACCGCGTTGACGGGTCCGTCGGCTGGCCGCTTCCCGGCGTCGAGGCGCGGCTCGTCGACGTAGACACGCACCACGTCATCGAGAAGGGCCACGAGCGCGACGCCGACGGCCGCGACCGCGTGGGCGAGATCCAGCTCCGCGGCCCCACCATCTTCACCGAGTACTGGCGCAACCCCGAGGCCACGGCCAAGGAGTTTGTCGACTCCAAGGACGGCCGCGGCCAGTGGTTCAAGACGGGCGACGTGGCGGTGCGCCGCCCCGTGGCCGGCGCCGGCAGGAGCGCAGCCGCGAGCCAGAAGGACTGGACCCGCGGCGACCTTTACTTCATCCTCGGCCGCCGCTCCGCCGACATCATCAAGAGCGGCGGTGAAAAGGTGTCGGCCCTCGAGGTCGAGCGCGAGATGCTGGCCCTGCCCCAGGTCGCCGAGGTCGCCGTCCTCGCCGTGCCCTCGGGCAAGTGGGGCCAAAAGGTCGGCGCCGTCGTCATCCTCGACCGCGACCACCTCCCCGACGGCGCCCGCTGGACGCCCCTCGACATGCGCCGCGCCCTCAAGGGCCGCCTCGCCAACTACAAGATCCCCCAGGTCCTCAAGGTCGTCGACCATATTCCGAGGAACGCCATGGGCAAGATCAACAAGAAGCAGCTCGTCAAGGACATCTTCCAAGACGAGTTTAGCGGGGATGAACTTTGAGAAACTGTTTATTTGTGTTTTTTTTTGGGGGGGGGGACCTTAATTTGTTTGGTTCCAAAGGAGAAACGGGGCTAGATGGTGTGTTGATCGTTAGTTTACCCAAACGGCGGGGCTCAGGAACTTAAAATGAAGGAGGCCAAAGCATTGCATTCTTCGTCGCACTCGTCTTCCCATAGAGAGAGAATGGTAGGCGGAAGGGGGGAGGAGAATGGAATGGAAATGGGAACAGGGATGGACCGGACCGGACCGGCGTGGCTACCTAGACTTCTTTTCTCTCTTCTTTTCTCTCTTCTTTTCTCTCTTCTTCTTCTTCTTCTTCTTCCATTGGGCCGTGTCGGCGGGGATGGTCGTGTGATGGTCGTCGCGAAGTTGATGTTGGGCGGACCGTTCAGTCTGAAGGAAGTCTCAGAGGTCGGCTCAACACCACCACGCACAAAACAGGCCCGTGTATAAAGTGTACTACGACCGGGAGTTGCCGCGGCTGGTGTTTGTACATATTTATTTCTCTATTCAGTTATTTACACTTGGATAGGAGAGAAGAGGAAGTCAATTAGATAGAGATGGACCAGACCAAGTTCCTTCCCTTCGGTTTTGTCTTTCCGATGAGCAGTGGTCTTTTTTCTTCACCCCGAGACAGAGGAACGCTGTTTGTTTAGGGCGTTTGGTCTGCTTTCCTGCCCGTGTTGACGACCTATTTTGTGTGGGATGGCATTACTCTGGGAGCGACTTCCACAGTTAGATCTATCACCAAAGTGAAGTGGCTTATAGCATGTTTGGATATATATGGATGGGCGTACATCCGGTCAACGGTCCTTCAGCATGACGTAACAATTCCTTGTGTTGGTGGTGACAAACCGTCGCTAGCTGGGTTATACACCCGCTCCTCCGTCTCTTAATTTTTCCTATCTAGTTTTGTGTTTCTCTCATACCACCTACTGGACCATTGAAACTGGTAAGACAAGGGACGTATGCGGCCTGGTCTATTCGCCACTCAGCTTCGAGAGCGACGGTTACACTGTGTCAAGCCTAGTCGTTCGCTGCGTTGAGCAAGGTCAACCGGCTTCAAAGAACCTGTTAGTTTGCTCACCGGGTCATGTGTGTACGAGGGCGGAAGCCAACGACGATACGAGAACCACTCCCGAGGAGGTCATCTGTAAAGGCTACCAACCTACTCCCAAGGCCCTACATCACGAAACAAACGCCATGGCAAACCCCACATACGATCCCCAACGCGATTTTTAAGAAACTGAAAATCAACGTGCTTTCTGTTAAAGAGCCATTTGCCATTACCAAATAAATCCCAAAAAAAAGCCCCCAAGGGTAAGGGGAATAAAAGAAAATAACAGAGCTACTTTTGGACAAAACGAAAACCATTCCATTTCGTCATATCATATCTCTCCCCACCACCTGCCCTTCGCGCGACGTCTGAAAGCATAAAGTATGTTTAGGTGATGGGGTGTGCAAGTTGCTAGGAGAGATGATATGTAGTATGCATGCGTAAAAGGCGCCAATCCACAACTTCAAGAAAAGCAAAACCTGAGATGGGAAAATGCGGGAGGCGTGAAGTGGGTGTGCCGGTCTGTGCCAAGCTTGTTCTGGCTAACAGAGAGAAGGCAGAGAGTGTGCGTCTAGACTGTAAACTTGGCCCTCGCGCGAGTGCTGCCGCTATGAGCACTGTCGGTATGACCAGAAAACTCGACTATCTCCTGGGGGGGCAGCTTGAGGACCGTCTTGAACCGCCGGCCAATAGCCTGGAGGATATCTTTGCCCTTATCAGGGCTGCGGCCCTTGCCACCCGAAATATCGCCGTCCCCGCGACCCGGAATGCTCTTGCCTATGGTGCGTGTCCAGATACCGATACGGAAGAACGCCTTGCGAACGTTGACGACAACGCCCATGACCTCACCGTCCTCCTCCTCCTCCAGAGTCTCGCCGATAGCCGCGAGCATCGTGTGCAGCCACAGCTCGTCAATGTTGACGTTGCGCTTCTCCTTGAACTGATACGACCACTTGCCGCCGTGCTTGTTCTGAGGGTCCTCCCACTCAGGCCGTACTCCCTCCTTGAAGAGGTGGTAGTCGGACTTGAGGGCAAGCTCAGAGACAGGGGCAATGTTGTTCTGTAGTGCACGGTATTAGCGCCTGCTGGACCGCACGCTCGTCGTCACCAGCAAGAGGGGGGAGGGGTGGCGGATGGGGGCGTGGGAATTGACATACATATATGCCCCAGAACTCTTCTACAGAGTTGAATGTGATGACCTCCTTCAATAAATCATTCCAGTTGTCACCCTGGAGCACAGAAGTTAGCAAAATCCCAAATGGCCGAGTGTGGGGCAGCAATGGCAAACCTTTCCGCTCGCGGGCTTGGTGAACCAGAGGGTCCATCTGTTGGAGAGAGGGTGCTTGACATTGAAGTTGTCCTTGTCGTGGAAGACAGTAATGGTCTTGCCAGCATCCTCCGGGGAGGAAGAGGCAGCGCCGTCAACATTGCCGCCGTCGGGCGAGATGGGAATGGTGGTGAGATCGACTTGCTCCGACATCTTGCAATCGTAAGTCTGCGTGCGACACGATCAAGGCAGCGAGGCAGTGTCGAGAAGGCAAGGGAAGTGAGAGTATGGCCGAGGCGACAAGGGCACGTCTAGAGTGATCGATCCACAGACCACCGAAATTTGTGGTTGGGCAGTTCGATTCGTGGGGGAGAGGTGGGGAGAAAGTGAAGCACTTTCGCGAATGCGACTCAGGTCCTGGGTGTGTTGGGAGACACAGCTTTGAGGAAGAGGGAGGGTGGGAAGTCGATTAAGAAGGGGCCGGCAAATTGAACCTCGCTTTATTCTGAAGGGAAAGTGCGACTTTGCTCCAGGCAATAGTCTTTCCGAAAATATTGAGGTAGGTACCGTGGCGGGTGAAAGTCGAGATTTTCTTTTTTTTCGAGGCGATCGCGAGCTGCAAGATTCAGTGAAAACGCCAGTCGCAAGCAAATTCCTGCCAGACAGCGCCGCGCCGCCTCCTAAAATCTGCTGTTAGCGCCCCATCCGAGACCCAGGGCAACAGGGCCCCCTACCTTTGGACGGTCACGGGATATTTCACGTGCTACTAAGATAAGCTGTGTGTGTTAATAGCCGATTCGACAAAGCTGACTGTGCGCATTGCAAAAGAGACTGCATCTAAGCCAATTAGGACGAAGCTCTCAGGACCGGCCAGAACACTGACAGTTCTTAGATCCGAGACGGCAATTTTAAGGCGTCGCCAGGCTTCTCCCTCGGTCATTAGGATATCTAGGGGTTCAATGGTCATCATAGAAAGGCCCCTAAAGTTTAATATCAAGGGGAGCAAAGTTTTCAGAAATCCTGATTGAGTTTGGCCACAGTCCAGTTTCACCAGGTGCATAGTCACTTTGGCCAGGGTGGGGCTTAACAGATAACTGCAATGCGCCTTTCCCGTTGGGGAAAGTGGTGGGGAAAGAGGCTATGGTGGAGGCGGTTGGCAAGTCAGTAAAAGAAAAACGAAAAAAGTTCACCGCACTCGAAAATTTCAGAATTTAAGACTCCCATCAAGCCTGCCACCCCCCACGCCGAATCGGCCTTTACCTCTTGCGCCGGTTTTCCTTCTCAACCTTCCACCACCACAACCTCATCACTTAATACCACACATCATGGCGGAAGAAGTATACGATGGTGCCATTGGCATCGATCTCGGTATGTTGCGCGCTGCTCGCTTCCCACACCGACCGCCGCTGGGTGATTTTGTGTTGGGCGCACACACATAATCCGCACCTTGCAACATCTTGCTGACGCCTTCGGTCGATAGGCACCACCTACTCCTGCGTCGCCACGTACGAGGGTACCAATGTCGAGATCATCGCCAACGAGCAGGGTAGCTTCACTACCCCGTCGTTCGTCTCCTTCACCCCCGAGGAGCGATTGATCGGTGAGGCTGCCAAGAACCAGGCTGCCATGAACCCGGCGAATACCGTCTTCGATGTCAAGTACGTGTTGTGCCCTATTTCCAGCTTTGCCCGCTCGCCCGTCCGGCCCAGCTTTAACACTGCAACACCCTGCTTACCACCTGCTTGCTCAGGCGTCTCATTGGACGGCGTTTCGATGACCCGACGGTCAAGAAGGACATCGAGTCGTGGCCCTTCCAGGTCGTCGACGACGATGGCAGCCCAAAGGTCCAGGTCGACTACCTGGGCAGCGTCCACACTTTCTCTCCCCAGGAGATCTCCGCCATGGTCCTGACCAAGGTATGTCTCGACTTGGCTCTTCCGCTTACCCAGCCGTGTGCTAAACATTTTCGCACAACAGATGAAGGAGATTGCCGAGACCAAGCTCGGCAAGAAGGTTGAGAAGGCCGTTATCACTGTGCCCGCCTACTTCAACGACAACCAGCGTCAGGCTACCAAGGACGCCGGTGCCATTTCCGGCCTCAACATTCTGCGTATCATCAACGAGCCTACTGCTGCCGCCATTGCCTACGGCCTTGGCGCCGGCAAGTCCGAGAAGGAGCGCAACGTCCTGATCTACGATCTTGGTGGCGGTACCTTCGATGTGTCGCTTCTCAACATCCAGGGCGGTGTATTCACTGTCCGCGCCACCGCTGGTGATGTAAGTATAACAATCCTAATATCCATCAATTACATGAGGTGCTAACCGAATGTTCAGACGCACTTGGGAGGCCAGGATTTCGACACCAACCTCCTCGACCACTGCAAGAAGGACTTCACCCGGAAGACCAAGAAGGGTTCGTGATGTCCCTTGATCTCTTTATCCCCCCATTGCCTCGTTTCTTGGTATCCTGGCCGTTTTTATCGACATCTTCTAACTTGGTGTTAGATCTCTCTGGCGATGCCCGTGCTCTCCGGAGACTGAGAACCGCTTGCGAACGTGCCAAGCGTACTCTGTCCAACGGTGCCCAGACCACAATTGAGATCGACTCTCTGTTCGATGGCGAGGACTTCAATATGCAGATTACTCGTGCTCGTTTCGAGGATCTCAATGCCAAGGCCTTCAACGGCACTCTTGAGCCTGTTGCGCAGGTTCTCAAGGATGCCGCCATTGAGAAGAGCGCCGTTGACGAGATTGTGCTTGTTGGTGGTTCCACCCGTATCCCCAAGATCCAGAAGCTCCTCAGCGAGTTTTTCGATGGCAAGAAGCTCGAGAAGAGCATCAACCCCGATGAGGCTGTCGCCTACGGTGCCGCCGTCCAGGCCGGTATCCTCTCCGGAAAGGCCACCTCGGCCGACACCGCCGACCTCCTCCTCCTCGATGTTGTTCCTCTGTCCCTTGGTGTTGCTATGGAGGGCAACATCTTCGCCCCTGTCGTCACTCGCGGTCAGACTGTCCCCACCATCAAGAAGAGAACCTTCACGACGGTTGCCGACAACCAGCAGACTGTCCAGTTCCCCGTGTTCCAGGGTGAGCGTGTCAACTGCGAGGACAACACCTCTCTGGGTGAATTCACCCTTGCCCCCATCCCCCCGATGAAGGCTGGCGAGGCTGTTCTCGAGGTTGTCTTTGAGGTCGATGTGAACGGTATACTCAAGGTTACCGCCACTGAGAAGACGTCCGGCCGCAGCGCCAACATCACAATCTCCAACTCTGTTGGCAAGCTCTCGTCGAGCGAGATTGAGGACATGATCAGCGGTAAGCATCACCTTAACTCCACAAACTTGTAGAAGACATACTGACAATCAACCACAGAAGCCGAGAAGTTTAAGACCAACGATGAGGCTTTCAGCAAGCGCTTTGAGGCCAAGCAGCAGCTTGAGTCCTATATCTCGCGCGTTGAGGAGATCATTTCGGACCCGACGCTGTCGCTCAAGCTCAAGCGCGGCCAAAAGGAGAAGATCGAGCAGTCGCTCAGCGAGGCCATGGGCCAGCTTGAGATTGAGGACTCGAGCGCTGATGACCTGAAGAAGAAGGAGCTCGGCCTGAAGAGACTGGTGACCAAGGCCATGTCCTCGCGGTAAAATTCCCCAGCGTGGGATTCGTCTTTGACTACCGAGGAACGGATGCGTTGGGTGGGATTTTTGAAGACATGGTCTGGACACGAGCGGTCCAGCGGCAGGCGTCTTCTTAACCAAAAGTTTGGGGCCTGGCATCACTCTGCATTTCTCGCCGAGCCACCTCCCGGAGGGGAGGGAGTGTCCAAGATTGCACGACACCGGATTTCTTTTTCCTGGCGAATTTACCATGATGCCCATCTGACGACCCAAATCTTCTCGGCACAATGCATGTAGACTTAGGGAGGATAACCAAAATGATATGTTCGTTAAAGAATGCCTACGGTGTCTCGTCTGAATTAAGAGGTCTAATGTTTTGTGCCTATAACAGTGCTGTAGATTCCGATTTGGTTTTGGTGATGATGTACGCAGAAAGACTTGACAAGCCTCGGCAATGGAATTCAGGCCATCTATGAAGAACTAGGCCTGGTTAGGTTTAAACCCGGTGCTTGTTTCCGAGGATCTTCAGACCTATGCATGCTGGGCTTTCTACTTGCAACAAGATCGTTACTAATACGAGGACTGATAGCCGGGCGCATTATAAAGAGCATCAAGCTACGCCCGAGTTTGAGAGTTTGACAACTAGATTCCGAACAAGGGTTGGTTTCGAGGAAGAACAGAGACTCAAGTGCCTCGCCTTATTATTTGACCAACACATTTGACACTATCGATTTGTCGTCTAAACTTCAGACGGTAGGAGTAAACATGACAATCTGATGTTTGGTCAAAGTCAACCAGGTGTGGTTCCACCAGCTTAGCTCGGCTTATTACATGTTACTGGCAGCAAAGCAGGTAGGCAGGTAAGGTAGGGGAGAGAGAGAGATTGGGGAGCAAAAGAGCAAAGTTTCACACAGATACTAGGTATGGATCCCAAAGCCAAGGGTAACCTCGGCTTACGCATTCTCGTCCGTCGTAACGCCGACGTAAAGGGCCTCACTGAGCTCCGGCGGTCAAGAAGGACTATGACTTTTTACTGTGCTTGCATTCCGGAGTGTGCCGCCGTGATGCCACACACAGCAGTGCCAAGCCTCGCCCTGTCTCAAGGCTGTTGAGAATGAATCTCACATCTTTGCTGTCCCCTCTCTCTCTCTCTCTCTGTGTGTGTGTGTGTGTGTGCTTCTTCGTCTTTCTCCCTTCTCTGAAGCTTTCGGTCTTTTACGTTTGCTATCACTCTGTCTGCTAGATATTGCCAAGTCTCGCATCAACCCGACCCACCTCGTCGTTATCCTTCATTGACAGCACAAAATTCAATAAAATATCCGTACAGAGCACAGAACATGGATAGACACAGACGGGCGTGTAGCTAATCCCTAGCTGCGATCTCAGATTTAGATGTGTCTTTATTTTTCTTGGCTGTGATGATGATGCCCTCCACAGCAGCGAGATCTGCCACCCTGCCGCCTTGGCAGAGCCAGCCAGCCAACCAGCCACAACAACCCCGCCAAACAGAAATCATTCCCTTCCTGTCCGTCCGTATCTCACACCAGACGCATCTAATTACCACCTCACCACTTTTCGCCCGCCGCGCGCCGCGCCCAGACGAAAAAGCCAAGAGAAACAGAGAGATCTTGTTCCCGGCTCGGGCACGTTACTAAAAAAGAGACAAACAACTCTGCCGAAAAGTACCTACCGATCTCTTGGCAATGTCTTGCCCAGACGGATAGAGACAGACGGAGGGGTACACACACCATACACACATACATACAAACTCCGTATGTCCATGTCCATAAACACGAGCCCCCCTGAAAGTAGGTCAAGACGGCACGTACGCCGAATTGTGAAAATGCCATGGGAACGCGGCAAGATCGGCTCCGTGATAGATGCGTACATGCCTTTTCCTCTTGGCGTTTGTCTCTATCTGACTCTCTGTCTCTTGGCTGGTCTCTCTGCTCGTAAACCCGCGTACGTACATGTACGTATGTGTAAGCCCCTCACTCACTTACTCACTCGCTCACTTTTTGGGTTGGAGGGGGGGGCGTTTCCCTACTCAACCCAGCCCAGCCCCAACCAGATACCCAAGACAGACAGAGGTAGACAGAGTGGTGGTGGCGAAACCCCCCAGAAAAGAGATGAGAGGGCTGAGAGATCGACAGATAAACAGCTCGCCAACTCGTAGCTCAGGGTAAGGAAGCCAGCCAGCCAGGACAGGACACGCTCGTTTAGTTTTCGTCTGGTACAGTACGTACGTTGTCCCCCACACCCCATCTGCAAAGGCCATGCATGCATGGGATGAGATGAGGGAGCGCGCATGAGGAGCAAGCAGCAAGCAGCTTTTTGGCCCGAGCGAGTCAGAGACAAATAGAAGGGCAAAGCCAATCCGAACGGCCGAATGCCTTTTCGGGGAGGGGGGAGAGATGGAGGGAGGGGAGCGGTCAGTCTTTTTTGTTGGTGGTTGCGGACGAGGCGGGAAGCAGCAAAAGGCAGGCAGCTTATTTGATATCAAAACGAAAACTGCCACACAGCGCTGCACAGGAAGAAGCTCCGGCAGGATCCACCCCCGCACTCCAAAGCTTGATACCGCAAATGGAAGCAAGCTTAGCATGGCCGCGGTGTAGCCGCAGAGTACATATCTTAGGTACATACATTAGGTAGCTTTGCAACTGCACCTCGGATGGGATTCAGCCAGAGTCGGGCATCGGGGCCTCTCGTGTTTGGTCTGGATTCCGGCTTGACATTCATTTTGCAACCTAGCAATAATCCCTAGTCTAAGGGGTCCGACACACATACCCACCCCTCCCTTGACCACCGACGCCCGCCGTGTAACCCATCCCCCCAAAATGAAACCCTGCCAAGAAGTGGCCCATTGCTTCCTGTCCTCGAGATCGCGCAATGCCCAGGCCCGTGTTCCTCGGAGGGCGGAGGGGGGGCCTTGCTGAAGTAAAACCGTAGAAATACGAAGTAGTGAATTAATCACCGGGCAATCTAGGCAAAAGAAAAGTAGCCTCCGATTCCCAAACCCCAGCCCCAAATCTCTAATATCATAATGTGTCATCGCCCATCAGAAAGGCGGAAAGTCATGAGGGCCAAGCTGGCCTTTTTCCCAAGGTAGTAAGACATGAAAGGCAGAAGGCAGAAAGAAAATGGAATGCCGAATCTGCCGAAGGCGAACAGAGCCGGACATGGTTACTCGACAGCGACCTCGTGGAAGTCGCCACCGTGCTCGTCCTGGTGCTCGCCCCAATGGACAGGGCCAAGCTTGAGGAAGCGAAGGCGGCTCTTGGAGCCGTCGCTGCTGAGGCTGGAAGTACGGCGCTTCATGTCCAACGTGGCAGCATCGTCTTGCTTGGGGACCTCGGCAAGCGCCTCGGCGGTCAGGGCCTCGGGCTTCGGCTGCTTGGACTTCTGGGCGCGCGGGTATGAATCAGACGTCTTTGGGGCCAGCGACAGGAACATCGAGGGGCGGCGCTCCGACGTTTCCGGGGCGAAGGGCCGGGCTTGCTCGCCAAGCTGGCGAAGCTGCTCTGAGGTCGGGGCCGACATTGTATGTATATCCTGTTGCCGAGTCGATTGAGCGAGCAGGAAAAGAGGGCTTATACTGATCGGTTGAGTCTGGAGATTGCGGCGAACGGAACAGAAAGAGCGATGGATAGGTCTTGTTGCCTTGCCTTCTTATCGAGAAGGAAGCTTAGAAAGCAAGTGGGAGGCTAGGAAGTCTAGGTAGAGAGCTGACGGAGGGATCGGCTTTATATGCTCAGCCGGCGGGGGAGACGGACGGCCGCTTACCAACTAGGAGCCCAAGGGCCGCTCATCCCTTCCCTCTTGTGTCGCCCAGGCTAGAGTGCTCACATGAGCGCCGGGCTTTCCCAATTTGCCATGACGCGCGAGTCTCGTTCCACGGCGACGTGTGATCAATCATCAGAGAGACAGCGGGGCTCGGCCCGCCCATGATTGGGCTTGGCTTGACTGGGGAGGAAGATGCAGCAGCCAGCAATTGCCCGGGCGCGTCAGCGGGCGCACGTGGGGGGGGCAATTGGTCTCGTCTGAACGGGGGAAGGGGAATGGGGAAGGGGGAGAGCGGGCCAACGAGCGAGCAATGGGATGGATGGACAGGGCAGGCGCAATGCCCCGAGTAACCGCTCAGAACCGCGCGCGGGGAAGCACCCTCGGAGTGGTTGCGGAATTGGCCAAAATGCTCAGGCCACGGTGGAATGATGGGAACCGGACGCCAAAGACGTTGATGCCGGGGATACTGTGGAGATCAAGCGGCTCTGCCTCGTGCTCGGGACTTTGCCCGGAACGGCGTCCATTGACGTCGGTCCTCGGGCGTTGTTATTGGCTGTCGGGCGGCCTTCGAGGAGAAAATCGGAAGCTATCGCAACAACAGTTCCATCAACACCCGCTGTGGTGTGGGGCCCCAGCGCCCAGCGCCCCGGGCGACGGGGGGACGGGGGACGGGAGACCAGCCACTCGCACCTCCCAAGAAGCCAAAGGGGCCAAGCATGCCGTATTACAGATATTGTACAGTACCTCGTACCTGCCCAGTCGCACATCCGGCTGCCCGCCTGCTTGCCATCCCTCTCATCTGGGCAACTCGTCAGGTGACGGCCCCGGATCCAAGCGGCCTGGCTCCCCCAGTTTCCCCGACCACATGACCATTGACTCAGCTCGCAAGCGATTTCCCCCTTGGCCGAGCCACCTGGCGTCCTCCTCTAACCTAAGCGCAGGAAGAAAAAAAGAAGGAAAGAAAAGACCAGAGACGCACGCACCTTGTTTCAATGTTGATGCGTCTGCATTGTCTCAATTCTTACCTTTCTAGAGTCCGCCTAGGACGGCCAGCCGTAATATGCCTGGCTAACTCTTTTGGTCTTGTTGGGCGCGCAAAGAGAAAGGGCGAGATAGGCACCTCAGTCGCGCGACTCTTTACGATTATGACGGCACTCCATTGGCCGAGTGATGCCGCGACCTGGGCTGCCGTAAATAGAGCGTTAATTAGCTGGCCCGAAATGACGGGCCGACGTGTAGGCAAGGCCGAAAGCATTGAGTTGGCCCCTCAAGATTGACCCCAGGCAAAGAAAGCAGGTCGTTGCGCCTGATCGATACCGGCTAGGAGGTCTGGGACTTGTCATAAAATAGGAACTAGCCGGTGTGTCTATCCTGCCGAACACGGTGCTGATGCGTGTCGGCCAGCTATAGGCACGGCGGAAAAGCGGAAGCCCGATTCCCAGGCAACTGCTCGCGCTTAAAAGAAGACTTCTCAAGAGCTCGCACTGGGCAAGGTGCACCAATACACACACTTGTAGTCTTGTACCCTCTTTATGCCGGGGACCTTCACTTGCCTTGACTTGGTGAAGTCGACAAATATAGTCTCATTTACAACCAACCCTATCAAATACTCGGCCGAGCTTGTCGAAGAAGTCAGGTATGGAAACATGAGAACGCCAATTTGTGAAAGGTCGCTCTTTGCCAGTATCGGGCTGTATTTCGACCTAGGTAGGTCAAGTTCTAGGTTTGCTCGCGATATCGATATCCCCTGCCGGAGTTGGGGGATAAATGGTAAACGGCCAGTTCAGGCCAGTGAGAGTTGCAGAAAGAGAGACACGAAGCCGACTTTATTACGGAACAGCATTCCGATTTCGGGAACCCAGTTACCCGCAAGCCCATAGACGTGCGCAATATCATGGGAGACTTGAGACTTGCGGTGGGTTCCTCCGGCCGATAGAAAGGGGGGGCTAACCTAGGCGGTGCCATGCCCTGCTCGCACCCACGGCCAAGCGTCGGCTTTCCTGTCTCGGGGAATGAGTTTCCCCGGGCTCTTTCGACTGTATGGGCCTCATAGTGTTTCCCGGCTCGCCGGCACTGGCGCTTACCGTTCTGTATGATTAGCAAGCGTGATATCATCACTGACAAAGTCGAGATACGTTAGCATTGTCGTGGTCTGGCCACCGAAGCCATGCTCATGGGGTATTCCGCGGCTTCCAGGACTTATCTGCATGCCTAGCAAGACATCACAGGCAGATTCGTGCTAGGGGGCTGGTCATTTACATGCCGCACCCGCCTCCCCTGTATGTCAAGACAGTAGCAAGCCCTCGGACTTAAACCCCCTTTGCCTTGGGAGTTGGGCCAATCTGGTGGCGTATTTGCTAGTGTGGCCGAGGAATATATGCTCGGCGGACTGGTTCTTGACTGGCTCGTGTCCGAGAAGTGACGACATCAAGACGAAGAGAAGAACAGCTTCAGCACCAACCGTCCAGCTCCGGTAGGCGAAGAAGGGTGTGGCAGGCTCCACACCCTACACATGGCGAGCGGTGCTTTCTCTTTCTCTACTCCAAGGCCGGTCTGCGCTTGGATCCAAGTCACCTCGGGCAGGGCTGCATGTCAAGGATCCAGATCACTTAGTCCTTCCAAGAAACAAAGCTTCTTCCGAAGTATGGTCAAACCTGAAACAAGGTTGGTGGCATCCGCCTCGCACGTCGCCTATCGCGGGTTAGCAACAGCCCAATTCGCAAGCATCATCTCAGCACAAAAGGGGGAGGGGCAATATCTCTGGCCATACGTGTGTTCCGGCTGCGTTGCCATGCCATGCTGTCAGCTGTGTCATTTTAAGAGCCGTCGTGACGCAGCGTTTGCGAGTCAAACGAGGTCGCAGGCAAATGGCCCCCGCTTGATACGAAGGGCACAAGAACCCAAGGCGAGCAAGGAAAAAGGGAGAGACGAGACAGTAGGTGAGAATGGCGGTGCTTATCGGACTCAAGTCGTGGGCGGGCCGGATTTTGAGCCCTCGGATCGTTTAAGGGTCGAGGCTCTGGGAGGAGAAAAGGGCTACGTCGATTGTGTGTGGCCGTGAAAACCGGCCAAGCGAGCCCGACCTCTGCTGTGGCCGCATCAAGCTTTCTAGTAGTAAAGTCCGGCAAAGAGCCCATTCCATGTCAAAACGGGGAACGCGATTGGTGAATCTCCGGCTTGTACTCCTCTTTCCTTTTTTCGGGTTTTTTTCCCGTTTGGTTCGCTCAATTTTTTTAGCAACAAAGACTCGAGATCGTGGACAGAAAAGAAGGTGCCAGGTTTGTTATAGGTGCTCCGAAGTTACTCCGCACTTACACATTGCGTGTGTAATGTGCCGCTGGGCTGTTGCGCTGTGCGATGAACGGGAAGGCTGAACGTTTCATGCACCCAACGTTTCAGGCACCGACAAGACCGTCCGAGGAGATGCCAACCTCCTCGAGTTCCGTGTGTCGGGATTTTATGGGTGGGTTGTGATTACATCTTGGGGGCTTTGGTTTGGAGTGGAGTGTCGTCGCCAGGTCCGCGGCAGGCACAATCCGATGGGTAACAGCCAAACTGTCACTAATGGATTGGCGGTCCTGCCTGCTCAACATAGAAGTTTAATAATTCTAATCGATACTAAAGTACCAAGGTACTTTTGGAAGAAAGGCAGGAACGCCCTTGGTCCCTCAGACTTCAATAGTCACGGTAAGAACTCTAGGTTGATTTTTTATTATAATGAGAAAAAAAATGATGAACAGCGGCCGCCCCATTCCCTTCCCGTTGCGGAAGGAAGGATACATACCGTAAGTTAAGTTCAAGTTTTTCAAGCTCGGGATGCGCACCTTCCCAGGATCGTCTAGTTTGGCATCATCTGAGCATTTCGCTAGTCCTTCCATTACTAGATAGAATTTTTTACCCTGTATTGAATCCAGGTACCCCAAATATTTGTGATAGCACGCAAAAGATCTTTTTACCCCGTACTGTGTGTGTGGAGGACGGGGGTGGGGGGGGGATATAGACCTGGATCAACTGAGAGTCTGAGACGCATGCCGAGATCGGCAACCTACTGTCTGCCAGCACAACAAACAATTAACATGCAGTGCTGAGAACAAGTCTGATAACAGAGGTACTTAGATCATTGTTGTGCTTGCGAGAAATCAATCAATGTGCCACGCCGCCTTTGCTGCCTTTGTTCTCGGCTCCTGGTCAAATCTAGTGTGATTATAAAAACAATAATTACACAAAATCACACCTACAGCTTTGTGAGTCAGATATTTTCTAGGGGCTGCCTTATTTTGGAAATTATTGAAATTTGCTATCATCAATTATCAGTTAGTGCAAATGACACTTGTGGGCGTTGTGATGAGCAGCTGCAGCTCAAGACATGTCAAGTCTGGAAGGAATGGCGGTACCCCGATTATGCCAATGTTTCTTTGAGTAGGTAGGTACTTACGGGGAGAGTGAATTTTGAAAGTCTTGAGTGTAGGCCAGGTGCCTAGTAAAATGATCGTAGAACTCTTGTTACGAAGCTAAATATTCTATCTCTGAAGGCCACCCTAGTCTACACAAGCCTACTGAACAGTTTGATATCCAATGCGGATCTTCTCGCGCTGATTGTTCGTCGAAGGGGTTGGGATCTATTTACTAGCCACTACCATTGGAAAGTAGCGAGGTTATGAATCATACGTTGAGTTATTCCAACTAGGCTTGGACAAAAAGGCAAGAAAGCAGCAGGTAGCTGCTAATCAACCGGCCACATCTCAGGACGTCTGGCTCAGTTTTCAATACTTCGTTCCCAATTTGCAAGATTACAACACTATACAGGAACTGTCCAGGTTTCATCAACTATAACTTAAAGGAAATTGTCACTTATGAGGCCGAGGGGATCCGCTTTATTCCGTAGCTCCTCAAAACTTGTTCTGAGGGACTCGTCGTGAGCATCATGAAGACCGTCGACAGGCTTCTTTGCCCCTCGAGTCAATTCACCAGCAGAATTGAGGTTTCATTCTACGCCATTGTCACAAATGGAGTGTGAAGAACATATTTAAAGGGGGATTTTATTTCAAAACTATGTTGTTGGTTTCTACTGAATGAGGAGATAACTATTCCTTACAGCTGTTTTCTCCGCGCACTGTTCTAACTTACTTGCGGTGACACCGCGGCATCGCAAAAAAGGATAGCTGTATTTTGAAATTTTTGATTTTTGTTTATTAGGCTACCAATCAAGGTATTTGAACTCGCTCACTTTTTTTGCTTCTAAATGGGGTTTACTGGATGCCACCGTTTTGATAGAACGGACGGTAGCTAAACGGCCGTTCTGCTGACGGGTCCGTGCGTTGTTTCTTGGGCGTGGGAAGTCACGCCCCAATTCGAACATGCGAATGATACGATCGGGGTCGACAGGGATTCCCAGGGCAAGAACGAAATCAGGTACCGACAGGAGCAGGTGCACTCGCTCCGAAGCTGAGAACAGAGGAATGCGTGGAAGGTGCGCGGATAAATCTCAATTGCTTCCAATTGCAACTTGACTAGCGACTATGCCCTGGAGTCAGGGCAACACCTATTTGCATCTTAACACCCCGACTGATCCTCTCTCACTGCTACGAAGAGAGATTCTAAATTGTTCTGTCAAGCAAGAAGAAATCGACAACTAGCCAGCAGCATGGCAGTTTCCGAAACGCAGAATACGTGCATGCTCAGTTCTGTGTTACGTACGCTACCTTGATTACTTGAGGTAGCAAACAGTCGCTCAATGGTGAGGCTCCATTTCACCGAGTACCTAACAGGTGGTAGCGTCGCGTCGCGTCGGCTGGCCAGGTCGTCGTGGTTCTGTTCCGATTGCGAATTACGATGCCGGGGCCCCCAAGTTGGGTTCCAACACGCCGCACTCTAAGCTCTGCTGGCCGACCAGTCTGCTCTGGCTCTGGCTCTGAATCTGGCACTGGCTCTCTCTGGCACGGTTGCCCCGGGGCATCCGCTGCAGCGGACATCTGAGTTCAGGCCCGATAACCAGCCTCGATGGTGCATAGCCGGCAACTGTGGTGTTTCTAGTTGGAGGTTCCGCCTCTTTCCAGCGTCCGTGTTGGGACGGGCTAAGGTCACTATCTGGCCGCCGATATGCGGCCTCCCCACCAGCCTCAATTTCTGCGCCTCACTCGCAGAGCACGGTCTTGGCAAGTGAAAGTCGGCGGCGGACGCTGACAAGATGCGCAACTCATCTTAGATTTCTAAAGCTGTCTATTCCACTGGGAGCGTGAACGTGCGCGGGAAACCCCCAAGCACGGTTGTGGTGCCTGCCTACCGGGTGTACGAACCCCAGGCGCAGAGCTGCTTGATTGCGGCTCTTGTTCGTCATTTTGGTCTTGCACTTGCCCTTCTTGGTCGAGTTCTACATGGAAAACCACCTGCGCCCCGAAAGGGTTCGTACTCCCCAATGTGGTTAATCACATGGTGTCGACAGTAGGCAACGGTGCGACGCTAAAGGGATTCCGGACTCCATTTCGCGTTGCCCCGTTGCGTTGTTCTCGTGTACCGGGCCCGCCCTAGGTTCCAGGTTGTTTCCAGGCGCTTGAATTCAGTTCTATCTTGCTCTGCTTCGCCTCCCGTCCGAGCTTAACTGCCAAAAAAAGAAAACAAGGGGAAAGAATCAGTGTCTTTTACCCATCACTACCTACTCCAGACTTGTTAGTGGGGCCTGTGGCTCGCTATCATGGCAGCGAGTTAGCAACTGAGCGAGGCGTCTCCGCAGGTTCTTGCTCGAGTGACTAACCCCCAGGGCGCTGCCTTCATGGCAATACCAGGGGGTTCTGGGTTTCGTGGGTTCTACGCGGCCAGCAAACAGAGCCCGCATGCCGTCACAAAGGGTGATCGATCCCGCCTTCCCTTCGGATGACCGCCTCTCGTGGCCGAGATGAACCCCAGCACTACCACGGCACAAACCATTGCCAGCCATGGCACGGTGCAGAAGGGGCAGGCGGGCTGGCGCTCTCTTTTCTCCCACACCCGTTTCTGATGGCTGGCAGGGGCCCTAGAGTTGACTCTGCTTGCTCGCACTGTTGGAGAGCCGTTCGTCGTCGGGGAACATGCAGGGTAGCTAAGGTAGACACGCGCATGGCCGCTTGTTGCTTGCCTGCCCGAAAGTACCCCGGCCCGCCAGACATCCATACAGCTAACCCGAACCTCTTTGCTGCGTGCTGTGCTTCTCCCACAGTGTCTAACGGCCGGCCGTGGTTGCGTCCATGTATGTACCGGGACAGCCAGAGATACATCTGTCTACCCGGGACACCAAAGACCGCATTATCCCGCTCCCAAACAAAAATACGCTCGGCGATATCCCACCACTATGGACCAACAGCTTCATCACCACCAGTCTCTGCCACATTCGTGAGTGCCTTGGCCACTACCAACAGACATCTCTGCGAGTCACATCCAAAGAAGCACACCGAGTCCATTGACTGGCCTCGGGAAGCCCCTCCCACGCAGAGGTTGGACTACGGATACTACTCGCCCGGATTCTTAGGCACACCATCCTTCGCCATCAAAGTCACCTCCATTCAGGTCACTGCATCTCATCTTATGTTTGAACGGCTAGCAGCAAACTTATATAAAGGGTGCCTTCGAACCTGTCCAAGTGTTTTGTCTTCAGCTTCAACTGCCTCATCACAATTCCCCATCTACCCAGCTTCCTTCTGCCACAAAAGACTTTCAGACTTCATCAACTCACTCCTCGCGCCAAATTCCGCAAGCTACAAGCTTTCAACAGCCTCAAAATGTGCCAAATCTGGATCATCTCCTTCACGGACTGCCATCACAGCAGTGAGCGTTATGCAGAATGTGCTCAGCAGAGAGCTTCGCCAACTCTCACCTGTCCCCTTGGCACCCCACGCGTTCTCTATCACCAAGAAGAAGGTAGCTGCGGCTGCGGAGGACGCAGGACACGGAGACGCCATCTTTGAGCTGTGTATGTCTGGTCACGACAACACGACCAAACGTTGCCTTGTTAACAATACTACGCAGATCTCGTACTCTTTTCTGGACCTTGTTAGGGACTCAGGATCACACAGAGGTTCCCTGGGGCAAGCGAATAACTCGACTGAATACCGCAAGCCCTGACAAACTACCTACCAGTCGTGTTTTCTTAGCCCTCAGTCTTCATTTCACAAACAGCGCCTAAGGGGGCAAGGGGTTATGGTAAAGGCCATTGTAACTTGTTATGGGGAGTCGGTCTGGCATTGGTTTCTCCTTCTTGACTGGTCGAGGGAAGGAATAATCGGTTTCTGACTTGATTACCCGGGGGTAGGAGGTGGTGGTTCTATCTATTATCTTCTTCTTCTAAGTACCTAGCCTTTTCCATACATAGACGATAATACACACACATGTTCGCCTATATCCCTGGTCTCTCTCCGACTGCCAAATGGGCAGTGGCAGATATGTTCAATGCTCAGCTACGCCATTCTCTTGTAAATGAATTTAGGCACGGCCCGCAAGGGCACCCGGGGGGGGGGGGGGAAGAGAGAGGGCGGGGGCCGGGGGGGCCGGAAGCGGTAGGGGGGAGGCCAAGCCCCATCTACTACCACATCTTGTCCAAGGACGACCCGCTTCGTAGAAAAATCTTGTGTTCTCTCCGTTACACTGGCTGGTTGGAAACTCCTACCCATTGCGGAAACTAGATAACTGCCAGCGGCGGGTAGGGTAGACTGATCGCCGACTGCCTGCCTGGCTGTGTAGATGCGATGCACATATTTGCGAAATAAGATAGGGGGATGGTGGGCATCTTGAGATTGCCAGACTACGGGTTTTGATGGGTACATAGGCATCTAGCAAATTTATACCATATTTCTTTCATTCTTTTGTGTATGTGTATGTCTGAAGGGATCATTGCTAAGAGCCAAGGCAGTAGCAGTACGTGGTAGAAGCAGAGACTTGTGGCGTCAAGGCAAGGCAGCTAGGTTAGTCGAAATACAACCCAAAGTCACTTTATCTATAAGGTAGGTAACGTCCAGAACAAGATTTGATGCTCCACCCCGGAGAGTCTGAAACGACAGGAGCTAGGCATTTTTCTTTTATTTTCTTTGCATATATTCCAATATCAAAGCAAGTCAAAATAAAAACGTATTTCTTCTTTTCAGACCCCGGACTACGTGCATTTGTGTCGGTGAGATGGCCGGGCCGAGTCGTGGCTCCCGCGGGTATGTCATCCAATTGCTGGTATGATGGCATACTACGTATACATACGCCCTTGAAAAGACAGGACGGCATGGACAGGAAAAGAACCTACGAGGAACTAGACTTTGATTGACTCAAACAAAAGGTCCTCATAGAGATAGGAAGAGAGTGAGATAAAGGAAGCGAGAATAGAAGATGGGCCTGCATGCGTGGTGTGTGTGTTACCAAAAGGGTCAGGTTTGGGCTGTTGAGGTTGCCGTTCGGCTCTCCGTGTGTTTTGGGGTCACGCCGGTGAAGCCGCAGAGCCAAAAAGGGCGTGGGATTGAGGCATGAAAGCCGCCTTGGGTTCTTAATGCGGTGCCCTCTCTCTCCACTTACCCGCATCTCTCTCAACATGCGGCATTCTGCATACGCGGAGCGGGAGCGGATGTAAAATCGGAGAATTTCAGATTTCTGTCCAAAGGTGTAACAAACGTTGGTTGTTTTGATCGGGCGGTGACGTCCAATGTCTCTCAGCGTTGTTGACAGCTGCCGCTTACCGCCGTATGGGCTTTTTCTTTTCACTCGAGTTGCACAACGGCTCGTGTGGCTACGGCGTTTGTTTTTTCTGGCAACGATATCGAGTAATGGAAACTCTTTTCCAACAGCACGCACGGCATGAACGCGTAAACAGGGGGCGCTTTGGCGATTGGGGGTGAAAAACGGCAGCCTTGCGTCGTTGTTGAAGTGCTTTGGAGGTCGAGGCTCTGTCTGTGGATTTTGTTTTCTGCCAGTTTACCAAACCGACTGAAATTCTGTGCGTTGCACATCCCACGCGGCTGCATCGGCATCGGCATGCGGGCGCAGCTGTGTAAAATCATGTGTTTGACCATGCGCTGCCGAGCATCGCTTCTGCCATACATCTATGGAGGGGTGGGTGTACGAAGTATTTCCTGACGAGAACGGGGCATGTATGTACAGTACTTCACAGTGAGGGAAGCGTAGGAGTGTGTGGGGGAAAGCCTGAAATCCACTGGAATTGGAAAGCTGGGCCAAGCACTTAACGGGCCAACAGCCAGCGCGGCGGCAATCACGGCTCTTCTCTTTCTCCTACCACTCAAAGCCGTAGACTCTCGCCGTGCGGCGACTGGTATTCCCTTGGTAGGCGTGGAGGGAAAGAGAGGAAGACGGTCGGTGTGACTCCTGACTGTGCCACTCCCCTCTGCGCATTTCTGCGGCAGAATGAGTGATGTGGCAATGGACTGCTCATCTGCTGTCATATGGCGAGACTGCGAATAGAAACAGGACTGGACGTGGAACTGGAAAAACACTAGGGCGGGCAAGACGGCCAACTGATGTGACGGACAAAACTTGCTGGAACAACTGAGAGATGAATGGATGGAGGTAAGGGGGGATCGCAAAATCGGAATTGGGAGCTCGACTCTGTAGAATCCGACCGTAGGAAATTGTCTGAGTGTGTATGAGCAGCAATGGATGGCAGAACCCGGAGACAGTGCGGCTCCGGGGGAGCGGCACCCAATGGCGCGGGCGTACGCCGAATTAGGCGGCGGCATTCGCAGATGCCGTCATTAACTGGTAATCCTTTTGCAGTCTGCATCGGGGGTAGTGCGAGAAACACTGTCCGCCTCGGTTACTAATCGTGGGCCCTTCTCCTGCCGCCCTCACCGCCCTCACCGCTCTCACCGCCCGCTTTAGCGCGGCAAACCTTCGAATTACGTGCAGCTTTCGGCAAGCGCCTGAAGTAGCACCTTCTAGGTTCTTGCTTACTACTTCTCTAGGCAGGTAGTACCAGCTATGTCGGCAGGTACGGGACGCCGATGACAGCAGCGACGGGCGAGGAAACCACAGCCCGGACAGGGCCTGCTTCAACATCAGGGAGTACTGGTACTCTGTACTTACCTCACCGTCTCACGTACTAATTAGAAGTCTGAGGCGGCAGGTAGGCAATCACCGACGCCGAGGAAGGCGCCTTCCCTGAGCTCATGCATCACATTATACTCTCATTTCGCCCAAAACACTGGTGCTCGTATGTCTTTCGTGCCTTATTCGCACAGCAGTTTGGACCTTCGTCCCTCATCAAACCCAAAGTGTCAAAGCCATTGCAACTCGGGCATGGCCAACGAATCAACCGTCCTCTCCCCTATTTCCCAAGGCCATTGCGTTCGAGTTGGTCAATTACCGTGCCCCCAGCTTCCCGGTCCACTTACCGAAGCGGTAGGAACCGGCCGAGGATGGGGTTCTTGAAACGGTTAGGCTAGCGGCATAAGAAATAGGAGTAAAATACGGGGCAACGATGGATACGGATAGGGTTGGGGCAGGCAAGGGCAAGGTTGGGATTTGGATAGGGATTTGGACTGGGGACGGGAATGTACCCAGCTACCTACGTATACATGAGCAAGCCAGAACAGACGGAAGCCGAGTACCTTTGATGTTGCCAGCCGGCAAAAAGGACATTGCAGTATTCCCAAGATCCGATGGCTGTCGGGACATCCCCCTCGCACACGACAACGCCCACCCTATCCCCAGAGCCCAATCCCGGGGCGCCCTTCAACTCACACGAGGCGATCAAGGGGGCATGAGGGGCCGGGCCGCTGTTTGTGGCCGCTGTTGGTTCTTGTTGACGTTTACTCCAGGCCGATTAGTGCCGAGTATTCCCTCAGCCATTCCCCCCCCCGTGCTAGAAATAGCCCCAGGGATCAGTCGCCATTGGCTGAACCGTTCCCTCGGGACGCTCGCCTTTCCCCATCGTCTTTGGTGGGATCGGGGGCCGGGGCTGGATTGGCTCGAATCGGATGGCAGCCCTGCTGTGCTGCTGCATTTCCACGCACCGGCGACAGCTTGCCTGGGCGGACCAAACAAGTCTTTCGAAACGGGTCGGCCAGGGTCAGAGCCAGGAGGTGCAGTAGGCTCTTCTTCACTACCTGCACTACATTAGGAGACAGGCTGCTTGCTGCCAAGGCCTTGGAGGGCTGACGGCGACAGTCCCGACACAACGGAACCAAATCATGAAACAGAAAACTCAACCCACCCACCCAGTCCGCCTTGCCAGTGACAACTGCTCTGCGGTAGTGCCGACGTACATACGTGTACCCGAGCGACACCTGGCGGGGAGCGTGATGGAAGAGGTGAGTCCGCGTTTCTGCACAAGATGCGCCTCTCGGTTTACATACACTAGCTTGTTTCTGGGCAATTATCTCATGGCACTGTTGACTGATTCCCTGATGCAGGCTGCTGGAGGTATCTTCTCTGGCTTTCCATAATATTGCAATTCAACGCGTGCTGCTCTGTCGCGTGTTTTGCTGGAAATAGGATTGGCGCCAAACTGCAAACCCCAAAGCCCCCTGCTTCACACGGGCTCGTTTCCCTCAACCCTGCAACCTCAAACCCGACAGTTTGGTTCTCAGCCCAGACGAGGCTTGCACTCGCAACCACGTATCTCTTTCCTCTTGAGAAAAGACTTGCTCTCGTTTCACAGCCAACCGTACACTCCAGTCTGTAAACTGGTTCATGTTTCACGAAACAAGCCATGTCAGATTTGGGGGCTAGCGCGGGAACAAGAGATGGACAGGTGTTCCGAGGCTCTCATCAACACTGGTGCTTTCAGGTTGTGGTTTGAAATCTCACCAGAGACAATGTTGCACTATGACGCCAACAAGGCAACACGAACTCAATAGCCGACTTTGAGCCCGACTGCCGCCACACCACGTGACACGACGTAACAATCCTGATTGTCGCCGCGCTAAGCAAAAACTGCATCTGGTACGACCGCAGAAATCTATCACATATCTCAACAGGGAGCAGCCGGTTGGGAAAGCTTGGAGTTTCGATCAGAAGTGCGTGTGTGGTGGGTGGTGCGGGCGCGTTCAGTTGCGCACCAAGATTTGGTCACTGGAACGCGCTGGTGTCAACTGTCAGTCACCGAACAGGGGAATAATCAGGGTGCTGAACCCCAACTTTGGTTTTCCCTAGTCTCTCTTGAAAAACACCCCAACTGCCCTGTATCTTCCCCAGTTCCCACCACCACAAAAAAAGAAAGAAAAAGCCCTTCCCCACTATTCCAAACTCACAGTCTCGTCACGGACATGTCCGGCTTCTGTTAGGCAGACGATCAGCTGCCATGCAACATTTCAGTATTTCTTTTTCTTTGCACATCCCCTATTCTGCTTTTGATCCTCCGTTCCAAACTGTCGGGTCCTACCTGCTGATCACCAGCATCTTATAGTCTAGACCGGGGCAGTGACTAACTCGTCACTCCACTCACTATACAGTACAACACTGACGGAAAAGCGGTAGGTGGCCGCTGGCGATGCGGCCACCGTGACAACGCCCAAGGGCTGAGTTTTCAAGTCGTTCACCGTCCATTGCCCGTCCGTTCCATTCTGTCGGGTCGCGTACGCTCGATTCATCCTGTCCTCTCAGTCCGTGTCCTCGTCGTGAGTAAAAACACTGGCTCAATTAATTGATTAAAATACAGAGAGACAGGGGAATCTCGAAAATACAGGGTAGCAAGTCGTAGCACCCGGCCTGCATCTACCACCCCAACCAGTTCACACTGCCTGGGCCCGCCAGTCCGGAACGCTTGCACCTCGCCCCCTTTCCCCCTACCTTAGCAAGTATGGAATCCGCTGTCTCGGGACCGGACCCGGGGAGGCGGAGGAGCAACTTGGGCAGAATTCCAAGTTCTACGCACAGCGGGGCGTGTGATTGGGCAATGGCTGCCTCGAGGTCACCAGTCGCTGCTTGCTCCCTCGAGAAAAAAAGAGCGGGACTTGGGATACTGGAACGCCTTGTTTCCTTCCCCCCTTTTCCCCCTCAAAATCTCCGTCTGTATAGTTTACAGCACGTAACACTTGAGGAGCACTCGGGGGCGGGTGTCAACGACCTGGCAGAAAGTCCGAGCCCCTTCTCACAGTCCTCGCCGTCCTCGCCGTTCTCGCCACTGTCCGATACTCTCTATCCAATGAGGATGAGTGACTAGCACGGCCAAGAAGCATTTTCAATTCGTAATCGATACACTCATTTTTATACCCACCAACGAGAACGTCAAGGCTTGCAGTTGGGGTTCCAAACCACCGGGACTGGGCAGTGTCGGGTCGTGAGCAAGGAGTCACATCAAACCTCGCTCGCCCGCTGCCTGTAGCAATATCCGCGTAAGTGTCGCGAAGTCTCTTGCCAGAAATACCTAGTTTTACACACCCTTCATACAACCTACATACGCAGGCAGCCAGGCAACCGGGAAACCAATAACAACAAACAAGACCTGCTGTGGTGTGATGCGAGCTTCCACGAATAGAATGATGGTCTAGCCTTGTTAATCTCTCTCTTCCCAACTCACCGCTAATCCCACCACAACACACATACGCACACATGCACACATACGCACCATAACACATGCACACAGAGCCGCATCGCTGTTCATGTGCCTTGGAATCGAAGCTCATTTGGTATCGGCAGTATTCTGTTTCTGTTCTGTTCTCTCTGCCTGTCCTATCTGTCTGTCCATCCGTCCCTCTATCTAGTTCCCCCCAGTGTCAACTGCTAACCAGGCATACAAAGATGGGGGGCTAAGAAAAAGACATTGCTGGACCAAGACTTCCTCTTTCTTTCTCGTTCTCTCGTTCTCTCCGTACATGCAAATCCCATGCTATGGCCCGTGGCCATATATGTGCGGCGGGCAATAATGTATTTCCTCTCCCAGTATTCTTTCTTTCTCCTGTCTCTCTCATGTTCCACCATTTGATCCGTGATAAGTAAGAGAGGACCATAAAAAACAACAACAATAAGAATAATAATATACAACCAGTACAATAGCAAGAAACCAAACTTTGACTTTGTGCGCGACATGAGTTGTGTAAATGAGGAAATAACGCAGAGCCCAAATTTTTAAAAAGAAAAAAGACAAGATAGAACCTCGTGAAGACAAGAAAAAAAAAACACAAAAAGGAAAAGGGGGAAAGGGGGAATGGGGGAAGGAAATCATTAACACAGGCCCGTTCGTTCGTTCGTTCGTCCGCCTCCTCTCTCTCTCTCTCTCTCTCTCTCTCTCTCTTAGTGTGCGAGATCATACCTTCCTTCCACCTTCCTGCCATTATGTATGGTATGGACGGATGGGCAGGAAGGCAAGGCACAGCAAGGCAAGGGAAGCAGTAGCCCAATCTTTTTCTTCGCCTTCCTTCTTTTCTCTTTCCTCATTCGAACTCTTGTTCCTTTTTCGTGCTCAATTTCTCTCATCTCATCTCCGACTTTGGATTCTAGACAGAGAGACAAGGACCTGAAAGAGAATCCCCTCGTGACTTGATTTTTCCTTTTTTTATCCTCTCCTCTCCTCTTCTCAGGATTTCCGACGCAAAAAGCATATGGGGGTATTTGAGGGGCCCGTCAAAAGCCCAAACAAGAACAGGGCAAAGGCTTGTAATGCGAGCAAGCAGAAGAAAAGAGAAGCAGCAACAAACACACCCTGCCACCTCTATCAACTGGAAAATTCTTTCAAATGCAAGTGCCATGCCATTATTTCCTCAAGACGGAAGCGAGGACACAAATAATATAAAAAAAAAGAATCGCACCAAACCCACCACAATTCTCTCCCCCCCAATGTCAAAAGACATTTTGTGTCCCTCAATGAAATGATGCTGCCAGCTAGCTACCCGGGTTTTCCTCAAGTCCAAACCAGTCCATCATGTTCCTCTCTAGCGGTCATATCCGCTGTTTTGGGGAGTTGGGTGAGCTGCAATTGCAGATTAGCATACGCTAAGCCCGCCAAAAATGAACGAATCAATTTACAATTGACCATTTAATCTCCCCCGCTGCCACGCGCCGGTGTTCTCAACGGGGAGAACGAAGGAGAAGTGGGCGAGTAGCCAGCCGGGCTAGTCGGGGACTGATGCTGTCCAGGCGAGCGATGCAGCGATGGGCTCGTCGGTGAATACGCGTCAGGCGATGTCGGCGACCAAGTTGGCGACGCGGGAGAGTACGAAGGAGACGTGGCACCAAGGAAGTTGGGCGACGCCGGGCTGTAGCTGTTCGGGCTCGTTGGAGAGTACGAAGGCGACGTCGGCGAAGCGAATTGCGCCGGCGAAGTCGGAGAATACGCTCTGGGCGAGACTGGGGAATAGCTCGGCGAAGTTGGGCTGTAGTTGGGGCTCGTAGGGCTTGTGGGGCGAATGTTGGGCGAGCTTGGGGAGAATGATGGTGAGGTTGGGGTGAACTGCGGGCTCGAGGCATATCGGCCAGTCGAATCCACAAGAGGGGACGTGGGCGAGTAGCGCATAGCCGGCGAAGACGGCGAGTAACTACCAGTGTAACTGCTGAATGGAGACGTCGGCGATGTAGAAAAGGGACTCGTGGGATGTGGGCTGGTCGCCGCGTAACTTGACACCGAGCCGGGCCCAAAGCCACCACCGTACTCGGTGTTGAAGCCGCTCGGGCTGTCGGATCCTGCGCCTTGGATGGGCGAGAAGTTGCCCATCGCGTTCGGCGAGTAGCTGCCGCCCAAGTAGCCGCTCTCAGCCATGGGCGAGCCCGTGTCGTAAGGCGTTGCTGAGCCCTCCAGTTGCGTTCCCTTGACGTTCATGCCGGGCATCAGACCCATACGTGAGTTATCCGAAATGACCGTCTCGAGCATCTTAGGGTCGGCAAGTACATCGAAATGGCCCGTACCCATGGGAGCCATCTGGCCGAGCATGACGTTCTCAGAGATACCGCGGCAGTCGTCCATCTCGCCCACGGCAGCAGCCTCGAGGAGAATCTCGACCGTCTCCTCGAAGGAACAACGCATCAGTGCGCCGGTATCAGAGCGGTTGATTCCGTGACGAGTCACGGCAGCGATACTGCCCCTGTAGGTCATGACGTCGACCAAGAGTGCTGTGTGGCGGTGGTTGACATACGAGCCGTCAAATGACAGAACGGCAGTCAGCTCGTTCAACAGGGCAGTCCGAGCACCCTCGATGCCAAGAACATCGACACTCTGCCACAAGTCGTTGGTATATGTGCGCTTGGTATCGACGCCTTCCATGGCCAGGACTTGAGCCAGCGCCGAGCCCTGCGTGTCAAGGAACCACTCTTCGCATGCTGGATTTTCCTTCTCCTTTACAAGGGAACCATCAGGGAGCTCAACGAGCTTGGTTTCCTTGCTCAAGAATGCACGCTCGATGCCTTTGATGCCGCGGAGGATGCAGCCGTCCAGAAGATGATTCTCGAGTCGCTTCAGCATGACGTCATCCTCAATGATCTTATTGCCATCCTCATCCTTGTCATCGTCCTGGCGAATGACTCGAACGCGGATGACCATCTCTTCGGCGTTATTGTCACTGAAAATGACTGCGACGTCTTTCTTGTACACATCCTTGATACGGTACGCAACATCCTCGACACGCAGACCCTTATCAAGCATCTTTCGCCGGTCGAGTGTGATTCTCAGAAGCCAGCGGGACTGATTCTCGACAGAATCTTGGTCAGACGAGTCGGGAATCAAGAAATACGACTCGACCATGTCAAAATCCTCGGTAATCGTCGTCGTCGTGATATCCGGGTCGTAGTATATTTCAGTAACCGCCGTGACGGAGCGGAGGGAGGTGTGCTCAACCATACTGCGAAGCCTCTTGGCCTCCTCCTGCGTCGCGTTCTCCGAGTCTAGGTAGACGTGCATCCCCGGAGTCTTGATGTCGTGAGCAACGTTGAGAATTTCCTTGAGACGAGGAACGCCGAGGGTGACGTTCTTGGAGGAGACACCGGCAAAATGGAACGTGTTCAACGTCATTTGCGTTGCCGGCTCTCCGATGGACTGGGCGGCCAGCACGCCAACCATCTCTCCGGCGTTGACCATTGCTCTGGCCCAGCGACTCTCGATCTCCCCGACAATGTGGTCAAAGGCAAGCTTGTTCAGCTTCTCGATGACAGCAATACGCTTGTAGGCCAACCGAGACCGCAGTTGCGCCTTGATCAGAATGGTGGCATTGTAGTCGGCCTCCTGTGTTAAGTGGTCATCCCCGCGAATGACGCTGATTCTATCAAGCAATAACTGAACTTTGGGGATGACGTCTTGGGGTTTCAGGTCGCTGCGTGTGCCTTCGTCGAACTTGAATAGCTCCCTCGCGCTGCGAACGATTCTTATTACGTTGAGCGGAAGTTGCATCATGTCTTCTCCAACGCGCGCCCAGTTGATCTCACGGATAAGAGTCCGGTCGGCGGACAACTGCTCCCACTCCTTGTCCAGCAACTCCTGGACCCCAGGGTCGTTCGAGATTTCCCTTCCGTACTCCAAAACTTCGAGAGCAGATGCCGATCGGGCCTCGTCCATCACATCCAGGCGATATAGGTTCTCGAAATCCTGGTGTGAAATGTTGATGAAGTCGACCTTCTGTTGCTCGATGGCGACACCGTCCAAGCCATCCTCACCGTAGATGAACTCAATGATGTCTCCAAGCGAGTTCCGCACGGTTCCGTCGTACTGGGCTTTTGCGTCCTCGAGAGCCTTGACTAGACGGCGCTGGATATAACCCGTCTCGGCTGTCTTGACCGCGGTATCAATCAGACCTTCACGACCAGCCATGGCGTGGAAGAAGAACTCGCTCGGCGTCAAGCCACGGAGATACGAGTTCTCAACGAAGCCTCGAGCTTCTGGCGAATAATCATCCTTGGTGAAATGGGGAAGGGTCCTGTATTTGAAGCCAAACGGAATACGCTTGCCCTCGACAATCTGCTGCCCGACCAAGGCTGTCATCTGGGAGATGTTGATGCTGGAGCCCTTGGAGCCGGAACGGGCCATGGTCACGGCATTGTTGATGTCCTTCAGACTCCCCTCAGTCGTGGTACCGGCGTTATCACGCGCCTTGTTGAGGGCGGCCGAGACCTTGTTCTCGAACGTCTCGCGAATGTTCATGCCCGGAAGCGCTTCAAGCTCATTATTAGTGGCTTTGCGTGTAAGGCTCTCGACTTCGTTCTTCTGAAAGATGATGGCGTCCTGAACAAGACCGCTGGTCTTTTCGTCGGGTATGGTGTCGCCAATGCCGATGCTATGGCCGTTATGAAGAAGCCAGTAGTTGACGACTCTCTGGCAACCATTGAGGAAATCCATGGCCCCCTTCGGACCTAGCTCGTTGAAGCACAGATGGACGATACCGCCGCTAGCGGGACCGACCGTCTTCTTCCCCGGCAATCCGTATATAATTTGACCCTGCTGAATCAAAACATCCGTGCCTTCCTCGAGAGGACACTCCACTTTCTTCGAGATGGTGATGTTGTTCGGAATGATCATGCTTGCAATTTGCTTGCCTGTCCAGCGCGGGCTAGGCTTGATAATGGCAGGCGTCGGGATAATGCCGTCCCATTCTGGTACCCAGAGCATGATGTTCATCATCTCCCGCTTGGAGACGAAGGTGTCACGGCGGCACAGCTTGTAGATACCCGCCAGGGTATCCTGAACAATACCCATGAGCGGCGAGTTTCGCTGCGGCGAGACAATGTTCAACGGCACCATGCAGAGCTCTCTGACCTCGGCACGGGTCTCCTCCGTCTGCGGCACGTGAAGATTCATCTCGTCACCGTCGAAATCAGCGTTGTACGGAGCCGTGACGGAAAGATTGAGCCTGAACGTCGAATATGGCATGACCTTGACACGATGACCCATCATGGACTCTTTATGGAGCGACGGTTGACGATTGAAGATAATATAATCGCCGTCGACCAGGTGGCGCTCTACCTTCCAGCCGTATTCAAGCTGGATTGCACCAGCACGTCGGTGGTGGCGAAGATCGATACGAGTGCCGTCAGCTCGAATGACATATTTGGCGCCCGGGTGCTCGTTGGGGCCGTTTTGGACGAGCTGCGTAAGCTTGCTAATATTGTACGGCGTCACGGTCTCGGGGTATGTCAGGGTTCGGGCAATGCTGCGAGGCACGCCAACTTCATCCAGCGAAATATTCGCGTCACCAGTAATAACAGTACGCGCAGAGAAGTCGACGCGCTTTCCCATAAGATTGCCACGAAGTCGTCCCTCCTTTCCCTTTAGACGGGCGCGGATCGCCTTTACGGGGCGACCGCTCTTCTGGAGGGCCTGGGGCTGACCAGCGATGTCGTTGTCCATGTATGTGGCTACGTGGTACTGAAGAAGGTTTTCGAAATCCGTAATGATGTGCTGAGGAGAACCCTCTGTCATGGCTTGCTTGACATTGCCGTTGGCGCGAATGATGTCGCCAAGCTTGTACGTCAAATCATCCTCGTTTCGCAGACCTGTGCCGGTTCCGTCCATGGAGATGCTAGGCCGCACCGGTGGCGGTGGCACAGGCAAGACTGTGATGATCATCCACTCGGGGCGCGCCTGTGTGATGTTGACGCCGATGTCGATCATGTCCCTCTCGGAGATGCGGCGGAGGATATTGAGCGCCATTTCAGGTGTGATGACTTTTTTCTCTTTGACCTTGTTTCCATCTTCATCCTTGGTGTCGAGCTGGGCCCAGAGCGTGAGAGCCAGCTGGCGGACGCTAGGCTGGTCGTTGCCGCAGCCACCGTGGGAGTTGATAGGGGTGTCCTCGGCAGGAGGCGGCGCAAACGAGTCCTCTTCGCCCTTTCGTACCTCATTCTCGCATAGCTTCTTCTTCTTGCAGATTTCCCAAACGCGCTGAAATCGGACCTTGGGGTCCCGAACCTTCATAGCATTTACAAATTGCGCGTCATTCTGCGAAGAAAAGGACGTTAGCTTGAGGAGGACAAGAGCCATCCAAAAGGATAGAGGAAGCACGAACCCTGTCTGACAACACCTTGCTACAGTTATGGCAGACGACCTCAAGGATCTTCTTGACGCGCTTAATGTAACCCGGGTGGTAGACGGGCCGGGCCAGCTCAATGTGCCCGAAATGGCCAGGGCACTCCGACATGTTCTCTGTGCAAGTCTTGCATTTGAACTGGCGGTCAACAGAACCGAGAAGCGGATCGTTGAGACCGCCATCGCGCGGTTTCGTTCTCGTCTCGTCCATTGTCTCGGGGTAGATGATGTGGCAGACGCTCATCGCCTTGATCTCCTCGGGCGACATGAGGCCGAACTGAATCTCCTCGATAGTCCGGAGAGGCGCGCTCGAGTGCGCAAAATAGAGGTTCGCCATCTTGACGGAATGTGGTGGTTTTGGCGAAAATGGGAAGAAGGAAAATAGGGAGCGTTGTGCTGGTTGCGGGTGCCGAAATGAAAGTGAGCGACCGGTGGAAAGTTAAAAGCGATCCTAAAACGACGCGGATGTCGCGACGAGGCGCGCGCGCGCGCAAACCAGGGCCAGCGTTGAAATCCTCAGACTCCCACTCGATTACGGTTCTCTGGCTCCGGCGGGATCGATGGAGCGATCGGCTCGTGATGGTTCTGGCGATGCCTGGTTGATAACAGTCGTCCTCCTCCGCTGCTGTCTAGGCCAGCGGCCCCGAAGGAGCGATGGTCCAATCTCTTGCCGCCTCCAGTGTCGCCGGAGTGCTGGAAATCGGCAGAATAGGCGATTATCGCGTGTCGTCACGCTCGAATGATTGTCGGACAGGTGCAGGCGACCCAAATCCGCTAGTTCTGACGCGCTTTGCAGACTTCGCGGATGCGATGTCGAGGGATGGTTTGGGAGGAAAGCAGGTGGCTTCGCCGGGGGTTGAAAAGTTCTACCGCTAGAGAGATGCGGGATCGAGGCGAGAAGTATGGCGCTAGGCTTGTTTCGGAGTCAGGCCCACTTTTTGCACAAAGAAATGGCGAATGGCGGGGCGCAGAAGGTAGGCAAGGTTCAGGAGGCAACTTTGTCGCGCCTTCCCCTCTCAGTGCACCCACGTAGGTTTTGCAGTATCGTCTCAGGTACTCTGTGCATACAGCGCACTACCTTAGGTACCTCCTTTACCCGCGATAGTCTTTGTCTGATGGGGGTCGTGACAGTCTTTTTTAGCGCGCTGGCCAGTGACTCAAGCGTGGCGGCCCTGCCCTCAGCCTTAGGCCTTATGTTTTAGACACAGATGCTGTTACACTCGCACAGTCACCTTTGGGCTAGCACGTCAGATGCCATGGTGGCTGAGGCGTGTGTTCTAATCAAGCGCCTTCCATCCTTCTTCTGGTGTGCTATTAATACATATCGTAGTGGAAAACTGATATCTCGCCTTCTTGATGTATGAAAGTTGTTAAGGGCTCCAGTAAAGACATTTACCAACCCAACACGGCGGGTCCCAAATCAGAAATTCAACCTTTTTCCGAAAGACAATTCTTTTTATGAATTTCTATAGTGTGGATGATGCCAATTAAATAATTAATCACCTCGGTACCCGTAGATGACTCTTAAACTTTGTGGTCCGACAACATCTCAAGTTTGTTGCTTGTTCCAACAAACAGCCTGTTGAAGTATATGAGTAACTAGAACCATGCACGCTCTCGATGCGAACCCCCCGTGGGTCCGCAGTTCTGAGGTCCCACTCCACTTTCGCTTTTTTGAGGGGTTCTTTTTAAACTTGGCTAGAGTAGAGGGGGTTATGACGTTAGGCGAGGTATAGAAAGAGGCGTCGTGGACGACTAAACGCCTGCCAGCCGCCCCTTATCGTTCCTGTTCCCACACATCGTATACGCGCCGTTCTACGGCAACGCGGAACACTCTAATGTGGTTACAGTTTTGATGCCCGTGTCCTAGTGACCTCTTACCTTGGGTATTTAGCCTTAGTCGCCCTCATAGGCCTAAAACAACCTCTACTGTTCGAGGTGATTTGTGGGGCTCTAGCCGGTTGGAATATGGAGTAGAACTAGGCAAGCCAGCGTTAACTGCATCATGCCTATGGATATAAGACACCTGAAAAAGAATGAGGTTGCCAAAAGGATTTCATTAACAGTTAAAAACAGGCCGCCTACCAAGGCACCTCGTTCTCGTTGTCCAGAAGCTAACGGAAGAGTAAATCGAGTTGAGGTGTGCCCCAACCTAGCGTTAGAGACTATTAGCTCAAAGTACTCTCGGCTCTAAGCACCACCGCTTTTCGCTATCGAGGATGATATTGTTAGTCAGGGCAGTTGCCGCACGGTCACATTAGCTATTGCTTGTAATGTCAAAAGCTCATAACGTCGCGTCTCGACGAAATCCCATAAGCTCACGCCTCAGCTTAGCCATAAGCTAAAACCATGTTCGCTGCCAGTGTGTTTCCAGATTTGCGCGGAGGGCCCCTTCTTACTTCATGATGCCCCTCCATATCTATCCGCCGCCCGCCTTTTCATGGGTATCTTAAACATGTCATCTCTTCTTTCCCCGGCCACGCCCAGCACCGGCCGCCTTCTTACCCGGAGCTTTGTCCTCGGCGGCGGCCTCAGCCTCATCCTGATCCCCGGGGCTCTTGCGCCGCAGCGTCCCGAGCGACACATTGACAAACTCCTCTTCACTGTCCGACTCGCCCAAGTTGAAGAGAATCGGCATCCGGAAGGCGCTTGCGTCGTCCTCCTCGTTGGGGAGGGCCAGGACGTCGATGGTCTCGTCCTCTTGGTCGAGCCTGCGCTTCTGGATCTCCTCGCGGGGGTGGATGTCGAACTCGTCCTCTTTTTCTATGTACTCGACATTCTCTTCGACCTCGACGAAGTCGGGGGCGAGGGCGGACCACCGCTGGGGAGTCGTGACGGACCAGATGTTAATTCTACCAGTCTCCAGCCCGCACGCGGCCAGCAGCGCCCTGTGGGGATGCCACTCGATAACACCTTGCTCCTCCTTGGGTCCCTCCAGCATGCGCACCAGACTGCCGTGCCTGCGCTCCCAGATGTAGAGTTCATGATTGTTATACGTCGACGCCGCCACATACTCGCCTGTAGCGCTGAAAGCCACGTGGTTCCACGACAGGCGGTTCACCACGTCCTGAAACTTGTGCTCGAGTGGTATCCGGATAGTATCGGGATCCATGTCGGCCGCTGATAGGTTCGGCACGTGAAAGGTCCTGATGATGCGATCCTGGGCATTGACGAGTAGCTCTTTGCCCGACTCGGTGAGGCGCAGTGTCGTGACAATACCGCTAGCAATCTTCTCCGAGTAGATTATCTCGCGAGTCCTGGCGTCGATGACGTTCAGCCTGCCCTTACTCGTGCCTGCCAGTAGATGATCGCCTGCCGCCGTGTAAACAATGGCTGTAGTCATGTGTCTAGCATCTTCCTTGGCCTGCTTCTCTTTGAGAGCTGCGTCTGTTTCTGTGTTGGCCCGCTTTTGTACCGAAGGGAGGACATACTTGACGTCTGCGGTGCCGGTGATGTCGACAAGCATTGGCTGCTCCTCGAACAGGGCCGCGACGAACTGATGACTGGGTGGCCTGTCAGCAAGATACTAGCATCAAGGGGGACATCTCTCTCCTTAAAGGGGGGGTGGAGGGGGTTTGCTTGTGGCATACTGGTTCCAAGGGTGAAGCTCGGCGCCGTAGACAGGAGCGCGGAACCGCACCTCGCGACACCTAGTCCCGTCCTGCAGGTCCCACAAGATAGCCTTCCAGCCCTGGCAGGCAGAGAGCAGATACCTGCCGCAACGTGACCAGCTGAGCGAGGTGATGTTCTTAGAATGACCTCTCAGCTTGCGCGCGACGCCCATCGTGTCCAGATCCCAGATGACGACGGTGCCATCGACGCGGCCCGAGGCGAGGTAGTCGCCCTTGCGATTGAAGCGCACGCATGTCGAGTGGCCGGACCGGATAGTATTGGTGATGTGCTCGGGATAGTCCTGAAGCAGGTAATCATCAGAGAGTAAGAGATTCATCTTGCGCCGCCGTCGAGCAGGGCATGAGGTAAAATAGAGCCTCTGCGCATCGCGAGCTCCGACACCTATGGACGCGCAGCGCGAATCAATCAAGAAAAGTTGGAGCTAGCGCTGCATAAAGTTCAAAAACGCCAGCTGTTTAGAAACCGGGCCCCGCCATCCCACCCGCCAAGGTTGGGGTTACAGCGGCAGATCTCCCGGGGCTATTACGCGCCAGGGCATTTAGTTGGAGAAAGGGACTTCAGGAAGGTACATGTTCCTTTGGTACCCAGGTGGGGTTGTTTGAGTCAGATCCATCCATCCATCTCGAAGTCACTTGCACTCGCAACCGGGCACAACAGACCTGGTCTAGACATAGGTATCTTGGTTAAAAAATAGCGCTGAGCGAACTCTGGGTCGATCAAGGAAGACGAATACCGACCAGGCGTGCTGGGACTGAGATTTTTCAAGGTTTGCCGCTTAGTTCTCGACACCAGGGCAGTTACTCTTGCATCATGGCCAACTCAAAGTGAGAAAGGGTCCAGAGAGCATCTCCATCTTGCGGGCTTCGGCGCTGATTGTTTTTAGATACGAATATGTCAAGCTGTTCGAGCAGCCCGACCAGCTGCTTCCCAATACCTGGGTCGTGGTTCGGATCGATGGCCGCGGCTTTACCAAGTACCGTCTTCCCCTGTCCATCTATTATCTCTCTGGTTATACCCGGAAAACCCACCTGGACATCAAATTCATGGTTTTGGAGCAGATTCGCAAACAAGTACAACTTCGAGAAGCCCAACGACAAGCGGGCTCTGGATCTCATGAACGCTGCTGCGAGGCAGGTTCTGATTGAACTGCCCGACATTACCATCGCATATGGCGTGAGTGACGAGTACAGGTATGCTCCCTCTCTCATCTTTTGCATTTTAGTATAGCAAACTAACACAGTCTCTCTCTCAACGCCAGCTTCGTTCTCCACAAAACATGCACCCTCTTTGAGCGTCGCGCAAGGTTAGTGGTACCCTGTCCTGTAGACGACAATCTCTTCGCATGATAAAGTGCTTATAACTAACATGTCTCGTGTAGCAAGCTGGTCTCGACTGTCGTGTCGACCTTCACGGCATACTACATCTTCCTCTGGTCGACGTACTTTCCCGAGACGCCCCTCACAGCGCCCCTGCCCAGCTTTGACAGCCGAGCCGTGTGCTATCCCAGCCTGCAGAACCTGCGAGACTATATGAGCTGGCGTCAAGTTGACTGTGAGCCTGCGCATGCCCCCTTATCTCTGTTCGATATTTGCTGACATGCCAACTTCAGGCCATATCAACAATCTGTACAACACCACGTTCTGGGCCCTCATCCAGCTCGGGGGCATGAGTTCCACCGAGGCAGGGGAAAAGCTCAGCGTCAGTCTCCGCAGCAATGGCAATGGATAAGCCAACACTCTCAAACATGCGAGATAATTTCTGACAAATATCCTACAGGGCACATTCTCGAAAGACAAGAACGAGCTGCTCTACTCACAGTTTAGCATCAACTACAACAACGAGCCCGAGATATACAAGAAAGGCAGCGTGGTATCTAGAGACGTAAGTTATTAATCCCTCCTCTGTCTGCCCTCCCATCTACTATTCAGTTGTACTTGTCACATTGCAAATAAAGGGGGGGGCGGGAAATGTTGATTATATGTGTGTGATTTATATACAGTACGAGCTCGTGGAACCAGGAACCCACAACACGGCGAGCGAGGGCGAGAGCATGGCCGAGCTGGCCGCGCAGCCGCAATCCAAGACGCAGGCCGAGAACGACGGGAAGAGACGGACAAAGGCGCGGGTCGTGATCGAGCACCTCGACATCATTAGAGACGACTTCTGGGACAGGCGGCCCTGGCTGCTATCCAACAAGCCCGGCAAGATCCCCAAGGAGCCATGACGGGGGTGCGTGGTGGTGGGTGCGAGAGAGAACTAGGTTTGTGGCGCGCGACAAATGCCGCCACCGTTTCGCTGCGGAAGTGCGTGGTTGAGTTATGATCCTGCCGCAGTCGCGTTGGGTTGTTAGGTCTTCGTTCTCTTGGTCTATCTTTCTCTCATTCGGGAGACGATATCCTCATGGTGGATGCGCTCAGGACGAGATAGCAAGAGAGCAAGGCAGCTTCAAGGGTATACCATGCCAACTGGATTCCGAAGCTAAGGGATGTTCTGCTCCAGCTGGCGGTCTGCGGACGACGCCGAGAAATTCAATCTCCCCAAAGCGAGCAGCTTTCAGTCTTGTGCATGTCCGCGCGTGCGCTTCTGTGTGTTGTGCTCGTTCAACCCTGGTCGGCTTTGCGCAGGCTCTTCTCCGCGCGCCTCTTCCTCCTGGCTTCTTTGCGAGCTCTACGCTCCGCTCTCCTGGCGCGTCGCTCTTCCTTTGTCTCGCTGCCAGCGGTGGCCCGGGTTCTCCTCCTCTCCTCCTTGGCAGCAGCCCGCTTGGCGGCTTTCAGCTTTGCCTCGGCTTTCGCAGCATTTTCGGCTTTGCGCTGCCACCTGGCCTCTCTGCGGGTGCGCCTCTCTTCCTTTGTCTCCTTCGTCCTCTTCGGCTTGTCCTTGTTGGCCTCGTGCTCGTCGGCCGTTTCCGGCGGTGTCACTAGCACCACGGTGCCCTCGAGCTTCTCACCGCGCACAAACGAGGAGTACAGGCCCCCGGCGCCCGTGTACTTACCGCCGGTGCCGCCGCTGGTGGCTGCCACCATGTCCAGCCTCCCCTCGGTCACCGACTGCACGACGCCGCCGGACTTGCTCGTCGTGTCCAGGCCCTTGAGCTTCTCGTCAAAGGCGGCCAGCCACCACTGATCGCTCGTGTAGTGCGGCTTCTGGCCGACGCCGCGCCCGTCCTTGTTGCCCGACAGCAGCAGCGGCTTCGCCAGCCCGATGTCGTTGTCGGTCGGGTGCAGCGAGAAGCCCTTGCCCCGCCACCCCTGCGACTTGAGCAGCGCCGCCGCGTCCATGGCTCAGTGTGCGTTGTGGATGTGTGCCCGTCACTAGGGGTTATTGCCGAATCAAGAGGAGCTGCGCTGGTGGCGGTGTCATGAGACCTTTTGAAAAACTGGCTTGAGATGGAATATTTTTTTGTCCGTCTTTTTTGCTGCCACTGAAGCCGACAATTTTTTGGTGGAGAATGTTGGCAAACAGACCCTTAGCTGGCGGGTGGGGGGTTGAAGAATCCCTGTCACTGTTGGAAGCCCTTGCAGGTTCCTGCAGGTTGGCTAACTTACATAAGCTCCGTATTAACTTCAACCTAATTCTCAAGATGCATAGACAGGAAGGTGCCAATGGAACACCGGAACCTTTAAATTGGTTATTAGAGTTTTAGCACTTTTTTCCAGCTTGGCAACAAAGGGCGACGTAATCTTCCTTTTCTTCTTCTTTTCTACTTCAATTGTTAGACTCCCGGAAGATTGTTCTCAATGTCTTGGCGTGATTTCTACAAACCATCCGGTTCCAAGTTGCTAGTGACTTGTATCAAAAAATAGAGAAGTGGCAGTTTCCATCGTCTTATTTATCTTTACTACTTCCTACGGAGTATTAGGCATCCAAAAATGAAACACTGACGTTCAGATGTCGACATCCTCTGGGGGAACCGGTGGCATCCCCCTCCACCACGACCCCAGATCGCCTCTGAGGATTCTGATCAAGTCCCTAAACGAGGCCCAGTCGAGATGGTATCGAGGCGGCAGCCAGATCTGCCCGGGCGCGTTGGAATCCCAGCGTGTTAACATGCCAATCAGGTCGACAATGGTGTTCCGCGTCGCATATGCGAACCACCACGCCACCTTGGATAGGGCGACGGACAGCGATGTGATGCTGATGAGCACCCCGAGCGTCCAGACCACTATCTTCTTCAGGATCCACCTGCCCAGGGCCGCCATGAAGTACTCGACCGTGTTCCGGAAAGCCAGGAACGCTCCGCCAAAGTACGACGCCAGGCCATCGAGGATCAGCCAGACAACTACGGCCAACGCCAGCTGCCGCAGGAACTGCTGCTGCCGCCAAGAGACCACCCAACGCCTGTGCCTTATCCACTCCTCAAGTGTCGGGTGCCCCTCAGCGTCCTCACCCTCCGAGTTTATCTCACCCTCGTAGTACACGACCTGCGCCTTGAGGATAGACGTGATGGTCTCGCCCTCGTCATAACCCATAGGGATCCACCCGTCCGGATCCGCCTCGGGGCTCTGCTTCGCCGTGTACCGCTTCAGCATCGGCCACAGCACGATCTGCACCTTGCCCATCCGTGACGGCGGGTTGAAGTAGTCCCGCCCATCGCCGGCGAAATCTCTTGTTACCACTCCCGCCCCCTCCAGACGCGAGCCGGGTACCCGGATCCGGCTCTGGACTTGCGTCTTGACCATATTCCAGATTCTGTCAGTTCCGGCGATGACGTTGTTTACGAGACCAGGTAGACCTCCCCTCTCGCCGGCTTGCCGCAGTTGCCGTTGCCGTTGCCGTTGCCGTTGCAGCCGCTGCTCCTGTAGCTGTTGTTGCTGCTGCCGATCCTGCCTGTCTTTTCTCCACTTTCTCTCGGCCCTTCTTCCCAGCCGGTCCGCCACCGCCCGTGACATCTTATAGATTGTATCGTCCACGTGTTGCTGGTCCGAGCCCCACGCCTCGCCGGGCACAGGCGACGAGAAGCGGAAGATGTTTGGCGACCAGCGGATGCCTATGGACAGGAAACCCGCTACGGCCACGATGCTGTGGATGTCTTGGTGAATTCTGCGCAGCGATTGCCGCCGGCTGGCCTCGAAGTTGACATCCATGAGGCGCACCGCCGGTAGCAGAAGTTTCGTCAGCTGCATCGACACCCAGTCGACCTGATTCCAGAATAGGGGCGGTAGCGTTTCGCCCGCGAGCAGGGCACGCACCGAACGGGAACGTAGCTCAGTACGCTTGTAGCCTATGTGCGCTTATTAGAACATGCTTATGTAAAAGAAGCCAGAAAAGGGTAAGGTCCGGACTCACCTTCCAGGTAAAGGGTGCCCTCGTCCTCTGCCTGGAGCATCACCACCTGCTTCAGGTCCGCCCCGAACATCAGCTCGCCAAACACGCTCATCTCGAGCGCCTTGCCTAGGATTCCCGTGATAAGGTACTTGCGGTGCAGGCGCGACGCAAGCAGTTCGTCCCAGCCGCCCACGTGGTTATCTTGGCACGCAACTAGCGAGGCGTAGTACCGGAACTGCGGCGAGAAGTTGAGCCAGATCCCCTCCCTATTCTCGCCGGAGATGTCGTCGTAGTTGAAATAGGCCTTGACAAGGTCTTCCACCCGCACGTACAGGTGTATGTACAGGTACTCGAACCACTCGGTCGGCTCCTCGTCCTTGTGCCACTCCCTCTCAAGTCCCAGCCGCGTCGGGTGCCACCACTCCCCTTTCCCTCGCTGGCTCCAGTCGCTACGCAGCTCGGCTAGGGTGCGCCACCCGCGCTGGCGTGTCCAGTCCAGTATCCAGAGCTCTGCGCGCTGCGCAACATTCTCTCCTGTGCCGCCGAACCGTCTAGGCCCCGGCTGCAACGGGCATTCTTCTATGCCCAGCATCTCGTGCTTGGCTTGGCGCAGGATGTCCAAAGGCGCCACCTCGTAGTCGCCCCCAGGCGGCAGCCACGTCTCAACTTGCCTCCGGCGCTCAAGACGCCTTTCCCTCTGGCGGTAGTAGCCATTGCCCTCCTCCCCGCTCTCGTCATCCTCATCTTGGGTTCCCACCTCATCCGCGGTCTTGCCCCGAGATGACCATCGGCCGGGCATTGGGGGACGGCTGCGGCTGAAACTTGGATCGCCGCCCCGGAGATAGACGTTGCTGCTGTCGTCGCCCATGTTGTCGGCTGAAAGATTCTTTGCTGCCTCCGTCTACTATACTGAGCTCCTAGCTTCAGCAGCGGAAAGTTGTTGAGATTGCTATGCTTGTGAGAACAAGGAGCCGATGACACAGCTGTGGCCCTCCCTTCTCTCGTGAATGAGCGAGAACTGGGACTGCATACAGCGGTGCGATAGATATCCTGAACTAGCTCGGCCGTCAAAGAGAACCATTCCGCCCCTTTCTCCAAAAGCAGAAAGTGGTGTAGACGATTGCGGCCACACAATAAAACGGCATCCATCCTCGGCGGCTATACCCTCGTACCTCGTAAAATAAAGGGGCCCAGTCATCAGACCGTGGCCGTCGTGAGAACAAAGAGGCAGGCATATACCGAAGCAGCTCTGCATAGCTGGCACGCAAAGTTCGAACCGTGGTCCGGTTGCAGCGAGCTCTCCATCCCTCTGTGCATACTCTGGGTATTTTGACAAAGACACTGCAATCAATACATTGCCCAAACGCAACAATTTTCTTTTTTTCCCTCGGCGACTGGAACGTCACTTCCCGACCCAAAACCAAAACCAGGAACTAACCCAGACTCGGCAGGGCCATAACCATGTGAAAAAGTAATAAGCCAGAACAAACAAGCAACCACAGCAAAGAAAGAAATGACACGGAAAAAGGAGATCACACAACGCAGCGGCCTACCAATCTAGCCGTCTGTCCATCTGCCCTCTCCTTGCTCCCTTCCGAGAGGAGAGACTACAGTAGTACATACAACGGCTACGACCCCCTAGGCTAGGACAGAGATGCATGCGTGCGTGCGTGCGTGCCCAAGGACAGACACGACCCTACGCACGATACGGAGATAGACAGATAAATAGGTAAGGAATTTTACCTTGGACATTCCCCAGACCACACCCGTCCACTAAAACAACGTGACTTGGCTGTATTGTGTGGTGGTTAGAGAGGCCCAAAGAACTCTTCGTAAATACCTAAGCAGGTACGCAGGTAGGTAGGTAGATATCAACCGGACCAGCTTCAACCTTTTTGTCAATTAACCCAGCACAAATTTTGTCTTGCTTAATATTGCATTGGGCGCCAGACAAGAGCCTGGGATTCAGAATAAAGTAAAACAAGAGAAGGGAAAAAAAGAGGAAATCCCGCATTTACAACCAACCTTCCTACCCACCCACACCCCAAAGATAGACAATAGCGCCCCTTGCGCACAACTCCCTGGCAGGTAAAATAAAAACAGACACCAGAACGGCACCCCCAGATGCGAAGTCCTTTACCTATCCGCCGCTCCAACAAATTCCTTACCTCTCTTTCTTGATCCCAGGCAAAAGCAATCTACGCACACATAGCCGAAATGTGCTCTTTTTCTCATTCTCTTTTGCTCTTAGTAAGGCTTTGACATAAAGGCGTTGATGGTAATCTTCTCGATCTCGCACTCTGCGCCGTTGGGCAGCTTATGGCCCCGCGGGAGAGCGGCGATCAGCGTGACGACAATCAGGTTGGTGCCGGGCTGCAAAGCGAGGTCGAAGACCATGGCGGTCGGGGGCAGCGGGTCGTCGGGGATGGGCAGCGGCGTCGCTCGCCCCACGGTCTGGTTGTTGATGGTGACAAACAACTTGTACGGCCGCTGCTGCTGCTCGAGCGGTGCGAGCCGGGGGATCAGTTGCAACCTGCTGTGATTCCCCGGGATGTGCACCGCAATGTTCTGCTGCGCAATCTTGGGATGTGCGGGGATTTCAAGGCGGAACCTCCGCTCGAGCGGGATGCTCGGATGAGTCCGGAGCAAGAGGCTCGGTATGAGAGCATCCGCAAGACCTGCATACACATGACGTTAATAACTGCTTCTTGCGCTCATGATGTGGGTTAACATGGAAACAATCAGGGGGACTTGCCCCGACCTGGAGCACGGATTCTGCTGTCATACAGGGGCGGTGGAGGAGGGGGCGCCGCAACAGGAGGTGGGTGGCCATTCATCTGTACAACGGCTGCATGTCCATTTGTCATGTTGGTGGGCATCGGTACAGCGCCATTTGAGCGTGGGATCGCAACCGGCAATTGCTGAAGAACGCCTTCGTGTTTGAACCCCGGAACTGACGGGCTTGGGGAGGGGCCAGCGGCCGACAGGCTCGCCGCCTTGTCGGGCTGCCCAGCAAGTAATCCGGGAGTGGGCACTGTCGCCGGAGGCGGAGCCCGACCGTCCACGGCTCCATCAGGGCGGCTCGAGTCGTTCGACTGAGTTGGGGGCGCTGGAGAAGGAGCAGCACTTCCTCTAGAGCCGCCAACGTGGATTGTGATCTTCTTGGGAGCCACAACCGGAGTCTCGGAGCCTGAGGGCATCTTGAGCTTGATTTTCGGTTGCGGGGGCTCTTGCACCGCCGCCTTTGCCGCCTTCACCTCTTTCTCGAAGCAATCCTATTGTCCACGACGGTTAGTTGGCATCTACGAGGCAGAGAAGACAAACGACTACCATACCTTTAGTTCAGTCGCCAGATTGTAAATGGCACTGCCTTCCTCGTTGAAGTAGTGGGCGTTGGTCCAGAGAAGACTGACCTTCTCCTCAAACGCTGCCCAGCCTTTGAAGTCGCTGACCCCAGTCGCTGCCTGTCGACCGTGAATTCCTTTCACTAGCTTCTGTAGGCCTTTCAGCGAAAGCGGCGACGTGATGACGGCGAAATAGTCCTTATAATTACGCGACGGTAAGTGGACAAATTCCCTGAAGTATTGGTCGCTATTTGAAGTCAGCTCAGCCCGTGTGAAATATTAGGAGGGGGGGTAGGAGCTAAGAAACTTACTCTTCGTCTGGCTTGCGAATCAGCTCCTCGACAATCTTTTCCTGGGCTTGTTGGAAGTTGAGATTCTTGTAGGGCACGCCCTCGTACTCGTGGTCGGCTTTGACTCTGCTGTTCCTATCCTTCCGTCTGCCAGACGATTGTGTTGCTCCGCCTCTGGCAGGTCTGCCGGGCCCTCGCTTGAGGATGATCTTTCTTCGGGTTCCGTCGTTGTCCTCTTCATCTTCGTCATCGTCATCCTCTTCTTCCTCCTCTTCGTCCTCGTCGCCCTCCTCTTCGTCATCCTCGCCCTCAGCATCCTCGTCTGCACTTTCGGCATCGTCCTCGCCGTCTGCAGATTCGGCCTCCTCAGGCTCCGACTCGGCATCTTCAGGGATTGGTGCAGCTATGCAGCTGTAACCCGGTATCAACTTATACGCCGGGTTTGTCTTGGTCATGTAGTTGCTGAGCGCCTTCCGCACGCGCTCGGCATCTTCAAAAACTTCGGAACCCTTGTGATAGTATTCCTTAGCATTAGTAACCATGCGCTTGAAGTAGCTTTCGAGTTCGGACAGGTTCGCAAAGTCTTGATTGTTGAGCTTGCGTTCAATGGTCTTCAGAGAGATGGGCATGCGAATACGTTTATAGTAATCCTCGTTGCCCTCTCGAGGAAGAAGATTCTCGAAATAGTCGGCGACCGTCCGTCCGCTGCGATATTCTCGTTAGCTGCGCTATTCTGGAGGACGGGAGACTCGCGCATATTGCTTCGTATCGGCGCAAACGAAGCGTCGTCACAGGGACGCTCCGTAAATGTGCAACGCATCCACATACCTCTTGTCCTTGGTTCTACGTATCGTTTCAAGAAAGTGCAAACCGTAGGCCGTCGTGGACTCGTGGCTCTCGCCTTTCGAAAGATCGTAATCGGAATAGGGCTGAATCCATGATTGTTAGCTGGTGGGTAGTTGCGCACAGTGTACGGCAAGCTCTTCAGAGTCTCTCCCGTAGTGTTCTGGAAGGAGCCTTAGGGGATGGCATGATAGGTGCAATTCAATATGCAAAGCGAGGGATTACGGTGAGGTCCCGTTGAGGAGGACAGCTAAGGTTGAGGGGAGAGCTTAAGGGGGGGTTTTCTTGGATTGAACGGTTGGCATCAACCTTGCATTGGCACCAGGCGCCATCGCGGATAGACCTAAAAGCTCATCCGCCGCCCATCCAACAAAACAAACCGCGATGCGCCGCGGCATGGCGAGCCGCGCCCACGGGCGAAAAAAGACGGCAAGACAAGAGATAGGCATGCAACTTACCCCTGGTACCTTTCGTCGCTTTGCAGCTCGGTCATCGCCATCTCCACCTGCACTCGTCGCCTTTCGTTTGTTATCCATCGTGCGGGGATGCAGCTCGATCGCGACGGTAGTGAAAGCTGGCAACTATACAGCAGAAGAGACGAAATTGCTCGATAGTATTTGCAGGCGTCGCAATGGCTGTGGTGGTTGAATGGGCCTTGTAAGAACTCGCGGGAGACGCGTTTGGTGATGGTTTGGCGGGCGCAAAAAAAGACACGAGTCGGGGGTTGGTGGTGGTGCAGCGTAGTGCAGCGCAGCGCAATCGCAGCTCTAACAGTTGAATGTGCCCCCCGCCAAAAAGTGACAAATTCCAAGCGTACCGAGGACAATAGGCAGCTACAATGGAAAATGAAAGAAAAAGGGGTTTGAATATGACACGAGAATTGGATTCGTTTGGATAACAAATGCCATTGAATGTCCACACTCAGCAAAGATTAAAAGCGTAAGATTGATTTTGTGCAGGCAGGCCGGGGGTTGGTCATGCTTCACTGTGAGAGAGGTACATGTGGGCATGTAACTTTCTCAGGTGAACAACTGCCCCGTGCGCGCTCACGCGTGGCGTTATAGGTATAAGGTCTGGAGGTGAGATGATTGGACAGAAACTGATTATGTCATCTTGTCCAGCCTAATACCCCGTATTAATTCACGAGCCTATGACAAGCAGCTGAGAGGGAGGGAATCTGGGTTGTATCTTTGGCTTTTCCCATTATTTTATCTTTATTTATGTTGTCTTTTTTCTTGGAACTATCTACCTAGGTACTCTGCGCAAATATTTGCCGACTTGGGTTACGATGCAAATACGGAATACAGTACTGAGTAAACCCCTGTTCGACTCAACTGCCGGTTGAGAAAAAGGGGGAGTGAGAATCTCAACCGCTTACCCGAGACAACAGAAAATCACAACCCGAAGTACCTCATAGTTGGCTAAAAAAAATATGCATATAAAAAACTGCCCATTTTGTCTTAAGAAACAGTCTTCACATAGAACAACTGGAGGGTCAAGGAGCGAGGGGAGGTTGGATGTCTAAGGAGTTCTATCGAATATGCCAAGAGAGTATGACACGGTGTGCTTTTTCGGACTAAAATCGCCTGTCTATTATATGGCCCCCCTTTAGTATTTTACTTTTTTTTCGCCCTCATCACCAGCTAGTCTCGGTCACTTGCTATTGCGCCTCTTTGGTAAGGCGGTGGACCTCCTCAAAGAAGAATCTCAGGTCATCCGGGTTCACAAACGGTGTAATTCCTAGAATGTTCGGTCAGAAATCCAAGTGATGTGCGTTTAAGTACCAGATACAGGGTAGGCATGCTTACCGTGGCCAAGGTTCACGATCCAGCCCTTCTTCCTTGTCGCCCAGCCGAACCCCTCAACCATTTCCTTGACGACTTGGGTAATGGAAGCGCGAGATCCGTAGAGAACACCAGGGTCCGCATTGCCCTGAATCACGATCAGCCGGTCGCCGACGGTCTTGACAGCGTCCGCTGGGGCGTGAAGCCAGTCCAGGCCGACAACATTGTAGCCCATGTCGCAAGCGGCGTCCAAGGCATACCACGCGCCTTTGGGGAAGACGATCATGGGCACGGGATCCAAGCCAAGCTCCTTGAGCTTAGGGGGGAGATGCTTAGCGATGTACTCTAAGTAGGGCTGAGAAAACTGCTTAAAGGATGCAGGCGATAACTCTCCGGCCCATGAGTCGAATACTTGAATGAGCTGGAGATTGCGGTCAGCGCGAACACGTAAAAACAGCGGCGGGATGGGGTCTCGTCAAGTAAGTACCTGAGCACCGGCCTTGACTTGCAAGGCAAGGTAGTCAACACAGAGCTCGGCGATCTTCTGGAGCAAGGCCTTGGCCTCATCGGGGTACTTGTATATCCAAGTCTTGACCTCCTTGAAGAGCTTCGAGCCGCCGCCCTCGACCATGTAGCAGAAGAGGGTCCACGGAGCACCACAAAAGCCAATAAGGGGAACGCGACCCTGTAGCTTCTTTCTTGTCAAGGTGATGGCGCGATAGACATAGTCGAGCTCGGTGGAGACATCGACATGGCGCTGCATCAGCTCGGCGTATTGGAGGTCGCTCGGGCTCTTCAGGGGGTTGGGGAAGGTGGGGCCCTTCTTGTCGACCATCTCAACGAGCATGCCCATGGCCTGGGGGATGACGAGGATGTCCGAGAAGATGATGGCGGCATCGATGAGGCCGGCGAAGCGCTCAATGGGCTGTAGGGTCAGGGTCGACGACACCTCGGGGTCGCGGCAGCACTCGAAGAAGTCACGGGTGCCCTTAGTCTGGTGGTACTCGGGGAGGTAGCGGCCGGCTGCGGCGGCGAGAGTCAGCGGGGGAGCGATGTATGTCAGGTCAGTAGTCTGTCAGGGGCAGCAAAAGCAGCCCCTCGACGGATCCAACAAGACAAGACAATCCAAGATGCAAGAAGACGCCGGCTCCTCACCCTGCCGCATCACCCATATGGGCGGCCGTTCGACAGCCTGGCCCCATGCTGCCCTCACAATCAGATCGTTCTTCAGCGGCTCGAATGAGTGCTCCATGCTGGCGAAATAAAATATATAATTTTGATATCACTGGTTGCTCTGCTTGTTGTTGAAGCGTGGCCAAAGACTCTAAATATTTAGAAACACCCCGCCATTGAGTGCATTTACTAGGGACGAGCTACTCCTTCGGTAGGCTAATTATTCGGGTCACTTGGCAGCCCCTAGTCTCTCACCTCCTCGACCAATGATGTGGAGCAATTGGCTGGAAACTGAAAGTTTGTTCCCAGAGCATGGACCACAAAACGCAATTCATCGAGCGGGCCTTGAGTTGGTCAAAGCTCTTCCAAGCTCTTCCGTGCGTGCGCGCGAAGCATCGGGGACTGCAACTGCAATTCAAACCCCATTTAAAATTCTCACGACGCTTCCTTGAATTGCTCTCCAACGCGACCGCGCCATCCTAGCGTGCTCGAGGCCCCCAGGTCCCGAATTGTTTTTGGGGGGCTGCATGACAACAGACATCAGAGGCAAATGTATCTGAACGGGAATGGCGACGTTTCGATTGCAGTCCCAATCGCCCATCGTCGCCCGTGAGCCCGAACAATGACCCCCCCGGCCACTCGCTGCTGTCGGGCTCTTCCACGCCACGTCGTCTCCTCCAGTGATTCGATATGGATATCCGACGCGCTGCTCGCAGCCGCCTTTCAGAGATACTGCAATGTCTCCCGGACGGGTCGTAGGCAGATGAGCCAAATCCCCGGCCCACTCGAAAACCGTCGGCGGCTCGGAAAGCGGCATATGGGCGCCCTTATCTCGCTCAGTGGTTCGTCGTCGCCCGCCCCGTGGGCATTTCCAGTGTCTATCGATCTTTCGAAATGGCGCTGGGAGCCTCCATGGCCAGCCTCGACCTCGACCTCGACCTCGAAGCCGGAACGAAATAGTCTACGTGAAGACAGCACGCTAGCTGCAAGCCCTACGAGTCCTTTGCCCAACTGGTCTGGCTGGGGCAACAAAGTCGCACATGAGGGGCCTCGAGGACAAACATCTGTTCTCGACTCTGGTCGCATTTTCTCCGCGCCCCAGCCTCTCTTCAGCGAAGACGTGGAGACTTATTGCTCTTCCGTTCCTACTCTCTCCGCGGAATCCCTCATCTCCAACACCGAGTCAATTTGTCGCAAGCTTCAGTCCCATATCTATCTAGGCCAGATACAGCCTCGGAATATATCTTCTATGGCAACCGTGATATGGAGTGCCTTGGATTCGCGGCCCGATCTCTTGCCAGTTGCATCACGCCTCTATCAACCCCTCTATTCGGCCATAATCACGGCAACTGTGACTTCCAGGGTGCTCACTCCCGCCTCTTTTAGCGTTGTGTTTTGGAACAAGCTGCTATTGCAAATGTCTAAGCTTCCTGCCAGCAATGAGCTCTGCCATCTCTTCGCCATGATTATGGAAGCTATCCCCGCCAGTTACTTGGGTGGATTGCATATAGGTGTCCTTTCCATGCTCGACGTGTTTTTTACTCTATGGCTCTCAAAACCCGACGGGGCCTATGACAGCCAAGTCGAGGCACTCTCAGCGGCCTTGAGAGCACTCGACCCCCAAGAGAATGCCCCCCTGCTCGATGAGGCTGACAAGCTCGCGCTTGAGCGGACAGCTCAATCACTCGTTAGCTCCGATACATTGCGATACAACTGGCTTTGTGTGCTGGCTCGGATGCCCCTCGTTAACCAGGACATTTTGTTTGCCAGTTCCGCGCGTTTTTCTAACAGCGCCTCGGGAAGAACGGCTCTGAAGCCTACCGAGCTCTGCGAGCTACTTTTATGCCAGTGGATGAGCCGAGGATATCTTCATGACTTGAAAACGCGTCGCAAGTATGAACAGATATCTCAGGGTGACGATACGGCCATTGCATCCTTGCTCTTGGCAATTTTCATGAAAAAGGGACACCGGCACTGGTCAGGGCTGTTTTCCAGTCTGTGGACGTTGCTCGGCAAGCTGGACCTGACGGACGACGTCAGGGCATCGCTCTTGGCTCTTTCGCAAACCTACCGGGTGCCGCTGCACCTGGTCCAGCATCTTGCCTGGAAATCCGATAACCACTACATCGCAATAGATCTTCATGACCTGTACATGCGTCACCTGCAGCAACCGGGCGGGCCAGATTGGGACCCCGGACTTTTTGAGCAAAAATACACAGACGAGATAATTCTCGACCCTTCCCTCCCATCTCACACAATATGGAGAGTGCTGGACATAGGGATGTACGAAAACTTGAAGGGGAGGAAGCTTCAGAAAGAAGTAGCCCGGCACCGCGGGACTTTTGGGGAGAAAAGGACTAGGATTGTGGAGGGACTAGCGCCTCTGATGGGCCATGTACCCAACATGCGAGACAGGTGTGCTTTTCGCGATGTGTCCCAGTGCGTACGATTTCTCGAGCGCCAGGCAAAGGACGGTCTACACACGACTACCTCGAAGGCTTTATTTGACGTGATATCGAAAGACCTTGTCGAAGGGCGGCCAGGGAGAACCACTCGCTTGCGATGGTTTTTGCGCGTCGTCCTAAGGAACCACGGCTTGGACACGGCGATTCGTTGCCGCGATGTCCTCATGGATTGGCAGTCCCAGCTGCATTCGTTGCGGCGCCAGGGCGTTGTACCCGAGTCGCAAGGCAGGAGAGATGAGTGGTGAAAGGGAACACAAGTGGACTGCGACTATATATCATCGCCAATCAAGCACTATCTACGCATAGTCCGAAGAAAGTATTTCTTAACACTCCTCAGTAATTCACTTGTGGACCCCGTCGAGGCCGTTCGTCCTAACTACGCAACTCGGCACAAATAGGTCACTTCGTCTTCCATCCAAGTCATTGTCACTAACTAATCTGCCATTCCCGGACCTGCTGTCGCTATCGCTCCCAGGAACCATCAGGCCACTCTCCCGTTGGTATGTACCATCTCCATGTACGGATACCTGGTGAAGAGACGGCATTTATGTTACCTAGTCGAAAGTGTCGACTGTTAAAGGGTAGATCTCACATGAGCGGCAGTCGAGGAGCACGGACAATCTGGGGAATGCCGTATGGCAGGCATGCTTTTGCGCGCTGTTAATGAAGCTGCAGCTGAGGTGGCACCGAGACATCTGTTTTACATCAGCGGTTTGGCCGCCACGATGCTTTCCGAGCAAGGTTTTGCTCGCGAAAACCTAACCGCGTTTCTCCTCGGACCCGCGTCGCGACCTCCATTTAGTCCAGGGGTAGTGTCGGAAGCTGTAGCTTGCGAACTAACTTCCCCACTGTCTGCTGCGTCCGTATGACATTGCCCTTCCCCGCCGCAGAAACCTTCATTTCACTCACTCAATGGACCGACGGCCAAGCTCTGGGCCTTATCTCGATGATGCAGCTGTCCCTTCGCCCCCTCTCTCCCCAAGCTATCTCTGGATGGGACGACATATGTGCGCGTGCATTGATCCATATTGTGACCAGGCAAGTTTGTCTTCGGTCCTTCATGAGATGGGGCAGTGCAGAATGGACTGAACAGGATTAGGCCGGTTCATGGTCGGACGAGGCCGGCAAGCGCTTGAACCTTAAAGCTAGGATGCTGTGTGTCAAACTTTTGCGCGAAGCTCTTGACATATCATGTTGGAAGCCTCGCTGCTCCAGAGCGCCATGAGCACCCATTCTCCACGGGGGGCCCTCCTTTGGGCGAGAGGGAAAAGGGAGGTGGCTGGGCGCTGTGGTTACGCGAGAGCCTGCGCGGTGGGCAATGGAATCAGCATGTCGCACAGCTACCCGATAGGCTTCCTCCCTGACGGGTGTCCCGATCGCGAGTGATCCGCGGGCGTGGTTATCGTGGAATCCTCAAGACCCACCTCACGTTCTGCCCGGCACCGAAACAGGATCCGGAGGCAAGAACGCGCCGAAACCGAGAGGCAGACGCCCTTCGGAGCGGGAAACGAAAATAACCATGCCAGACTGCGAAAACAAGGCGGCGTGTGGTGGGCCGTGCGTGCTGTTCCAGTGCCAGTGCCAGTGCCAGTACGGTTGTTCTAGGCAGTGTCGTTGTCGGTTGGCGACTGGGCATCTCCAAGCGGGGAAAGGGATAGGGGCATCCGCACCTCACGTGGAGGGGGTGTAGCGCTGTCTCTGGGATGGCGGATAGCTACCAAACTGACTCAGATGCAGCTCTCAGGTCTCCATGTCGAGCCTCCCCTCGCCGACTATTTCATTAGATTGCATCTCTGATGCTAATGGAACGCCGGCTAGAAACGGGCCCGGCACTGTGGAAAGGTGAGTGAGACGCCGGCGGCGGTCCCTCCTTCTTAGGCGCATACGTTGTAACTTGTGGACGGTGCATGTAGCTGGGCTGGGTGCGAGCACACCGAGTCCAAGATAGATCGGGTGCCCCGGTCAAGCTGAATGCGAATGTAGTGTACACTTTAATCTCCCTGGCGGAGGCCCACACTGGTCAGTAACACAAACGGCCGAGGGGGGACAAGAGCGGCTAATGGTAGGCAGGTCACCAAGGCCCTACCGGGTAGGGAGACAAGACCACCCAAAGTCACCGGGCTAGATCCACAAATGCCCCGAAAACCTAGCCTTCTCTCTCCTTGGGCACGGGGCAGCGAGGCCCTTCCAGATTCCATTGATTGGTAAGACTGACTGTTAAACGATGTGTGTATGCTACCCAAGGTAAGTACCTAAGGGAGGTAGGGATTGGCGGCGCGCTAGCTTTGGGCAGTGTTTGAAATGGCGAATCCGTGCTGTTTTTATCTCCGGCCCAAGCTTCGTCCGCCGGCTTGCCAAGGAGCCGATAGGTTTGGTCAGCGTGCGATGCGTTGCGCACGAAACCAGAGAGAGACGGTGGGGAGGTTAGCGTGAAGCCGACAAAGCAAAGCAAAGCAAAGAAAGGCAAAGAAAAGCGAAATCGTTTGGGCTTGGGCTTGGGCCTGCTGCATCTGCAGGCGCTAGGCCGAGACCCCCATCTCCTTCTCCCTCTCATCAAACCTTCAGGGCCTGGAGGGCATCGTGAGAGGCAAGAGATTTGCGCTTGAGGGCAACGCCTCAAAGACCCACGACTCTCCCGGATCACAGACAAGCCATGAGGGGGCCTCGACAGCTTCCCCTCTCTGCGTGCCCGGATCTGTCCTCTTTTTTTTGTTTAATTTTTGACAAGTTTGTATGCCAAATGCAAATCTTGACCTGACCGTCATCGCGCCAACAAACCCCCCTTTCTGCCAGCCCGCCCGTTGTCGGCAGTAACAACACGCCGCAGCCGTCCGCATCCCTTGTCCGGCATCCCGCAGCTCCCAGCTTCGGCGCTGACCCCACAATCGGAGGCCCAACGGTTGATCCGCAGTTCGCCTTGCTTTGCTTGGCCAACATCATCTCCGGGTTGCTACAAGCGATCGAGCGTGGTTTGTCTGGTGTCTCCTTGTTGACTCCGGAGTTGACTGCATATCCGGCGGGCCAAATAAGGAACTCTGAGACCGACACGGCCATCGACTTTCTGGTTATTGCCCCTCCGACCCAGTCGAATAGCAGAGTCGAGCCCTCGAGCACAACCAACAAGTCACAGGAGTCGTCGCGCCGGCGAGACTTTGTTTAAATTTTGGTCTCGCCGTCCGCATGAACAGCCGCGCCAAGAAGGTCTAGGATCGTCTTCCGCGTAAAGGCTGAAAATTAAGCAGCAGCGTCATCATCGGCGAGCCGTCCAGTACAGCACACAAAGAGACGTCGCCGTAGGCTAGAATCTAGCCTCTTGTCGTTACCGAGTATTTGGACGGAATCAACGGCAACGCTCCCCGGTAGCCAAGCGCTTGAAGCAGCTGCAGGAACTAGGGGCCCGGCAGATCCTCGCCGCCTTACCTATTGGAGGGTGGCCGTCTCTTTGCTCTTGTTCTTAACCCCTCCCCCATCTCTACCGCATCAACTCGTCGCCTTACGTCCGTAGCGGAAGCAACGACGCAGTTCCAGTTCCAGTTCCAGCGCCCTCCCGCTCCTTCACTCTACTCGCCACGCAACGACGAATCGCCGACGTGACGTCCGAGCCAGCCTCCCAACAACCCCCCGGAGCCTCGGCCTGTCAGTGCAGTCAGTGCAGGCAGTGCACATACTGTACATACCTTACTGTATGCAGTACCGAGTAACTCGACCACACTACAGCAGTGCGCGACGCCGCAACCCCCCCATGCTGCCGCCTGCCACTGAGCAGTTGTGTGCAGCCAGTCGTGTGCACGTGCTAGCGCCGGGGTCCAGGGCCCGGAATCTTCGAGCTTGACGGCGAGCCGACGGGAGAGACGGGGGAGCAGCATTGGATGCCGCGCGTGGCAGCGCAGCACCTGCCGAGCAGCACCGTGCAAGCAAACAACCAACCAAGAAACCAACCAAGAAGGCAAGCGAGCATAACAGAGCGTCTATCTAGATCTAGGCCGCCGGCGGGGCTGCTTCTAGACCGCGCCGACGCCTTTATTTGGCACAGGCAGGCCGTGAGCGACGAAACATGCCCCCACGCTACCGCGACCAACCCGATCCTACTCTCCTACCCTGTCTAGTCCGCCCATCCACCGCATCGTCCAGCCAACATGGCTAGCAATGGTGACCGGCCCGACGGCTTGGGCGACGATACTCTTGGGCAGGACGGCCGGGCGGCGATGGCGCTGCAACATAACCAAGCGGCCTACGCCCCACATATGCTTCACGGCTACGGCCACGGCCACGGCCACTCGGTGCACATGCCCCCCGGTTCGCCTGGCGTCAAGGTTGACGGGGATGGATCCTCAGCTGGGATGGGGCCGCAGATGCAGATGGGTGGGATGGCCATGGTGTCGGGCGGTCTCGAAGCCGATGCTAGGGACCAGACTTACTCGCACCCGCACTCCCACAATCATATTCACTCTCAGAGCGCAGCTGGCGGCGGGCCGGCTCCCATGTCGTCCAAGCCCATTCGCCGGCGCATGCGAATGATCACATCGTGCCTCGAGTGCCGGCGGCGCAAGCTCAAGTGCGACAAGTCGCAGCCGTGCTCCAACTGCCTCAAGTTCAACCGAGACTGCCACTACCTCGGCCCAAAGCTGGACGAGGCCAGCCAGTTACGCCTGACCGAGATCAAGGAAAAGGTGGGGTCGCTTGAGAGGCAGCTAGAGCGCGATGTCGCCAAGACGACAGCGACGTCGCGCGGCAGCTACCAGCAGCGCATCGTGGCCGACGACATCGACGGCGAGTTTGACGATGACCGCGACCTCGAGATCACGCCCATGGTGGCGCTCGACCTGACGTACGAGGACGACCTGGACGGCACGGGCGCAACCGACGATCTCATCGACCTCGGCATCCGCGTGGGCAGGATGCGCATTACCGAGCGAATCGGAGGGCTCAACCGGCCTCGTATTGCCGAGGAGGTATGCATGCTCCCTCCCCCCTGAAAGGTCAACCAAGACGCGCGAAGCTCTAAAAAGGTGTGTATGGTCGCTGATGTAGCCCCCCACCCCCTAGATCCAAGCCGGGATTGGTACCCCTCGTACGCCCCGCGCCTTTGCAGCGCCTGCCCCCGGCTACCAGAGGGACGAGGGCATGTTTGACGCTAGCGGCGGCCCCGAACCCGTGGTGCCCGACTTCCTCCGGCCCGGTGCGGCCTTCATCCCGCCCACGAGCGGCTTCTTTTTCGGCCAGGTCGTCGAGTCGCACAATTTCTTGAACTTCCTGCCCCCCAAGAAAGTCGGCGATATCCTCTTGGCGCGTTACTATGATGCCGTGCATCTCATCGCCAGATGCCTCCACTGGCCTTCGTTTCAGGGGGTGTACCAGTCCTTCTGGGAAGATGTCGACCGGTACATTGAGCCGCGCCCTTCGGTCCAGGGCGTCGTCTTCGCTGCCTGGTTCAGTGCCGCCGTGAGCTTCGACGAAGATCAGCTCAGCAGGGAATGCGGGCTCAGCAAAGCCCACCTGGTGGCCAACCTGAAGATTGGCACCGAGACTGCGCTGAGCAAGGCAAACTTTTTGCGGACAACAAAGGTCGAAACCCTGCAGGCTTTCGTCATGTACATGGTAAATCTCGAGTCTTTGCGTTACGTGTGTGTGTGTATATCTTGCTTACCTGGTGTGCCGTTCATGCAGCTTCCGCTCTGCCGAGAAGAGGTGTCTAGGGCGCATTCTGTTCTCGTGGGCGCTGCTGTCAGGATGTCGGAATGCATGGGGCTTCACCGCGACGGCGAGGCATACGGCCTTAGCCCGCTCGAGACTCACGTCCGGCGGCTCATCTGGCACCAGCTCTGCTTCCTGGACATACGGACGTGCGAGGCCCAGGGACCCAAGCCGGCGATCCGGCGCGAGGACTACGACACCAAGCTGCCGCTCAACTGCGACGAAGACGAGCTGACGGCGCACACGATGGTGGCTCCGACGCCAGCCGAGCACTGGACGTCGACGCTGTTCTCGCTCATGCGGTTCGAGATCAACGAGATGATGCGCAACATCTGGACGGACCGACGCAAGCTCGAGATGCACAAGACGACGCTAACGGCAGTGCTGACCAAGATCGAGAAGTTCCGCAAGCGCATGTTTGAGAAGTACGACCGGTTCCTCAACGACGTGGTTCCGAGCCAGCGGTACGCCAAGCTCGTCATGCACCTGCTGGTGTACCGCCTGCACGCCATGGTGCTGCACCCCTACCACGCAAACACCACCAACCCCATGCCCGACCGCCTCAACGGCGTGCTGGTCACGAGCGGCATCATGATCATCGAGATTGCCATCCAGCTCGAGGCCAACACCCTGTTCCGCGACTGGGCCTGGTACCTGGGCGCCTACCAGCAGTACCAGATTGCCCTCCTTCTCGCAACCGAAATCTACTACCGCCCCAACAGCAGCGAGGCCCACCGCATCTGGCCGTGTCTCGACTACGTCTTCGGCCTCGACCCCAACATGGCGCGCGACGACAAGAGCCTGCAGATCCTGACCGAGATAATGGGCAAGTCGACCGTCTACATGGGCATGCGCAAGATGCGTGCCCCGACAGCCATCACAAAGGCCGTCCCGGACAGGCAGGCGGTCAAGGAGTCGCCGCCGCCACAGCCGCAACCGTTGCCGCTGCATCTTCAACAGCAGCAGCAGCAGCAGCAGCAGCAGTCGATGGTGATGCCCATGTCAATGCCGATGCAGGGGCTGAAAACCGAGCCAGGCATGCCTCCACCGCCGTCGTCCAACATGGCCATGGCTGCGGCGAGTGTACACGGTATGCCCCTTCAAGCGGCGGCGAGCATGCAGCAGAACTTTGTCTTTGCCGGCGTTTCCAACGGCGAGGTCCTCTGGGGGCTGCCGCCCGGCAGCCCCGAGAATAGCAGCGACACGGGAAGTGTTGCCGGCGGTCAGTCCCAGCACCACGGCAGCATTGCCGGCCAGGCAGTCAGCGTCATGGACAATATCGACTGGGTATGTTGGTTTTTTTCCTTGTTTCTACTATATAACGGCCAAAGGCTAATGACCTCTCTCTTGTGTTTTTCGGTATCCAGGACGCGTTGCAAATCTTGTTCCCCACAGACCCAGTCACGGGCGAGCTCTTGTTTAACCACTATTTCGATCCGGGCCTTAATGGCGGCGGGGGCGGCGGCGGGATGGGCATGGCCCCGTCATCGTCGTCCTCCTCTAAATCTGCTGGCTCATCTGGGTTTTAGAGAGACGAAGGAAGATGGATTGTTACTGGAGCGGCGTTTCGGCTTCTTTGGGCGGGGGTTTTTGTTTTCTTTTTCTTCTCAAGTTGCTGGTGCTTGATAGCGTGCCAGCCAGCCAGTCGGTTTGGCGTCGGTCCGGGATAATACAGGTATCGGGAGTCAGTTATCTTTCAAATACAGCGTGGTTATAAATAACCAAGGTAGCTGTCGGGAAAAGGAGGTAGTATTGTATGTACCTTGTGTATACACAACACAGCGAACACGCACGCACACACGCGGTTGGAAACCTAGTAAAAAGGCTTTTTCTGGAATACAGCACAGCACGGCGCACTTGGGTACTCTTTTCCTCTTCTTCCTGAACTAGGCGTTGCGTGTTGGAAGAACAGTGGGGGTTGGTTGTTTAGAGGCTTGAGGTGTGTTCGTTCTTCGCGGGAGTTTGTTGCGGGATCTTTGTTTGTCTCCTTGTTACTTACTATACGTACATGCTGTTGATCGCCGCCATGTTGTTTTTCGTCCTTCTCCTTCTTCTTCTTCTTCTCTAGCCGGGCCGTAGACAAACAGTATCGCGTGGGAGATGGAGCGGGTGAGAGAAAAGCAGAGCAAATGGTAGCGGAGTAAAACCCAAGAAAGGGGCAAAAAGAGCATAGTAGAAGATAAAGACGAAAGGCAAAGCAACCATCGCTAGCTACAGTGTATCTCGTGCCAAGACCAAGATTTTATATGGCTACCACAACCAGGACCAAAGCTATGGTCGTTATCAGAGCTGGACTAGTCCAGACAAGCACCAGACCAGACAAACACAGCACAAGATCAGACAAGACAAGCACCAGACCAGACACAATAGACAAACAAGATCCGTGCACAAGTCAAGTCAAGTCAGGTTCCCTTTAACGGAGAGTCACCAAGACACAGACGAAGACGAAGATAGACATAGAGACGAAGGCAGAGACAGAGACAGAGATAGTGTAAGGAGGAAAATGACGGGGACAAGGGTGGGGGGGAACCATCACGAGAATAACTACCACCGTCTACGTCTACGCACCTACCTTGGTCACTTCCTTAGCTACTCCCTTAGTTGCTTCCTTGACTATTTCCTTGGTTGGTTCCTCCCCCTCCCTCAAGCCCGCTCCCTCGTGCCGTCGTCTGCTAGCGTAGTTTCAACGAGGCCAACCAACTAACCACAACAATAGATAGAAATAGCAGCTGATCTAGTTCACTTCCTTTCTTTTCCTGTACGTCCCCCGTCTCGTCTCGTCTCGTCTCGTCTCGTCTCGTCTCGTCTCGTCTCGTCTCGTCTCGTCTCGGGTCTTCTTCTTAGGGCAGTGGAGACCAAGGTCTTGTTACTATTTTCATGAGCGAATATCGCCGCCACCGCCACCGCTGCCGCCAGCAAGAGGCGGTGACGGCGCAAGACAGCCCCTGTGTGCATGTATGTATGTAGTAAGTAAGTAGGGTCATACGTACGTAGGCGACGTACGTACGCAACCCTTTCCCCCCCATTTTTCTCCTTCTAATTCCGGTGAGCCAAGACTCCAAGGCCATGTCTTCTCTTATTCCTTTCTGGCGTGCATGCCCGAGTCTAGTCCTCGTCCGTTGTCCATTCTGCATGTTAGTGGCCCGCCCGCCTGCCTGCGTTCCGTCCGTACGTCCCCCGTTTGGCTTTGTATCTGTCCATCGTGGTGTGTGTGGGCGCTTGGGAGAGAGTGTGCGTCGTGTCAGAAAGAGGAAAGGAGGATTTGCCGATGCTTTTTTGGCGGCGTCAAAGACTACCTTACTTTACCCTATCACCGGATGAAGCCTTTCGGACGGAGGGGTGGATGAATGAAGATACCGTATGCTGCTGCTGCTGCGTTTCTTGCTATGCCTTGGCCATGCCACGCCATGTCATCCCATCCCCGTCGGGATCGTATAAGGAGCGGGAGCGGGCAACATGCACAGGTAGGTCCTTGCGTCCCATTCGGGGGTGCCGTGACCGGCGACGGGTGAGGGCCTCCGTCCACCCTTTGCGCCGGCAGACGGTCACACCGTTGATCTCTTATTCATGCGGCAGTTCATAGGATGACTCGTACGAAGGCCAGGAGCAGATACTGCAGGCCATGTTGATTCCGGCCCACGATAGCGTTGACATTGTATTCTCTTACCCCTGAACGGATAGGACGGGGCTGGCGGCCTGGGATATCTGGCAGATATCCCTCGCGCGGAAATGCCATACCCCGACAATGGATTTTCTTTAAATAGAAAGCTGAGTAAAGGAGGGTCTTGCTGACCACTTGAGTCTTTGGGCATATGGTTCCGGAACCAATATCCGCCATCAAACACAACTTTGCGTCTTCTGCGTGGACGCACGCACTTTGCCGTTCTACGGCATCGGCACGAGTGCAAAGACATCGAGCTGGAAGAAGAGGAAAGGTTCAGATCATGTTACCTTAGCCAATTGCCCCCCCCCCCCCAGACTAGAGTGTAAGTTGTGCTGGCAGGAAGGAGTGGGCCCATCCACCCAAGCGGTGGAATCCACAGAGAAAGAGAAAGAGACGCGCGTCAAGTCTGCTGCCACTTTCGTTTTTCCAAGTCGGGACCTTTCCCTTCTTAGCTGGGAGTTGCACAAGAGACGACTGCCCTAGCTTACTACCTAGACCAAGAAGTCGATCTTGAAGTGAGGAATAATGTAGCGGTGACCCCCCGGCTAGGTCAGTCCAGGGGAGCGAACCGAAACGGCCCATGGCGGTCTCGGTTTGGTAAACACGGAAGAGGCTGTTTCCAGTAGATAGGAAAGGTCCAGTAGATAGGAAAGGGGACCATATCAAGTCCGTTGGGTCCGCTCGGTTGACGGCAACAGACAACCGGTCCATGGCCAGGATCAGGACCAGCACCACTCCCATGGTAGTAGTGTTGGACAGGCGGGTTTGGCGGGAGATTCACAAGACCACGGGGTCAAGCCGTCGGCTCGGATCCGCGGTCACGCCTCTCGAAATGAGGCGACTGACGACGCAGCTTGAGCTAGATTCCCCAAGCTCGGCGCTGTGAGGGGCGGGTATGGGGATAGGTAATAGCTGATAGTAATGAGCACGACGACTAGATTGTGTTAGGAAGGTCATCCAGTCTCTGGAGTCATGGCCGGCCCGAAGTTGGCCGGCATGTTCATGTTGCAGGCATGTCAACACGCAACCTAGGCACCTACCTTGCTTACCTAGGTCTCGGTATTCAGTGACCGGGATCTTGGTGGGTCTTGCCTCTTCTTTGTCATTGTGATGCGTGTATAACTGTCGTCATGAGATGGATACCCCAGTCCAGGAGCAAGCCCGGGTCAGGCCTAATTACCCTCCATGTGTTTGCAAATGGCTATTCAGCGGCCGGGCCAATGAACGCGTCTTGTCTAGGTATGGAGCCGTAGTTGAAGTGGCAATCGGGAGGGCGGCCTTTGAGGGGAGATCCCAAAGTGCCAAGACTAGGAGCAATCAACCCGATTGATAAAGCCGAGACTCGGTACGTGGACGGTACGTAGGACCAGTACAGAGTAGCCACCAGGGCCTGTTCGGACCTTGATCAAGGGCCACGACCCCGTCGCCCGTTGGCAATTAGATACTCACTAGATAAAGAGTGCACTCAAGTCAACAAGGTAGGTGCTGCTAGTAAACATGCGAGGCCCGATGCTGGGCGTGAGGAAGTGTTCTAAGTGAAGATCGTCGTTGCAGTGCGTGACAGTGGCGATAACCATTGGCCCACGACCCGCACGCCAAAGAGAGAGAGAAAACCAGTGGTAGCCTTTTGGTAGGAAGGAGTGCGTGCTGTACTTGCCGAAGGTAGAAAATGACCAACGGTGCCGCGTAATCTTCGCCCCCTTGCCACTGCCTTACATAAACATCTTCACCCGCAGTACCGTGTTCCCGCTGCCCACACCTCGCACCATCGCACTGTGTCGACGACGCTCGTGTCTCTAGGTCTCCTGAGTAGTAAAAGAGAAAATTTGACGTTGACAGCGGGCAGCCTTTCAAGAAGAGCCCCAACCCGGAACTCAGACAACAACGGCCGGGAAGGCAAACGACGGCCTAGGTACAAATTCTCCGTGCCAACTCTCAGCCTAATAGTCAAGCGTCCAGGCCCCAGGGAGGGCCGACTAAAAGCTCTGAACTGAACAGAAAGACATTTCATTCCGCACATACACCTGCATACGTACGCTCAGCCTGCCTGGGCTCTCGCCTGGGCTATTCCATCAGCTCCGAGTCACTGCTCAGATAGGCCCTGACTCGTCATCTGACCGCGGACCTAGCAACGAGCTTCAACCAAGAGTCTGAATACCAACCTAGGCAAACTGACAGGCAAACCGGCCACGCAAGTCATATTGTAAGAGTGCGTCTCCTACTGTTAAAACGTCCCCACGTACTGTAGGTACATTGGCGCCAAGGATTTACAGCTCACCGCTCAGGGAAATACCACATTTTACAGACAAAATTATCGCATTCGCTGGCAACGCTGCTCCAAGCGCTGGCATGGAAGGCATGAATCAGTAAGGCTGTCAGTTGTGGGCAGTTATGAGTAGTTGTGAGTAGTTATAAGCAGGCCTGCAGTTTTGTCAGCTTCGCTTTTTATTATAGACTTGGGCGGTTTGAGCGAATCTAGGGTCCTGAGCTTTATTTACCGCATTTGGAAGTATGTTGACGTTGGCGACGACGGCGAGGTGCAATTGCGGTGCGTTCGAGAGTGGTGGTGGCGGCGGCGGCGCATTTTCGTCGGGCGCATCGCTAAGATCGCCAAAGTCGCTCGGATCGCTCAGATCTTAAAGGGCGGCCATTTCTATCGCCAGTTAGCACTACGTGACGTTATAGACGATAGAAAATGAAGCTATACCGATGTGTCGATTGAATGCGGCGCCGACGATGTTTTGGTGGCTGAAGGTTAGTTACGGTAGATAGGTAAGGGCCGGGTTACGTTGTAGTAAGAAGAGGTAAATTACTACGCGGCAGAATCTTAGATGTACGGCGGCAGAGAATGTGGCCAGGGTTAGGGTTATGTATAGTGGATTACAGTAGGTGGGTACGTTTTAACAGTAGCCGGAGACGCACTCTATTGTAATTAATATCAACTGGAACCTGGAACATGTCTCTTGATTCCGACAATTGAGTCTCGGTCTGCGAGACACCACCTCACTTATACCTTATACGGCCAAGCACGCACTGTGCTCCATGTGAAGTTCCTGACAATGGCGTGCATCGCATCTGCGACTCGAGCGGCGGGGGAAGGGCGTGGTTTTAGGGGTTTAGGAGAGGGGCAGCCGCCGGCGAGGCTGAGTTTACCGACCCTCTCTGTGAGTCCGCTCAGCACAGCACGGCTGCTCCCCGGGCCACCTGTAGGCCTTTTTGCCTGATGTTGCCTGCTGGCAGCGATGGATGAGAGACGCAGGAGGTCGTCGTTAAGCCCGGGCCTCAGCCACAGTGCCGCCGTTTCTCAGACACGGGATTGGATCTAGGGCCTCCTGCAGCCACGCCTCGTCATCGTCAGGAACCTACAATCCCTAGGGTCCCCGCTTTAGATTGATGCGACTGTGGGCTCGGACCAGATCGAAAGCGTCCCGCTGCAACGCATCACGCCTAGAGCTGGGGAGCGATAAAAAGAGTAACGGAAAGACGCTGACAATTTGGTGGTCGACTTCTGGATGCTGGTCGTTGCCCGTGGGGCGGAGACTCGATGGCGTGGAGCCCCCCCTCCCCTTTGGGGCGGAGGGGCCTGGTGGGGGCGCTGATTGGCCCGGGCGGTTGCCAAATTGAAGTGGACGCGCGTTCTCTGCCCAAGGCGCCTCTCTCGGTGCGTCCCCCTCTCGTCAGGTCGCCTGGATCCCAGCGTGGAAGCGAGACCCTTGCTGCTCTCACCCCCCTCCCTCCCCTCTCCCGCCCGCTGCCCGCCGCTTGCCTGGGTTACGTGCGCTGTTGCGAATCGAGTCGAACCGGAGCGAGACGAGGCGAAAGACGAGCGCAACGAAACCAACACCCGAGCCACCCAAGGCACTCTGGTTCTTAGTGCTCGAGTCTTCTGAACAGCCAGAATCAGGTCTGGGGACCACTGGGGGCTCCGTAGGATACGTAGGATACGTCGAATGAGGAAAGTCGAATTGGTGGTACCCAAGTTATCCGTAGGTACGAAAGTACTTCCAGGTTGGGGGATTCGTATAGTCCAGTCCAGTGTGCGTGCTGCCACGCAACCCTGGGAGTGTGTCACCAGCGCGGAGGGCCTAGTTGTAGAGGATTACACCATACGCCCACCTCTCCATACGTACGCTCGCCATCCATTTGGATTACACACCCCCAAACTGCACTATAGCACCTAGGGAATACCTGGACACCCTCCCTCGGCTCCCTGAAACCTTACACCCCATCTTCAGCTTTATCCCCCTGCTCCTCCGGTCCACCTCCGCCTGTCTCTTGCCCGACCTGACCTGCTTTGCCCTGCCATCTTCACCTCCGACCGCCTCAACGACTCCAGCTGCGACAACCGAATCGATCCGGATCCGCTCGTTTCCAGGGCAGCGGCGCCTGCTCCTCGACCGTGTCGCTCTAGAACCGACCGACCGTCATCGCGAGGGTGCCGAGAGGAGGACAGAGTGCGTCTTGCGTCTTGCCCAGACGGCAACGTTGCGCTGCGCGGCAATTCGCAATCAGCCAGAGCCTAGCCAGCACACTCGTCAGCGACTGCCTAGGGTGGGTAGGCTGCTTCGACTGTCGCAGCGCCGGGAAAAGAAGGGAGATTTAGAACCGAACAGCAGCCAAATTCAATCGACGGCTGCGAAATAACGAGGCCCGCACAGCGACTACCGTCTCTCGACTGTGGCGAAACCACACGACTGCAAGTTGCTGACGTCGCCGCCGAAGCCGTCGATTGAAGGCCTGTGACGCGGCGTCTCACTGCAACCCCCGCCCCCGAAACCGTACCCCGAGACGTCAAAAAGCCGCCATAATTCACTTCCCGAGCGACGGTAGGAAGAGCGCAGTCATTGGAGACGACGTTTCTCTAATCGGCTCACTCTTTCTCGACATCCACATCCACATCATCAGCGGCATCGCCGACGACATCATGGCCGACAGGGGGGATGCGCCGTCGGGCCAAAACTATGGCGAGGAATGGGCGCACGACCTGAGGCTACGGTTTGAGCAGTTGTTACGAGCAAAGCGATTAAATGAACTCGAAACACGGTCTCGCCAGGGCTCGCCCGCACCGCGCGAGAGGGCGTCGTCGAGCAATCTCGGTGCTGCTGCGTCTGCATCCGGCCCCGGCAGGCCATCGACGTCGCACAGCGCCTCGGGCCAGCAGACGCCGCCCTCCTACTCTTCAGTCCGAAACCTCCCCAAGATCCCAACACCGCCAGCGGCCACGGACCGCGAATCTCTTAAATTCAGAAACATGCTCGTAACCCTCTCTCTAACCCCCACCAAGTACGAAAACCCGGGCCTACTAGACGAGGCCTTGCAAGTGATCCCGCTAGACAGGATATACGGCGAGGCCGAGGAGGAATGCCAAGTGTTGCAAGCACAGGCAGAGAGCATGGGCGACGGGCGCAAGCCCGAATGGGGATACCAAGATTGTGTCATCCGAGCACTGCTCAGGTACGTTTGATATTGGGCTCCATCGAGAGAGACCCGGACTGGACTGGTGAAGGATCCGGCTGACTAGTGATTGCAGGTGGTTCAAGCGCGTCTTTTTCACATGGGTCAACAACCCTCCCTGCCCAGTGTGCATGTCCCCGACCATTGCCCAGGGCATGACGGCACCGACGCCCGAAGAAAACGCCTGCGGAGCCCTGCGCGTGGAGCTGTATAGATGTTCAAACGGCGGTTGCGGAGCGTACGAACGCTTCCCGCGATATAGCGACGTTTGGCGTCTGCTGCAAACACGGCGCGGGCGATGCGGCGAATGGGCCAACTGCTTCAGCATGCTCTGTCGGGCGGTCGGTGGCCGCGTGCGCTGGGTCTGGAACGCCGAGGACCACGTCTGGACAGAGGTGTACTCGGAGCACCAGAAGCGATGGGTCCACGTTGACGCCTGCGAGGAGGCCTGGGACAACCCGAGGCTGTACACGGACGGGTGGGGTAAGAAGATGTCGTACTGCATCGCCTTCTCCATCGACGGCGCCACCGACGTGACGAGGCGTTACGTCCGCAAAATGGAGCACTACCAGGAGCGTAGCCGCTGCCCCGAAGAGGTTCTCCTTTACATCATGCAGGAGATCAAGCACCTGCGACGGGCCAACATGGACAAAGACGTCCGATTCCGCCTCGAGAAGGAAGACTCGAGGGAGGACCGCGAACTGCGCAGCTACGTCGTCGCCTCGATTACACAAGCCGTCACCGAGCTTGTGCCGTCGCCGAGCGACAGTGGTCCGAGCGTGCGAACGCCGGCCGGCCCGTCCAACGACGACACCAAGGTGCCCGTATCTGCCGAGCAGCCCGCCCGGCAGAGCGGTAACGCTGAGTGGGTAGCTCAGCGAGGGGAGAATGGGCGGCGAAACCAACAGTTCCCGCCTCCTGGAAATCAGGGTCCCCCTTTCCCCTAAGCGACGAGTCATCACACCGGGCACCGTCACGCTGAAGCCGCGAGTTGACAGAGGAGCGCCCAAGACACCGATCCACGGAACTTCCGTTGTTTGTTTATATATCCCAACACCTTGATACCCGCCTTCTTGGATCGGTCTTATGGGCCCTCTGTCTCGCGCCAGACCGGTCGCCGACCCAACAGTTTTGAGCCCTGACGAGCACACGCCGTCGAAGCGTGTTTAATTCCCTTTTTGTTTAATGTTACACGCATCCAAACTAGTTAACGCAACGTATGAAAGCGATGGACTTCTATCTTTTTTGTTTCGACTCGTTCCTCGCAAAGCCAAGCATAGTCTGTAGACTTTGTGCTTCAGTGGACAAATACGCTACCATCACTACCTCCAAATATATAAATACCTTGATCCTCTCCCCCACAACGTCCCTTCTCGTGCCACTACTACCTGCCCTGCCTGAGCGGGGCATTGGGAATAGAGCATACCGGGGACAACGTGTGTATCGTACAAAAGCCTCTGCTGCGGATTCGATTCCCTTTGTTTTTAACTTTCTTTTATGGACATATACATCATCATTGGACATTGTCCTTTGCTCTACGTCAACAAGGGGAGAATACACATTGGGCGACGGATAGAGGCGGAGACCAAAGACGAGGGGATACAAGTTCTTTGGATATGCGTCTCCCGATATATATATATATATATATATGCCGGGCAGGCGGGTGCCAACTGTTGGATAGTTGGACATGCCAAGGGACGAGGAGGAAGGGGCAGACCGGTAAATATGGTCGGTTTTTTATTATTTCAATCTTGTCATGGGCAAAAAAGGGGGTTGCAAACGTGGGGAGGGGTGGGTAAAACACCCCAAGCCCCTCGGTGCCGTGGCGTTTTAGGTGTTCTGTGTCCTTTTTTGGGAGGGGGGAAAGGGGTACTACCTTTTTGGGGGGGAAGGGAGGGGATGTTTATTTTTTAGGTTTATCAATATCAATCAGTATTGTTTTCATTGACTTTTTGATATGTCGACTTGTTTTCTTCGCGTGATGATTGTGTGTTTCGTAGGATATACTATAAGAGCAGTGCTTGCAGGAGAAGTATGTATTGTTATACTTCTAGTTAGATATCTAGACAACAACAGGTTTAGACTAAGGGAAGAGAAACTCGAGTGTTCTGGTTTTTTTTGGAGCGGGTAGGTGAGAGTGTGAGAGCAAGATAAGAGGGCATTGGTTTTCCGGCTCTACCGTGGTCTGGTGTTTTGGTGTTCCAGGAACTTGCGCCGCGGTTTCTGGAGCAATCTGTCCCTCCCCTCCCGCTGGACTCTCTCTGCGTTTGCTTGTCGTGGCCTGGTGGTGTGGAATTACTCTCACATAATTGAGCTCTCTTTGTAATTAACTACCTGGTCAAGGGAAGGCAGGGCAAAGTGTTCTACTGGGTATATATTTCGTCAACTCAGGGAGCGAGTTCGACAGTAAGATCTATCGCCAAGGTAAAATGGCTTATATCCATTGCCCCGTGATGGACACACTAAAGTTAAGACAGTTAAACAGCTCCACTGGATCAATTGAAAGTGCTCTGTTCTCTCGTCGGCCCGTCGTTTGGGCGGGCTTCCTAGCCAGGTGGACAGATACAGAGATAGACACAAGCCCCCAATCCATTCATCGCTTGGTCAATAGAAACCAAGATGTTTATCCCCTTTGGTGCGGAATGTCTGTCTGGTCAGACAAGAGAGATTTGGAGAGGGATGCCGCTCATTCGATGTCATGACCTACCTACCTACATGCCTGCCTACCTATCGCCCGAACCCGAGAGCGTTCTTATCTTTCCACATCATATAGGAGCCGCTCACACATGCAGCCGCGCAAGCATGCACGTCGGACAGAAAACACTAGCTGGTTGGGCCCGTGTCTGATATAATATAATATATTCAACATGCGGATAGATGTGTGGGGGTTCTCGCAGAAAAGGGGGGAGGGGGAATGGCTGATAGCTGCTTATGTGGTGTGGTGTGGTGTGCTGTGTTGTGTTGCGTTGTGTTGTACAGCGTCCGCGGGCGGGCTAGTAAGACCCCGGGATAAATCACACATGTAATACAATACAAGCAGGCGGATAACACATGTATACCTATATGTGTAAGAGCGGTACTTGGACGTGCCGCGCGGGCTGTGGCTGGCCGGGAGAGATGGATGGATAGGGAGATATATTAGCTTTCGGCTTTCGGGTGGGGGTGCACGATAGAGATATAGCCTGTTGTGGTGGCCTGGCAACGTGCTCTGTTCGTGTGCTGTTGATCTTGTCTGGGGAAAGGGGCGGGTGTTATGTTTAAACAGGCTTTGAGGTAGCTGTCAGGGGCTTGTTTAGAAAAGAGTGAGATAGATAGAGAAGAGGAATTGGTAAGGCTGTCTTAGCTGGGTGAGGTTTTGATGAGTCTCAAGGCTGTGTAGGCAGAAGTTACACTTTGTTGAAGATTACCAGTTACACGGTTTATTTTTCTTCTTTGATTGCATTCTTAGAAACATGATAAGCAATATTCAACATGCAAAGAGCAAGTCTAGATCTTTACTGGAACCTCTCTGTGTCTCGTAGTGACGTTACTCAGGGGTCCCTTGAGAGAGAGAAAAAGGGGGTGGGACCGAACTCGAAAATATATGTTCTTGGACCCCATAAAAGCCCAAACATCTTACATGCTCCGCAACGGAAAACAGGCTTCAGCCTGGCTAGCTCAGTGAGTTCATCCAACCCTCGAAACCCAACCGTGCTTTCTTCCATACTAACCCGGCTTCACCAGATCGGTAGAGCGTGAGACTCTTAATCTCAAGGTTGTGGGTTCGACCCCCACGTCGGGCTCAATTCCCGGCGAATTCAATCGTCTTTTCTCTTTCTCTCTCTTTTGTTTCCTGCCTGGTCTCTTTTTTTAACCTTCATTCCATTTTATTTTTAATTGGGGGCTAATTACCGAAGTCTCTGGAGCGTTACTTTGTGGGTAGGTAATGTTCGTACTCGGTGACCGCCAGCCTCGGATTTGCAATACAAACACAAGATATTGATTCATGTATAGATTGTACCAGAGATATCCAAGACTACGTTCCAGTCAAGACAGACTTCCCACCCAACACATGTAAGAGCAGCCGCCCATCCACCAAGCTCATGCCTCGGTCTTCGTTTCGATCCCTTCCTCGCGGAAAGTTCCGGCGAAAGCAAGCGCTTGTAACAGAGAACTAGAAGGAAGGGAGACAGCAGCGGCTGAACCTGACTGAGCCCGCTCAGAGACAGCAAACGCACATATAAACCGCCTCTTGAACAACACTTCAGTGGCAGGCACATGAACAAGTTGATCGACGACATGGACCAAGAAACCACAGAGGCCAAACAGCCCTAAGTCCCTGACACGTACACGTCTTGGACCTTTTGGGAAGAAAAGAAGTCCCCGAGGGTTCAAAAGAACGGCCTCGGGTGAGACTGATGCCTCGTCGGGCTTAGACACCGTGTTTCTCGCCCAGACCTCGTTCGTCTGCCTCTTTCCGCACCGTTCGTTCCTGCCCCCTCCAGACGAACGAATCCCCAGGCCAACACCAACAGAGGCACCGCCTGGGTCGGGAGTCAAGGCAGAGGGAGGCGGCATGAGCTAGCTGAGCCCGTGGAGAAGTCGTTTCTTCTGCCCACCGCCCAGGGTCGGCCAGGGACTACAAACGCTCATCCATGTATGTGGCCTGCCTGTCTGTCTGTCTGTTCATACGCATATTTCCACTCGGAGATCCCTCTGCTGCCAGTCGCCGCCAAACCCACGGGCCGTGTAACTGTGACATGACACACGAACCGCACCAGGAACCGCAGGGAAAGCAAAGAAAAAAAGGGGGGCCGAGCCTCAGCTGAGTCAACGGACGTGCACACGCCCCTTGTTTGTCTCTCTCCGGTCTTTGGCTAAGCGAGCATCTATGCACAGATATGTGAGAAACGGCAGCTACGTTAAGATCAAGGGGATAAGCCAACACTCTAGAGTCTCTGAGTAGGTGGAAATATGTGTACCGTTAAGCTAGTGCGGAGTTCAACATAGCCCCTCCTCCACAAACAACGGTAGCACTGCATGCAGGGCGGGCAGTCAGCGTTCGCGAGAGAAGTTGGAACATGGCACGACGGCATCATTGGCAAGGGCTGCTGGCCAGATCTTCCCGAGACACTCGGCGGCTTCCCTTCCATCATCAACCCCCCAGTCTGTCGCAGGCCATGCATGTCTCACGACGCCGCCGCGGCCGCTGATCGTCATCTGCTATCTCATCTGGGGACGTTCCATTTTGTTCCTTTTTAATTAATTAATCATTTTCGGTCACGGGACGTGCCCTTTTGCTTTCGAGGACTTGAAATTAGATACTGAGATTAGTGAAGTCACGGAGAGTCGGAGCCCCCCTCTCTCTCTCGTCGATGTCTCTCCGCAATACCTTCTTTCGTTTAAGATTACTATTATTCTGCATCGTTGTGACGGATAGCCGGATACAGCTCTACTTTAGTTCCTCTGTGGGTACATACGTGATGATTGGCATAAGTCTCCAGTCGAAGGATGAGTTAAGTGTCCTGACATATTACACACCTCTCAGTGATATTAAATAAACAGAAAGAAATGTACGGTTAGCAGCTATGCTAGCCTCAAACGGCTCTCTTTGATTTCCGCGGCCCTTGCTGCCTGCTATCTACTTGTCTGTTGGCCTATACGTGTGTTTGTCTGTCAGAAGAGTGGTCAGCATGTCAGTCAGTCAACGAACCGAATCAAGACTTTAGCTAGCCAGGCAGGCAGATACAGGTGCGGGTTCGTGAGAGCCCAAAGCAGACGCCCAAATGCAAGGAAACTAGGAAACGAATATTACGCCAGCGTGTGCGTGTGCGTGCGTCTCTGAGATTGAAACGAAACAGGCCTGTGGGCACAACACACCCTTTCTTTCTCTATCTCTCCTCTATACGCAACACACAAAACACGCCGACGTAGACAACCGTTGGCATAACAAGAATATATACAAGCA